TATACTAGCCTATCTATAGGGATTTTACCGCTATTCTCTATAAGTTTATTAAGCGGCGCTGTAATTCGTAAGAAGCCTATAATGAATTTACGATAATAGTTTACGAAACCTATAAATATTCTAATTTAACGTATAGTAGTAGGTTCTAGCTATTCCATAATGGTCTTTACACGCTCCGGCTCTATTTTTAGGCCGCTATATATTATAATAAAGCTAAGAAACCTAACTTCTTATTAGTGAAACTCGTATTTAGATAATTTTATATAGAGTTTATACTATCTTAGACGATTTAGTATCGATTTCACGTGTCCTTTATAATCCTATATACTATTAGAGTAAATTAGTATATTATTAAGATAAACTACGTAAATCACGTTAAGTAATCCTATAAGTGTAGTATTAATATATCCTTAAAACGCTCCTAGCGTATTTATTAGCCTAAATAGCATAATAGTATACTTAAAATGACTATATCTAGTCCGAAATGCGGTTTTCCACTTATCTCCGCGACGAATTCGAAGCCGGTAATATATATCTCGTAAATCTAGCTTCGTAAAGTACTTTACCTTCGTTAATTAGTCTAAAGATTTACTAACTAGCGGTAATAGATGACGATTCTTCTTAGTTACTATATTTAGTGCCCGATAGTCGACGTATAGACGTAAACTTCCGTCTTTCTTCTTTATAAAGAGAATAGGTACGCCGGCCGATGACGTACTACGATATATCCAGCCTCTTTTAAGGTATTCTTTAATATATTTATAAAGAACTTCGAGTTCTAGTCTCGAAAGTAGGTAAAGTAGGCTATAAGGGACGTCTACTCCCTCTTCGAGCTCGATCTTTAGCTTATACGGCCCGTGATTAGGGAGAAATAATATATCTTCTACCGAAAACACATCCGTATACTACGAATATACGTCGGGTAGCGTATCTTCGCCCTGATTATTACTATTATCCTCGTCTTTATTAATAATTAATAAGGACGTAAGATAGATTAGCGATAATCGGGTCCGTACGGCGAGGTTCTATGTCTCCTTACTAATAGTTATAACTTACTAGTATAATTTACTACGGTGTCGTCGGAACGTTAATATCTCCTTCTAAAAATTAAGAATAGGGTTTAGACGTCTAAGCTAAGGCATCCCTAGAATTATATTCTATTAGCTAATATTAGCCACGATAAATTTATTAGATATCTACTATTTTATTATCTTTAAGTCATGAACTTCGTAATTCGTTATAGCTTTACCTAAAGTTCTAACTTTATATCCATTAACTATAATAGTTTAGCTAACTTTACTAAGATCGTATAATAATCTATACTCCTTTATAAGAATCGACGAAATATAGTTATCTTCTATACTAGTATCCACGAGGGCCTATATAGTTTTATTACTATTTACTATAGGTAATAATACTTTTAGTAATATTAGGTCTTTACTCACCGGAAGGCGCTACGGCTTCTCCTAAATATATATAATTTAGCTAAGGACGCGGTTAGGTCTCGTGTACTAGCCTATTCTTTTTTTAGATTCTTATAGTTAGGTAAAATATATTCTATTTCTCTATACTTATAGTAATAAAGTACGCTATAATTCTACTATTTTATAATAGGCGTTATATTTAAGCCTATGCCTTATTCTTTTCTATATTAAGAAGCACCGCCTCGATTATTTCGGTGTCCTCTTAACGCGTTTCTACCCCGATTAACGCTCTTCTAGCGCTAATTACGGTAAGGTTACTCTTAATCGAATATATTTAATTAACCTTATTTCTAACCCGTATAGGGTTCGTCGGTTTTACCTAGAGAGCCGCGTTCCTTAAGGATGCGGTAGTATTTATTAGCTTTCTTCTCTAATTCGTGTAGATAGTTAAAACTTAATAATACTATTTCTAGTCTTTCGCGGATTAACGGAAGTAGTACTTCGCGAAACTAGAATATACGAATATTTTCCTATAGTATAGGGATATTATTCTATAGGTTTTAGAGGTATTATGGTAGTTAAGTAGGTGTCTAGTTCGGTCGTTATGCCACGCTTCTTAACTTAGATAGTGCCTTTCTTTCACGTTCTCTATCCGTTCCGAGGGTGTTTAGTATAAATATAGCTAAATATTCCTAGGTTATCGTAGATAGTAGCTGTACTTCCTTCTATCTATCCTATTAATCGCGGGATTATAAGTCTAGGTATCGTTCTCCGAACGAAATACGTTATACTTTAGTAGAAAAGAGTAGAGGGTTATCGAGGAAGTACTTTTCGTAGTCTCTCTTCTAGTCTTTCTACTCCTTTTAGTTCTTCCCTATAAATATAGTCGGGTCTTTAGATTTTAGTATACCTAGGGAAGGAGTAGAGTAAATCGGTAACGAAGCGGCCGGGTATATAGTAGATTATCGCAACTCTAATGGTAGGTAAACTAATTCCGCCTAAATTAGTATAGGAAGTCGTCTACCTACTATCGTTCGGCGTAGTTCTTTAAGAGACTCCTTAAGTTCTCGTCTCTTTACGAGGAGTTTTACGCGTTCTACCTATTCTTTAAGGGTTTAAATCTCTCGAGCCTAATTCGCGATATATTTCTAAAGTTTAGTAATAGTTTATTATAATACCTTGCGTGGCTCTACCACGACTTATTATCCGGCTTTATATTATTAGAAGTTACTTAGCGTATCTACTATTTCTTCGTCTAAAAGCTCCGTAATTTAGTCTAATATTTCTACTTCTTAGTTAGAAACGGCTAGGATTAATACTAATTATAGAGGATCCCTATTATTTAATATAGTATTACTTATCCCTATAGTAGATCGTGTCGACCTTCTCGGTTCTAGTTAGACTATCTTAACTATAGTACTATATAGGGAGTAATTCGAATATAAGAATAGGGTTATTAGATAGTAGTATAGTTAGATAGAATAATAGGGTGTATTCTATTATAGAACGAATTACTACCGAACCCTTTCGGTAGAAATCTAAGAGTATATATATAAAGGGACGCCGATCTATCTAGCACGTGACTGTTTACTACCCTTCACGTTACCTTCTAACTCTATTAGCTAAGGTACGTGTAGATTGGGTTCTATCTAAGGCTAAGTTCTAATAGGATAGGTCTAGTATAGTATAAACTAGACCGCGATAGAGTATAATAGACTCCTTCCTTATTATCTAGGTAATCTTCTATAGTTATACGGAATACCGTACTAGTTATTAGTACGATAGTCTATAGAGTATACTTATTAGTAGAGGTAGTCATAGGGAGACTATTCTCTTCGTTTAGATTTAGAGAGAGTCTCTCGTATAAGGTAGTACTACGGGTATTATAGCGCGTAGTAGGAGCTATCTCTATAAGCTACCGTCGTACTATATAGAGAGGAATTAAAATATAAAGAGTAAAGACGTGGGATAGTAGTCTAATAGTTTATAGAGAGATATAGGAATGTATTTATAGAGTAATCTTACTCTTATATAAGGTTAATTCCTAACGAGTAGGAATCGGTTTATATGGTCCACTTATATAGTAACCTCGCTTAACTTAGCTAACTTAACCTAGCTCTAGCCACTACGTGGCTATATGGATTAGAATGGTCTATATAGGTCCATTATGGTTCCCGTCCTAATAATATCGCCTTACTATACTAGAGCTTACTCTAAATATTATTAATAATAACTCCTTAGTTACGGCCTTACTATCTTTACTCCTCCTATAATTTAAATAGCTATTTTAAGCGTCCCTTAAGGTTTAGATCTATAGATAATAATACTAGACTAGTAGAAACTATACTAGTAAGTAGTAATAGCGTAGGAGACTTCGGATTAGATACTATAGTCTTCTTACGTCCTAGTAGCTAATAAGACTTATAGATAATAGTATTCTTAAAGGTAAGGAATATAGCCTCTAGTAGATCCTTTCTTACTAGGCTATAGATCTTATTAAGGAAGGTAAGAAGCTTATTCTAGTTATCTAGACTCTAGTCTAGAAGTATTAACTATTTCCTAGTACGACTAGATATTCCGAGCTTTATAGTAAAGTCTTAAGTCTTAAATAGCTAGTTATTAGTACTAAGAGCCTTATTAATTAACTACTAAATCTTCTCCTTATATAACTTCTTCTTAAACTTATACTAGGCTTCCGTCTTTAGTAATATAGTCTTAATAATCTTTCTAAAACTATCTACTCTAAGTTACTAATTTATATAGATAGACTATATTATCTTATTAAGAGCCGCGTTATTATCCTATAGGTCCTTCTCCTTCTTCTCCTTAACTATATCTCTATAAACTAAAGTAGAGTTATTAGTATTATTAGATATATTACTTAGTAAGGCTAGAGGATCGCTCGATAAGGGTACGTTAGAGGGCGCTAGTAGTATATTTTTATACCTCGCCGCTATCTTCGTAGCCCTTAATACCTTATCTATACTATACTAGAGCGCCTTTAACGTAGATATATATAGCTATAGTCTAGGAGGTAGTAGTAGAGGTTCTATTAAGTTATCCTATCCGAATTAAATACCTTTACGCTACTTAGGAGGTATAATAGATAGCGTAAAATAGTTAAAAAAACACTAATATATGGCTAATATCGTATAATACTAATATATAATAGGTATTTTAATAGGTATGTGAGTATTTATCGACGATACTATAAAATATTAATTATATATAAAAATGCGTGTTGGTGGCACAGACGTGCATCGGGCGCCAAGCTTTCCCATGTAACTATGGACAAACGGATCTGGTTTCTTGGCGTTACAGGACTAACATCGCAACACCACTGCATGAGACAAGGAATGACAGTATCAGCGGTGATGGCTCCGCTGAGCTTACAACACAGCCTGGTAGCTCAAATGAGTAAATTATCGCTTTCACGGCATCGCCACAATTGTAAATAAGCCCGACTCCCTCTGACTGGTAGCTAACTGTCCTGTAGCTCTCCTTCAGCTTCTCCATCCATCCTGCCAACAATGCAATCGAGCATTTTCTACTACACCTTCACAACTCGACTGGCTCATGCCCAAGCGCGGAGAAACCAGCAAGTCGCGCAAAGGTCGCCCACATGTCCAGACAGGTGGTAGCATGCGTGGAACAACTGTGGTCTGGGGCGACTATGGGCTGCGATTGCTAGATCATCATCGCCGAATCCCCGCCAAGCAGCTTCAAATTGCAGAAGCCACCATCAAGCAGCGCTTACGAGGTACAAGGTACAAACTTTACAAGCGTATCTCGGCCAACATTGGTGTATATACGAGTGGTAATGAAGTGCGTATGGGTAAAGGCAAAGGAAGCTTCGATTATTGGGCGAGTAGAGTGGCTGTCAGCAAGATTATCTTCGAGCTCAAAGGAGATGCCCACGAGCAGGTCGTCCGTGACGCCTTCAGATTAGCTGGTGCCAAGCTACCTGGTAAGGTCAACGACGATATGTGATCTACCTATCTAATTTGATGAACAGGCATGTATGAATTTGTAAAGAAGGGCGACCCGCCAGTTATGGGCATCACAAAGTTAGGCAACGGAGTCACCGTGGAGGACCTACTGCGGCCTCGCAAGAAGCTACCAGTTGAAGTGACAGCAGCAGGGCTCCCTTCGACGTCTCCGAATGTCCCTGCTGCTGCAACTACATCGGCTGCAACTACATCGGCTGCATCGTGAAGATACACCGTAAGAGCGGACTGCATGACTGGTCAGACTCTCTGCAATGTACATATATCAAATACTACTTCATTGAGTACGGTATTTGAGAACTTTGTGGCATTATGTGGCGCGTACCTCTAGCACAAGGCTACTTATGAACCCATCATAACAGTAAAATTTGCTTGCATGCTGTCTCGAACCGGCCAAGTACACTGACGATGCTCAAAGCGGTTCTGCTGTACCATATATATTTGACGAGTGATTAGTACATATTGAGCTGGAGTAGCTAAAAAAAAGTATTGGGTATCAATGCTACTCCAGAATACTGAGCGTATACAAGAATCTCGACTCCACCAGCTTTATGCAGTGCAGCATCACTGCCAAGATGCGGAACGTCTCGTCATTATCATTATGGTCATCATCGTTTGAACCAATTAAATCTTTGTTGATTCGCTGAAGCTGTGGCCTCCAGAGCCACGCTGCGCTCGTAGAGTTCCTAGATTTGCTCATTAGCAGCGCACTCGATACTGATGGAGTTCTACACTTACGTCATCACTTTTGGTCAGTTTGACCTCTAGAAACAGACTCCGTACCTCATCGTTTCTAGTTGTGGACGGGTACGGAGTGCCCTGCGCCCGTTGCATGCTTACGATCACTTCTCCCATAATCTCGAACTTCTTCCAATTAATCCTTTCCTTGCCTTGAACCCCAGTCGGAGGTGCCTCTCGTACATCCCCACGACCAGTAAAGACTGCTGTACCGGGATGTACGACAGAGAGTGTGGCGTCCGACTTGCGCTCGCCGATAAAGGTAGAATTACCTTCGGCAGCAGACACGAGATCGCGCCGGTGCAGTGGAAGATACGGAATACGCTCGCCAGATGAATTGTCCCACGCCAACCGGTAGGCAAAGTGAGACCTTTGTGGATTCATGAGTATGTCCAATTTCATGAAATCTTTTGAGACGAGAGGGGGTATGAGTTCTCGTGTAGCAGCAAGCCTGTGAACAGGAGCTCCTTTGATACCCGCCAGTATGGCCCCGAGAGCATTGTAATTGTTCATTTCTCGAACTTTCTGTCGAATAATTAGCTACACACTCAAGACATCCGGAATTTCGCCTACCCTTGCCAACCTCATGAATTTCTCCAGCATCAGCGCTCGATGCTTTGGCTTGTCCCGCAGTAGTATATAATTAGTTACCCAGGCTGCAGTGTGGTTGAAATGCTCCGTCATGCGGTTGACGTTCTCAAGGCTGCGGCATTGCTTCTTTTGCTCGGCATTGAGGGTGACATTGCGTACAAGATCTCGAGGTCTAATGGCTTGAAACATCACCCAGTCGATCCTCGTCAACTCGCGAGCTATATGCTCTTCATCGATGCCGATTAAGGTGTGCCATTGAACCTTGGTTAGACTCATCCGGGGAAGAGGCGTAAGCCCACGCGCTTGTCTTTGAGCCATCTCAACACCATTAAGTAAAGACTGGGGGCAGCTATGGGCCGAAGTAGGAATTGAGACAGTGGAGGATCTTGGACCGCTTGCGAGCGAACGTGCATCATTCATGGATGCACTACCTGTGAGATGAGCATAATCCTCATCCCCCGAGTCTTCGTCTAACACAGAATTTGGATGCGCGAAGGACTTCACAGCCTCTTGTTGATCCCTGGCCTTGTCACAGCAGGCCCAATGGGTGTCATCATCTTCTGACACCGACTCCATATCAGTGGCCATCTCTTGTGCTGCTATAGAGAATATTCTTACTCCCATTAGTCGCGAGATGAACCGTTTGCACTTTCTCTGAGATGAAATGTACGCAAAATCGCCAGGATATATCCGAATCCACTGTTCTAGTATCGTGAGATGACGCAATTGGGAGATGGTTTTCAGCACTTGCGGTTTCTTGTCATTTTCGAGCGCCTGAAACCGCTCGATGATAGCATCTAGCAATTGTCCTGGAGTAGCAAACTTGCGGTAGAGAGCTAAGAAGATGGCCTGAAATTTGGTATCATTCTTCGACATTGGCAAGGCAAGTAAACGTGTGACTAATTGGTCAAATGTATAGCCAGTCTCGTCCGTGGGCATCTCAGAGACAACGCTGCCTTCATGATCTGAGTGTTGCGCGCCCTCTGTGTCTGCAGAATCGTATCCAGGCGAGTCTTCCAGATCTAAGAACGTTTGGTGCGTTGTCTCAGCCGTCTGTGTCCTTTGATGTCTTCTATATAAGTTGGACGCCAATTTACTTGACCCTGTCTCAATAGGCTCGGGAGTGTGCATCCTCATTCTTATTCCAGAGTATTCGGAACTAGCGCGCTCGTGCTTCTTTGCCCAAGGTTGCCCGTGCGCTCCATGTCGAACTGCAGACGAATTTGCTCTGCGACGTGCTGTCAAGAATGTTGGCTGCTCCCTAGTAGACATTATAGCCCGCAGAATGTATGATAGGCATACTTTATGCACTTCGTTGGTCTTCTCTGAGGCCTCAAATGTATGGATGTCACCCATGAAGGTCCTCGCCCTGTCCACCACGTCGACCGGGTCGACTTTTCGCATCGCAGGGTGATTATCGCACTTCCAAGCCACAAGTGCGAAGGGAAGTGCAGCTTTATTCAGGGCATCTAGACAGTCAAATCAGTAAAGAGCGTGCTAGCTCGAATGACTAGAGAGACTCACTGAGCGTTTCAGGTATAGGCGCCAGGCTTTCCCGATTCATCACATCGTACAGAACACACGCTGCATCTATCCGTGGGGTAGCCATATCATCAATCGTATCTGGCCAGCATATACCATCATCTCCTGAAAGATTGGGAATGTCCTCCAAAGGTAATTCCACTAGTTGTATTAAATATACCTGCTCATCTATCGCCATCTTTCGCGCACTGAATGCTGAAGTAGGTGGGGTACGAAGTCCAAGGAGGCTCATGGTGAACGTTGTCTTGCCTACACTCGGTGCGCCCAGCACACATATATTGAGTTCTGGCATTCTCGAGGTCTCCGTTCCCTTTACAATATATGTCAGTTCACAGTCTCAAGTCAGAGAATCATCGTGTGGCTTACAGTCGCAGGTGTCCGAGGCGGACTTGATAGACGTGGAGGTTTCAGATGGGTTGGAGAGAGGGAGCCCTCAGCATCGGAGGAAGAGTTGCGCGAAAGCGCAGGTGAATGTTGGCGATCGGGGGCATCGCCGGAGATATTATATCTCTGAAAGAATGGATCTTGTGAGATCTCATAGTCCTCTCCTGGCTCACCGCCACGCTCGAGTTCCCTTGTATTGCCGAGACCGTGTCGCTCTAGATGTTGTGCATCATTGCTCGTATGCTGCTTCTCATGTGGCACTGAGGCTTTTCGTACTCGAACGTGGGGTGATTCGACTTTCTCACGACCGTCTTTGCGTAATTCAGGCGAAGATGTTCTGCTCGCGCGACTGCCGGCTCCGCTACTATTCTTCAGAGGCATATCGACAAAGGTTGTAGGTGTCGTTCTGCCGTGTTACACCGGGGCGTCAATGTCTCGCGTGAGACCCTCTTCCCTCCAGAGATGGCCCACGAGACATTGGTGACAGATCAGATCGATGTTTCAACTTGAGCGTGTTGCGAATGGTATAGGGACGAGCAAATGAAGCTCCAACGACGAATGAGCACGAGTGATGTATTTGTTTTTAGGTGGAGACCTCGCTAGCTGTGCTGTCTCGGGTGGCTTGAAGAGGGGTCCTCCGTCCTCCTGAACGTGTCAAAAGGCCTCCATGTTGGGCTCGGCCTATGTTGCTTGTTGTTGTTAGATGATACTACATCGCTCAGATTTATTCTTCCGGAAGCAATCGAGTCGCTTTTGGTCTTCAAATACAGAAAACACGAGAACATGGCCGCATGCATGAGTTTTATTCAAACATTATAGTTATGTTATTCAATCGATCGACTGCTTGCGTTGCCTACGGCGTGTTGAACCGCATGTTTGAATCCTCCAAGACCCTCAGTTAACGATGGGAAATACTCTGCTTACTTTTGATTTCCAGTCGAGAATCCAAAAGAAGTCGGGACGATTGAGTCGACAGCAGCCCTCGGCCTCTTGTGTTCCAGCTAAGGTCTGATTTTGGACTAGCGAACTATGAGGTCTGTGCGAGCTCACCCATGAAATTCCGCACCTGCAAGCTTTTTCCCAAATTTCTTTCTTGCCGTCATGCGACTCTTCCTCATTCGACATGGAGAGACTGTCGATAACATTGCGCAGCTCTAGTAAGTGCCAGTACCAATCTAACGCTGATCTACTAACAAGGACTTACAGTGCTGGCAGTAGAGACTCAGAGCTCACCAACCACGGAGTCAGTCAAGCAACGCGCCTTGGTCAACATTTCAGGTCGACCGGCGTGAAGTTTACGCACATATTCTCTTCCCAACTTCAAAGGGCCTACAAGACTGCGGACATCGTTCGACAGGCTCAAAGCGGACCACTTGTATTACAATCGCCATTAATTGCGGAACAAGATTTTGGTTCATCAGAGGGAAAGTCATGGGCTAGTCGGGCATCTATTGATCCTGACATGAACGATCAGCCTGTAATACCGTCTGAATCCCGTGAATCTATGGAGTCTCGCGTCGACCAGTTTCTTGACTCTCATCTTGAGCCCATCATAGCACCAACCGACTCTACGGAGCAGATCATCGCCGTAGTCTCGCATGGGATCATTTTGGGGGTTTTATGGCGAAGAATTCTTCGGCGCCTTCCTCCCCAAAGTGTAACCCTGTCCCCTGAGATCGCCGCAACTAATGCCATGATCGTATTAGAACATCTTGGTCGATGGGGTAATACATGCTACCTTGAGCTTACTCTAACATCGAAGTCGGCGACTGGAGCGGGAATCGTCGCTATGACCACAAGCGGTACTCTAGCAGCTACCCTTCAGCCTATACCCAGAGATATGCAACCGGGCAATAACACAGCTTCACTCGTCAGTCATTTTGGTGAATTCACAACAACAATATCCCGAGTGAATGCTCGAGATCACTTAAAGAGCCTCAAACGTACCGGTGGCGGCGTCGGAAGCGCCAAATACGACTCGAGCCAGCCCGGAATTGAAACGTTTTTCAAGAAACCTCGCAAAACTTGAATCACTATCAACACACAGGTACGATCTTTCCTTACTATTCTCCAAATGATGAAACAACTTAATTCACAGACCTGTACTGAAATACTCATGTGGATCAAATTTTGTCCAACTGCTATCTGATATCGGCTACCGCATCATTATCATCGCACTGCGTACGACGTGTGAATGCTAATCATGGTCAGATATCTTGCCAATATGTCGAGCTTACGTTCTAACACTAAATCCACAACTCCCTAAAGGTTCGTTTTATATCTCGCAAACCAATCTTTCCACGACATGATGAAAAACTATCCATCACAGACCTGTACCGAAAAAGTCATGTGGATACCATTTTTAAGCATAGTTCAGCTGATCTCGCTTGTCAAACTATCTTTTGTGCTTCCAACTTGTGGATGAACAAGGGCTAACACTTATCTTAGATCTACTAGTTGCAACAGCCACTCTTGTCGTAAGATACTGAGCGCGGAGTCTTGGTCTCGACGAGACTTCGAACTTCGAACTCCAGGCCTACGCCCCCGGATACCGAATTGAAGCTGCTTCAATTGTCACACGTGACATGTCGAAGCATCATCCTCTACTACCCATTTTCGTGAACGCCTTGATTGCTTGTTCCCGACATCCTTGGCGTGTGCGTCCATATCCTTGATTCCGTTATCGACATTCATGTCTGTCCCGTTCGTGACTCCAATCTTTCTTTGCACTTCAGGTCACACGCCCAACCATTGAAACTGTGGATCTTCCATCAACAGATGCCCATATTTCTGACTCTGGGCAGTGGTCTTTGATATTCCCCATCCCTCGTGCATTCAACTTTTCGATCTCTATTTCTTGTAGCTGTGCTCGGAGGTTCTTGGTGAGGCGAGCCCGACGCCGCTGGGCTTGTCTCTCTGGGCCATCAGCATCCTGCTGGCTCTTTTTCTTGAAGGTGAAAGCCAGTTGATAGGTCAGGCGTATGGTGTTGAATATGGTACCAGCGTAAAGTATAGGTGCCGCTGTGTAGTAGATGCAAGTCCCGGCGATCAAATGGACACAGTCTCGAGATGGTTTGAGTCCAGACATAGTTGAACAGATCAGCTCCGTGTCTCTAGAAGCTAAACTGTCTATATGTATATGTCTAATACCAATCAGTCTCGATGGCGATACCGATATGAGCTCTTCAAACCTACTGTTATAGATCAAACAACTGCAAATCCTCTCACCATTCCTCACAGAATCATTACGCAGACAAAAGAAAGGAGGGCTGTTGATAGAACGACAATGCCGATGTCCACGGACTACACACAAGCAAATAAACGTACACACGCGCCGATCACACCTATAAGTACCTCCTCGATATTATAGTGCGGAGAATAAAACCTCGCATGCTCATGAACCGATGCCGGGACACTGTACACAATAATGTGTCCAGCACATATCCCCAAACACGAAACAGAACAAGACACGGCTTCATTTCGGCTGTGACGTGTTCACATTCGGCGCTTCTATTTTGTCAACGAAACGTCAGCATTAGAATCTGACAAGGCTTATGTGCATTATGCATGATTTCGAAGACTGCAATCTGGTAGAACACAGGGCAACTGGAACACGATGGCTGGGGTGGCCACCAGGCGATGGCTATGTTTGTTTCGTGGTGCAGGCGCAGTAGGGCTTCCATGGCTTATGCCAAGCATGCAACAGGAGGCTTCTATAGAAGCGAGGACAAGGGCAAGGTGATGAAAAAAATAGTGCGTATGTAATACGATCATTACGATGGTATTCGGGGTGAAGAATCCGGAACTGCGGGGCGTTATCTTGGCAGGATCTAGATCCGGGCTTGCTGATCCACCTGTTTTTGGCTAGCAGTTATACATAAGGGTGCACGAGTTGATGTGGCCTGATCAAAAAATAACTTTAGCCTTCTTACCGGGTGACTTGCCCATGGACGAGGTGGGGAAGGGGAGATAACTTCTATACCTTCAGTCCCACAGCCCCGAGCGCGACGGCTCTTCTCGTCGAGAGAGGCAAGATCTTGGCTGCTCCAATGGCTTCTTGGAAATAGAGTAATTTCCTGTCGTTCAGACCAGATCTGGGACAAGATTTGGTGCTACAGTATCGCCTGATCGATGAGGATTAGAGTCTGTGGCTAAGAGGTAGCCTAACGAAGCAGCTGATGGTAGGACCTGGGGATGGTGGACGTTTGTGAATAAGCACTTTAGCGAGGGTGAGCAGGTAGCGGCTGTCGGCCGTGTCTGTACATATCCAGCAAGTATTCCTGGCTAGTGGATGGAGACAGGAAGGATGATGGGAACTAGGAGCTGGTGGGGTCGAATTCAAACTTTAGCAGCCCGAGGAATACGAAGCCATGGCATGGCGCGGCGGAGTGTGCTAAATATGCAGATGGCCTCAGGAATACTTGGTTCTGTAGGGTGTCGCTGGACGATGCAACCAACGATTCTACTGATCGATCAACGATACTCTGTGATTCTCGAGATCACTGGGTCGATTCGGATCATGTGAACCTTCTTCTTGGAGCAGAAACGTCAAGAGTCAAGGGAGTGGCCTGACAAGCCTCCAGGTTATGTGCATAGTTTATGTGGTCTGGTTGTGTGGCTCTGTAGAGCCCGTCGTTGCATTATCTCCTGATGCGAAGAGTCCGCATAGTCGGAGATTGTTGGTAGCTTTGGAGGCAGAGAGTTTTACAGAAAAGGCTCAGGCCCCCAACAAGTAATTGCCACTAAGAGTTTACTCTTTTGCGAGCTCGAGCCATAGAGATTACTGTGAGCAGTGTATGTTCATGATCACACATCACATACAATTTCGCTCTTTACGTGTGGCACATACCTGGAGTCGCCCAGCCACATTCTACGGGCCGTTTGGTGAAAGATTGGCCCTGGCCCACGGACCCAGCCGAATGCGTCCCGGGCGCCAACCCTTCTTGACAGCGGTTCCATGAATAGATTGTCATGGCATCACAATCTACGTGGCGTTACGTGGCGTTGTTGGTGGGAGCTTTCCGCATTCCCGTGACTGGTGGTGGGCGATGGAAAACATCTATCCGGCTCCTCGCGCTTGGACATGCAGACAGTCGTTTATCTGCATGAGAGATTTTTTGCGATACGACAGACTTCCGGCGCCTGGAACGAGGGTCGGTAACGGATATGCAAGGAATTGAGGCAAGCCATGTACTGGGCAGAGGGCTGCGCGGTAGTCGCATTCCGAACGGTAAGGACGCAAGGACAAGGACGTACAAGCCAAGTCAGTCTCTAACCTCTGGTATTCTACCAGGATGACGCCAATCATTCCTGCTCTGACGTATCCCTCGAGCGATATCCGATATGGGTCCTTGGCATCGTCTTCTAACTACGTTGAACATTCAGTACATTTCTGAGCTTTCAGATACGAGATACGAATCCACGCTTCATGCGCCATCAATCTAAATGTTCACCGTGCCTACTAAGTAAGTAACTCTTCGCGGCTCAAACGCGGAATACCGCAGGTTGTAAGACACAGCAATCATCCACTCATATGGTCAAGTGGATAGGCTTGAGATGCAGGGTGCCTCAGCAGAGCATATCCAGGCGACAGCCAGAACCTGACGGACTGCATATGCAGACATGGCATCAAAAACCGAGTGGTCCATCTCAACAGTACGCCCCGGTGTTTCGTATCCAGTACTTCACGAGGCTGTACAAGGCAACATGGGCAAACTCGTTGTCGCCGTAGGATAGACGCAGCCTCGCCACTGTCCACGTCTCACTCTGATGTCAGACATAACGCCAAAACCTTCACAGGGCTCATAGGCATGTATGTTGATCACCGTTGATCAGTATTCATTTTTCCTTTTGAGATGGATATTGCGCCACGAGTACGAGTAGGTCAGTGTTGTACGGGTCTCGAGGACTTGATAGCCTTGCGTCGCAATGAGTCGTAACAGAAAAGAATGCCATGTCGACAGCTAAAATATAAGACAACAGTGTCAGATATGCGCATGGAAGTGTACGCGGTACTCCAATGCGAGGGCGGCGTACAGTAGTGTAAGTGCACCCGTGAAACGTGAGCTATGTTTGGTGCTGCGTTTGTTAGCATCATAGCTGCTGTGGTGTGGTAGCTGCGTGGATGGATACTCTGATGGTCATACTTTGTTCAATGATGGTATTGCACGATATGCGCAGTAGTAGTCAACGAGAGTGCGGTTACTGTACAGAGGAGTTAGTGTTTACTAGTGATTGATATTGTCGACGGCCATGAGGCAAGCAGCAAGGCAGTTTGTAGGTGAGTGGCAGTGCAGCAGAGCCGCTTCGACCAGCCAGCTAAGACCAACGGGACCGTTAGAGCTAAGGATATACACTAACCCACTTCCGTCGAAACATTTACTGGGGAGGGGGTGGGAGTGTCTCGGGTTTGCGCCGCTGCCGAAGTGTGGACCCACAATCCACTATATGGTACCATTATTATCCATCCATGCATCATCCCGGTTACCTCATCTCACAACACTCACCTCATCCCACCTCATCTCTCTCTCAACAAGCGTACACTCACCGCATGGATGACTCCGAACGCGGCGCAGCATTCGCAGGCCTCTTCGTATCGTCGTACAGTTATAGCCATTAACCCACCATCTGTCAAGCTAGAATAGGGAGTTTGCTGTCAGAGCTGATGTTTAGTGAAGGATGTTTCTATTTTTGTGACCAATTCATCCTTCTATCAACGACAGTAACAACGGTATTACAGCCCTACGGTTCACGCCTGGGACTTGTTCCCTGTCCGTCAATCCCTTGGTCCAGCCTGTCTACAATGTAATTGCGCTAGGATAAGATTACGGGGAACGTTCACGCTGCATGCGCGAGCCCGGAGCGGACCTTTAGTCATGCAAAACACTATACTTCCATTGGAACGTATGCTCGTTTCGGAACTTTTCATATAAGGGGGGCCTGAGCATGATGGTACATGTAGCCTTGCTCCAGGTTCATTTGCCTAACTTAGTTCACGTTCTTTTCGCTCTAGGCTTCCAGCAATCACTCCACACAATTTCTCTCTTTCCATAGAAGCTACAACGCGTTGACTGTTTCGTCTACCAGGTACACCTGGCAAGGATAGTCTGAACAGTCGTTTTCTTGTTATTGAGTTCCACTTTCTCGACTACTCTTGTCTTGGCCATATACGTACAAACGAATTATCTATACTCAACCCCACGACCCGTCATTGGTGATCTCGGCGTAGAAGAACTATTGGTTGCCTCATACCCTTGACTTGGCCTTGACCTCTCGGTATTGCACTCTGCCAAGGGACCAGGTTTCGACAGTCCACCTTGTAGGACGATCATTCTAGCCTTGACGTATCCTTCGTCCCTTGCGTCACATATCGTGTTTTAAGCGTACGAAGCCGAAAAGCATTGGCTTCTCAGACCCACTTCGTCTAGCCGCCAACAAGGGATATCCAAAACACCCACGTAAATCGTTCACTATCACGTACGAAGAAACATGGCGACCCATGCCAACCACCAGCACCAACAGGCCCAGTACATCTACCATCCGCAAGCCCCTATATATCAGCACGAGAGGTCAAATAGCAGTGTAGCCGCTCAAATCGACCACAATTCCGATCCGCACACTCCCTACTCTCCGCCTCTTCCTCAGGCAAGTTCGGTTCGTGATACAACAATCACATCTGAACAGATCCAATCTGACCTATCACCACTCCGGCCCACTTCCTCTCATTCACAGTCATTGGCTCAGTATCATTTATATCCCTCTGTTTGTCTTGATGACTTAAAGCCACAAACAAAATCTGAAGTAGCGAGCCGACCATCAATTGCATACAGTACAAGAAGCATTTGCAATAGTCAAAGTAGCTTCGACATGGCTTCATCAGACTTCGGAAGCACAGCGGAGCTGGCGGAGCTGAAGAACCCTCCACCTCCTCCCAATCCGTCGAACACGTTGAACACGCTGAACCCGTTGAACCCGTTGAATCCGCCAGAGGCCCCGCACCACCCTTCCTCTGGCTCCAAAGGCTGGAGGTTCTATGCTGCTTTTGGGAGTCTTTGTTTGGTGAACTTGGTGTGCGCATTAGATGCCACAAGCTTAGCAGTCGCGTTACCTGTAAGCTGGAGAACCATTCAGTTTCTATTTAATATGCTCACGACACTCAGATCATAGCCGAGAAGCTAAATGGCTCAGCGATTGAAGCTTTCTGGGCTGGCACGTCATTCCTTCTGACCGCCACAGTGTTCCAGCCAACATTCGCATCTCTCTCCCATATATTTGGCCGCACGGATATGCTTCTCTTGGCTCTGACGTTGTTCACCATCGGTGCCATCGTAGGCGGTGTGGCTCATAACTTCACAGTCCTGTTGGCTGGTCGATGCATCCAGGGCATGGGAGGCGGCGGCATATCAGCTCTCACATATGTTATCGCCACAGATCTTGTCAGTCTTCGCGAGAGAGGAAAATATTTCGGGCTGATTACGATGATGTGGGCACTTGGCTCGGTCACGGGACCAGTCATTGGAGGTGCCTTTGCTCAAGACGTCAGCTGGGTAAGTCAGTTCCTACATATGTAGAGCTACATACTAACAGGCCTACCTAGCGATGGATATTCTGGATCAACCTTCCCTTCTGCGGGATCTCATATGTCACTATACCTCTCTTCCTCCGCCTCAAACGCAAGGAAGGCTCCATCCTTGGTAAACTCAAGCAGGTAGACTGGATCGGATCATTCCTCTTCATCGCCTCGCTTACTTCATTCCTCATTCCAATCACCTGGGGCGGCATCATGTACCCATGGACGCACTGGCGCACCCTAACCCCTCTCCTCGCCGGCGGCTTCGGCCTCGTCCTCTTCATGCTGTGGTCAAAATTCCTTTCTATCGAGCCCATATTGCGCGGTTCCATGTTCAAGGACCCCGAGGCGCTCACCACCTACTTCGCCACCACCGTCCACGGTATCTGCCTGTGGTCCGCCCTCTACTACATGCCTCTGTACTTTGAAACTGCCAAGGGGTACTCCCCAATCAAATCCGGCATTGCCCTCTTCCCTTGGACATTCACCACTGCGCCTGCTGCCGGTATCGTTGGTGTCCTCATTGCCCGTACGGGTAGATATCGATGGGGCATCTGGTCCGGCTGGGCACTCTCAACCGTGGGCATTGCTCTGCTCGTACTTTACAAAGTCGACACACCGACCGCCATGTGGGTCGGTATCGGCATCATCTCAGGTGCCGGAGTCGGCGTCCTGTATTCTGCCATGAGTTTCGCTATCCAGGCATCCAGCAGCGCTGCCGACTTGCCCTTCGCCGCCGCCCTCTACTCATTCTTCCGCAACTTCGGCCAGATGCTGGGTGTGGCGGTCGGCGGTACCATCTTCCAAAACGAGATGAAGAGGAACATCGAGGGCATCCCGGCGCTGGCTAGTAGTGCTGCTGCTCTAAGTAAGGATGCAAGCAGCCTTGTGCAGTTGATCAAGAGCTGGCCGGCGAGTCAAGCCGTCGTCAAGGCAGAGCTTATTGTCGCGTATGTGGACAGTCTGAGGACGATTTGGATCGTGATGGCGGCCTTGGCCGGACTGGCATTTGTACTCAGTGCGATATTTACGAAGGGCAAGTCACTGGAGAGAGAGTTGGAGACGGATCAGGGATTTTTGCATGATTCAGGCAGTGTCGGGTCAAAGTCGGATGTTGAGAAGTAGACACAACGGACTTCCACTCATTATTGAGATTTCTTTTGTTTGCACACTATTCCTTCATTCATGCATAAGTTGGTGGGTAGGAGGAGTCTGAACCATTCAGGCGTACTTTGAGGGCCGGGCCAAAAAAACATGCATCCTGGCCCATAATACTATTTCTTGTGTAGTTGTAACATTTGAACTTCAACCACATCAGAACTATATGCTTCACTACCTCCTTTAAGACAAAGTCCTTTTAGCTAGCTCATCTTGCAAAAAGATACCACAAATTCGATACTCATTACCATTCATTACGTCATTGCTACTCTTCGCCGTCTATGATCCAGTTTCTAGAACATCGTTAGCACATCTGTGTCATAGTCGCAACGGAATAATACTCACCAGTCTCAACACCAGGTTGTCTCCCATCCAGACCACCTGTCAGCTTCTTCTGCAACTTCCTCAAGCCAATTTTGCCTTGGTCTTTCGCAAACTTGACGTTACGAGCAGGCTTCCATTGCATCAAACCGCGCTGCTTGCGCTCCTCTGTGCGCTTGTTTTGTTTGTTATTCTTCTCTACGGTGTCACCCGTAGCTTGAGAATCAATCGTGCTCATTGTAGTGTCTGTGCGATCTGTGGCGAACGATTGCTTTACGGATCCTTCCTCGCCAGCAGCAGAGTTATTGGCGTCCTGAATACCTAGATCATCACTTGAGGCTTCGTCATCTTCGTCGTCGTCATCATCATCATCTTCATTGTCTTCGTCACCTGACGGATGGTACGGGTCGTGTAGTGGCTGCTCGGCTCCAGGTTCTCGGCGTTTCTTGCCCTTGGAGTCAACATATGCAGCTGGGTCGTGGCCAAAGGCACCACTCCAATCAGTGCCCGACTTGGAGAGCCACTTGATCTTCTCCTCTTCGTCGGCGTCCTTAAGCACGTCGCGGCCCTCCGTCAGGCTGTCGTCATGCAACCTCTGAATACGATCCGGCATTTCCTTCTCGACCATCCGCGTCCGCACACCCTCGGCGAGACAAGCCTCCCAAGTTTCGAACGTCTCGCGTGTGTCGTTATCTGATATGAAATGCTCATGGCTTTCGTCCATACCGGCTTTAAAGCGACCGGTGAACTGGAGGCGACCAACAACTTGGAGGTCTTCAAGGCCAACTTCATTCTTGCAATTTTCTTCGGTGATGTAGTTCTGTGTGAGACGAGCCGGGTGAGAGCACTTCCAGATCGGTATATCAATAGGAGTTTCCTCGTTGTCGATGAGGTGGTGGAGCCAGATGACAGAATAAGCATCGGCTCTTCTTTTATTGGCAATATGGAACTCAATGACGATTGGGGAGCGGTAACGGTATTTTACTGGCAGTCGGACCTTCTCATGACCGTCTTTCGGTACAATGTTGTAGTCGTAACCATTACCCTCAAAGCGGGATTTTCCGGAGCTACGTCCGATTCTGCCGGTACTCCCACCAGTGCGCATCTTCAGTCTTGCGTGTTGGCTGTAGTCGATCGTCTTGACAACATTGGAGACGAACTCAAAAGTACCAACATCCCATCCGAGCATGTTAGGTGGCAACCGGGTTTCAATGGCTCGGAACAAAAGAGATATGCGCACACGACCAAACCCGACACCACCATCAAGAGGGTACCATCGAGTGACCTGTGAGCTTGTTTCCAAAATGTCGGACAGCTTCAGCGGAACTACGCCCAAGATAGGATCGTGTTCTCGGTTGCGCGAATCACGCACCGTGACGGTGATGATACCAGACCTCCAATCGCGCATGAAACGCTCTGTACCTGCGTTGAAGATCGGCTGACTGCTAACAGCCTTGGAGCGAGTTCGATATACCAGTTCATCGTTGAAGCAAATAGTACAGTACGAAGTCGGTAGGTCCTTCCCCTGTTCTGCAGTGCTCTCTCCATAGGGCTTCGCAGGTTCGAATTCTCTACCCTTACGATTTCCGTTGCTGCCTTTCACATTCTCGAGCTCGAGGTTGACAATTTGGTGGACGACGACGTTGACAATACCACTCGGCCAGAGAGGGTCTGGAGGGGTATGTTGAACAGCATCGTCATCGGCCGTGTTCGTCACGCCCTTCTCGTCTTGAAGCTCAGGATTATTCTTCAATTCGTCTGGAAGAGCTTTGTTCTTTCCATCGGTTCTAAGTGCGGGTCTGAACTGTGGCTTGCCGAAAAAGCCTACCTCCCAATGAAGCTCACCAGGCATAGTACTGTCCGCATCCATACCCGCAAGCTTAGAGACTTGCGGGAACATCTTACCAGGATGTTGAATCATCTTCTGCATCGATAGCTCAACCTTACCTACAATGTCATCGGCGCTGTGGCGATCAGAGTCCCAGAGCTCAACACTAAGGTTCTCATCGGCTTTAATAAGCTCAGGAGTGACCAGAAGAGCTGCAGTCTCTTCCCAGATCGGATTCAAGTCATCCGTGATGACGCGCGTGCAGTACATTGGTTTGCCATACTTGGAAAATGCCAAAGTGATGTATGGATCGCTGCCGCCATGTTCGCTCCCACGCTTGTCCTGTTTGCTGAGACCAACAGCTCTGTGAATGCGGATCCACATGACACCGAGCGCCAATACATCCTTCGTAATGTCATCTCCTTGAAGTATAGCTCGCATGTCAATAGACATTGACTTCGGAGCAACATACATGCTAGCGGCAGCACCGATGGCATAGTTGACAAAGTTGGAGATCAGGGGAAGGTTTAAGATGTTCACGCCCTTCTCGACCATGGGAATACATCCTGCCTTGACCTGAGGTGTGCCCATCAAGGTAAACGTCAAGTTCTTCAAGAACGGAGGCTCAGGTGTCATAGCAAGTCGAAGCCGAATTGTTCCTACAAGTCCTTGAAGCTCGACAAAGATTGGCAATGGAACACCAAACAGACCCTTGATACCAAGATAGAAGACGAGTTGCATATGCATGTTGCGAGCTTTATCAGAAGCGCGTTTACCAGACGGCGCAGCGTGATACGCAAATGACACTTCGAGGTTGTAGTAATCGCCGCCTTCTTCGTCAGCCGCAGCTTCCTGGGGATCCTTTGTTTTTTTGTTTTCATCGTGGATAGTCTTCTTCATGTCTTTCATATGCGAGTCTGGAAGGGCGCGCAGACTGAGTATCCGGATCGGATTGCTGCCTTGACTAATTTCAGCAACTCTGACGTTCTCAATGACACCAGGTACCGAAGCTTGCATCACGTCTTCGAGAGTATCTGCAACGCCCTGAAACATGTCAGGGTTGATAAGGCCCCAGACGATTCCGAGTAGAGTGTTCATCCACTCTACGGACTCAGGTAGCAGATTTGCCGTTGCGTATTCTCCACGATTCTTCTCGCTCTCCCATTCCATCTCTCGCCCGCTGCGAACGACTTCCTTAGTCCACAGCCACACACCCGACGTCAGACACATAGCAAGAGGAATCATGCCTAGTAGTCTGCCACCGAACATCTTTCCAATTATTACGGTGGCCAGAAATATGCCAATACATAAGGCGTTTGTTCGCGACTCCAATGCGGCGAACATGGGCTCGTAGCTAACCGAGGGTGTAGGATGGAAGAGGATATTAGTCTTTTCTCCGTGGATTGGGACATCAGATGTTGCGCCCTCTGTCACTGGATCTGGGGGAGCAGTGACATCCTGTGCCTCTCTGTACTCCTCGCCAGACATGTTTGCCGCGGTTTTGACTGGCTGGAATGGGCGTCAGTCATATCGATCATTTCACCAGCAGAAGGATTGCGTACAGTGTCTTTACCAAGATTGGCATTAGGAACAGAGAGCATGGGATTCGTCACTCTATCCATTATACTAGGATCGACATCCTCAATCGTGACTTGCTTGCCAGTTGTTGGATCCGTAACAATCTTCTGGGTGCCTTTGACACCGGCTTTCTGGTTCTTGTGAGGGACCGCGTCAGAGCCCCCATGAGCTGCAGCTTGTTTCCTAGCTTTCTCTGCGTCGTCAATTTGACGATCGCGTTCTTTTTTGTCTTTATCCATGTTTTCCATGAACTTCTTTACAGTTGGCACAGGATTTGCACCGGAGTAGTGGCCTCCAGGCGCATGCTGCTGCTGCTGTTCCGCCATTGTGGGTGGTAGACAAGAAGCTTTTGTTCAACGTCCGCGGTCTGCAGGCTTCGTAACGGGTGAGGTTGGACTTAGTTTTGGAGCCCTCGACAGAAATAAAAGCAACTGAACGAGAAAGATCCAATCAGCCCAGCCTGTAAAAAGGATCAAGAGCTGAACCGAGATCAGAAAAAGAACGCATCTACTTCTGAACACCAAAAGGTCAGGTCAAATTGAAAGCAAGGAATCGTGGGAAGCAAGGGAGGAAGTCTAGCTAAGTGGGTACTGTAGATATGCCGTGGCTGTTATAGATGATGTCATGGCGTTGTAGCTTCTGTCTTGGCATATCAGATCCACGATCTGGACAGCCACAACGAAACTCGCTTAAGGAGCCGCCCATTCCTAGCTGGATTGACACCTGCACCTGTACTCGGGAAGGATACTACTCATCACTTCAGCTCACTTCAGACATCTACTATTATCAATCAATACTACTTGGATAATGTCTTGTAAGATAACCACGACAGATCTGTGTAGCAATTAAACCTCAATCCGTGGTACATGGGCATTGCGAATGCACAATGGCGCAACCCGATTTGTTAATGCCATTTCATGCATGCACCATGGCTAGGCCATCAGCCATCGCCCAAGACTCTCGTTCCCCAACCGTCGTCTCATCAAGCATTCTGTTATCCATCTCGATTCTTTCCTAGCCATGTCTGACGCCAGCTTTACCACCTTCACCAATTGTCGATACTGTCTTAACGGGAAGCTGGTCGATGACCGTCTGGTCGTATCTGGCGACTCTGGCACCATACTGAACACAACTGGCTACATTGGCGGGGACATTATAGATCTGGACGACGCCATCATAGCCCCGGGTTTCTTGGAATTGCATACCAATGGCGTTCATGGCTTTCATTTCACCCATTATGAAGACAGCAACCAGTACCAGAGCAGACTGAATGACACAGCTCGCTACTATGCAACCCAAGGCGTCACTGGGTTCTGGGCTACGATACCAACCGTGTCATCAGAGAACTTTAAAAAGGTAACTCCAATCAAGTCTCCATAAATTTTATTTGGGTATGCAGAGTCATTTCAAGAGTGTATCTGCCGCATGTCTATGTCTTTTGTCAGTTTCAACCTCTTACATCTTTCCATAATAGTTTGATGCCTGGATCGTCAGGTTGGCGTTTTAGACTGTTCACTATACAACCCAAGTCTAGAGGTGCTCATCCCCTGTTGCAGATACTGCCCTCATTATCACCTCAGGACTTTCCGGGCGGCGCTTCTCTACTTGGTGCCCATGCCGAAGGTCCCTTCCTATGGCCATCTAAGAAGGGTGCTCATAACGCGTCGCTGTTTGCCAGTCCACCTACAACTCCTGTCGATATATATGGCAATGTGAGTCTCCAGAAGTCATTAAAACTGGTCACTGTAGCCCCAGAGATTCCTGGCTCAGCCACAACCATTTCAACCCTCACCACACATGGTATTAAAGTCTCCCTCGGCCACAGTGATGCCGCGATCGAACAAGGTGCCGTCGGTCTCTCTGCCGGGGCGATCATGCTCACCCACGTCCTCAATGCGACTTCGCCTCTCACATCTCGTGCTCCTGGCCTTGCAGGTCTCATAACCCTGCCTGAGAACAACACACCAAAGCCTCCGTACTACTCAATCATTGCTGACGGGCATCATTTACATCCGAGTACGCTAGCGTTTCTGCACCGCGCTGCACCACAGAGATCTATATTGATCACAGACAGTATCGAATTGTCTGGTCTGGCAGACGGTGTGCACCCAGGGCATGCCCAAATCCCGTTTCCACAACGCAAGCAAGGCACGCGCGCTACTATCGATGGGACCGAGACTCTGATAGGAGGATGCATCAGTCTACAAGAATGCGTCAGGAACCTGATCAAATGGACCGGCTGTGGAATTGCAGAGGCTGTGCAGTCTGCGACCGAGAACATTGCGTCGATGATGGGAATAGACGGCGAGGGAGGACGAGGATTTCTGGTACCCGGACAGAGAGCAGATCTGTGTGTGCTGAATGATGAAGGAGAGGTACTGCAGACATGGATTTCAGGGAAGAAAGTCTGGGACAAGGACGGCATATAGCCTGAAGAGCCCTCGGTTGATATACCCTCAAGTTCGTTGAGCTTTGGTGACGGCTGCCATCAGGAGACACTACTGACCTTGTCGGAATATGGCTATCACACTTCCGACACCACCCTCAAAGTTCGTTAGCCGAGATGTCTCACACAATCGCCACAAATCTACTTGGCATGTTGCACCATGGTATCAAATGATGCTGACCACGGCTCTGTCAACTCGCCTATTCCCTTTTCGACATTGCAGCCCTGGTCAAGTCCCTACTGACACGACATCTACTCCACTTTCTTGCGCAAGAGCCCCGCTCGAATGGTGTATGTCCATTGGCTCTCTGCGACTCTTAACTCTGGCAACGTCACCAATGGGTTGCTGTGGAGCTTTTGGGATGTCCTGGGTTGATGACTGTACAGGTCGTTGTTCCTCAAGACAAATATAGTCGTGTCGATTGGCTTCTGTCTTACCATAACTCACGTGGCCCCTGGGAGTGACGTGCATAACGGCTATATAGCCGCTTCCATAACACTGAGATACGAGAGGTAGCAGTTCCTCGTATAAACTGCCACATAGATAAGCCCAGTCCTTTACGCCATAGTCTTCGCCCTCCGATGCTTTCCCTTTAATCAACCACAATGTCTGCACAGGTCCTCGCCACTGTTAGTGATCTTATCGTCTCCCATCCCTACCTCACTGCCCTCCTTGCCCTCCTCACCTACATCATAGTCCAGCACACGCGCTCTTACCTCTCTTTGTCGCATATTCCTGGCCCACCACTTGCGCACCACACTACCCTCCCTCTCATCCGTGCCTGCCTCTCCGGCCACACTGCGTCCTACCTCTCCACCATCACCGCCCAATATGGCCCTCTTGCACGTATCGGCCCCGATCACCTCCTCACCTCCGACCCCGCAACCATCCAGCGCATGAGTGGGGCAAGAAGTCCCTATCGCAAGAGCTACTGGTACGGCGCAATGAAGTTCAAGCCACGTAGTGAGAATTTGCTGTCAGAGAGGGACGAGGCGAGGCATGAGGCGCTGCGGCGAAAGATGGCGGGGGCGTATAGTGGCCGAGAGGTGGGCGTGGAGGGAGTTGTGGACGAGCGCGTGGAAGAGATGGTAAGCCTGATCGAGAAGAAGTATGCGATCAGCAAAGAGACGAGTGGTCCCAGCGCAGAGCGAAACTATCTCAACGTTGCCTTGATCACGCAATACTTCACTGTCGATGTAATCTCGCATCTCGCATATGGCGTTCCCTGGGGCGACGTCGCTAGCGAAACTGACAAGTACGGATATATCGAGGCGAGCGAGACGAATATGCCGACTATTACCGCGATGGCACTCCTTCCTCGCTTACTGGCGTTCTTTGAGAAAAGTTATATTTTGGACTGGCTAAGTCCGGCGACACAGGAGAGTGTTGGGTTGGGGATGATAGTTAATGCGACAGGCCCGATCATCCGTGCGCGATTAGCTATGGGGAAGGAACACCAGGAGAAAGATATGTTGGGAGCATTTATTCGGAGTGGGTTGGGAAGAGAAGAGCTGGAAAGTGAATCTACGCTACAGGTGTAAGTGGTCGTTGTTTACTGTTCATTATGGGTAAAGGCTTACCTAGGTTAGACTTGCGGGCTCGGACACGACTGCGACAACGATACGGGTTGGACTGTTGTATATCTGCTCTAATGCATCCGTGTTACGAAAACTACGTGCGGAATTCGACAGTGCTGAGATTTCGAGCCCGATTACTGATGCCGAGGCCCGCAAACTTCCATATCTGCAAGCAGTCATCAAGGAGTCGATACGAATTGTGCCACCTGTGACGGGCATGTTCTCGAAGGAAGTACCCCCAGAAGGGGACATCATATGCGGGAAGAAAGTTCCAGGAGGGACGCTAATATCGTGAGTAGAAAAATGCCTAGTCACGTTGGGCCAGACCTCTCAGATGAGCTGACAGTCATTGCAGTCAATGCTCACTTGCAATTCAACGCCACGAAGTTTTCGGAACCGACCCTGAGAGCTTCATTCCGGAGCGCTGGATAGGTATATCGCCGGAACAACACCATGAGATGTCTCAGACTGTAGATCTCGTTTTCGGCTATGGCAAGTATCAATGCCTTGGAAGACCAGTAGCGCTACTCGAGCTGAACAAAGTGTTTGTTGAGGTATGTGCGACTGATTTGAACTTGATGTGCGAGTACTGATGGCGTTGCAGTTGTTGAGGAGGTTCGACTTTACAGTGCGCGATCCGCAAAATCCGTGGGATGCTAATAACGCTGGGCTGTGGTCTCATCGTAATTTCCTTGTGAGCGTGTCGCAGAGACAGGACGTCCAATGAAGGCTTTCGACAGAGAGGCCCTTCGTGGAAATGGAACGGAACTTGGTTCTACAGAAGTTGCTATACCGACGGTTTTGCTGCAGCTGGTCCGAATTTCTTTTACAAATAGTGTCAACATATGACAGGCCAGGCACGTATGTACCCAGACACTGGAGCGCTGTCCAGAAGGCTGTATGCGACAAAGATGCTGTATGCTGCAATCTGGTATACTGCGGGCTGCGATGAATATTCTTGTCGCTACGATGTAATCACAATAGACAGACAGATTCAGCTGCAAATGGTCAGTAAGCACGGTGCGGGCCTTAAGGAGATGCTTTGTGGGATGTGGTAGCAGCAAACTGCCACCTTTCAGTCAAGAGACGACACTGTCTTCTCTATGTTGCTACGTCGGTTTCACTATTCGCCGGATCTTGTCCGGTTGTTAAACTCGGATCTTTCATCTAAGAATTACGCTTAAGCGCCACCCCTCAATTCGAGAAAGCAGATATTCCAATAAGACCCTGTATTACAAGGATATGGCTTGTGACTGACATCACAGCTGCAGTCTTCGGTTTTGCCGTTGAAAGAGCGGTATCAGTAAATCCATTATCGAGAACAGGCCATCTGTTACATTTCCTTGAACATAGCATTTCAAACACGTGGAGATGGCTACGCTATATGATCAAGTAGACTTGTAGTCTGATGAGCCATAAGCCAACAAAATCTTATCGTGGATTGGCATTCAAAGATCCCGGCGCCCCTGTGCGCTTAAATTCGGGCCTTTCTGTAAGGCTCCTAGTAGGCATATTGCCCTGGACAGGGATGTATTTGTTGCTTCGCCCAGAGGCTCAGAGCCTAGAGGACGGGACGGAAGCTCTAAGCGCTGTAGAGCCATGACTCCGACGGAAGCACAAGTCGATATAATACTTTCGAAACGAGCTGAATTGGGAGTTGTCACGTAAGATTGAGGAACATTCAGACTTGAAATATCGATTCATTCTGAACGACACCGTGACGGTAGAACTCAGCTGATGGCACAATATTGATTGTAATTAACAGCATTCGGCCCTAACCTAGCTCATATGCGACTTAATCTCGCCGCTAGACCGGCATCTCACCACTTCTCTCCCAAGCATGATTTAATGCACAAGTCATAAAGAATAACGAACCCTGCATCTGGCCCCAAAGACATAGCTCATATCGAGGAAGGTCCTCAGAGTTTCCTCACAAACAGAGTCTTTCCAGAGACGACATGTGTTCGATTTTTTTTCTCCAAGCGTAAGCTTGTTTACTTAGCCGCGGTAGTTATGGCGCTAGCGAGTTCGAGCGATTTGCACGACGTGAACAAGCGCGTGACGCCGTGTCGTGTATTGTAATTGGCGGACACGAAACAGCGTCTCAACAGTTCTTGCTTACGCCGCTGATACACCAGTTGAACCTCACTGGGCTGTACGGCATCTGCTCGGCCGACATATCTTCAATCGGCCTTGGTAGGGCTGACAACGATTCTTATCCTTGCGTGAGAACGGCCGGCGGACAAGAGGCGAGGTTGCTTGGTCTTCCTGCTGGGGGCAACATCTGGTCCACAAAAAATAACGATACTAGATTGTTACCATTGGTCTAGTATGCGTTTCGCGTCGGCGCGATACAAAGATATTGCTCCTCTCTAGGCACCAGCAGACCACTGGCAACAATGCACGTTCTGTCCGTCGAGCGGGAGGCACAGTAGTCAACGACAGTGTACCGGCATGGGAAAGCATTGCAAATGACCAATGACGAGACCTGACCGGTCAGTCCTCGAAGCTTGGCGGCCCGAAAATCAGAGAGCAGTCTGCTGCAGTTCAGACTCTTGACACGACGAGGGGAGACGACTGGACAGTGGCCCACCACGCGTCAATATACTGTCTACACAGTACATAGTCACAGATAGTAAACAGCAGTCAGTAATCACTACGGACGCATGTATCCCACGGATCTGGTTCCGCCTCCAATAGCGGCCTTCATATCATGTTAAGTATACCATTCGCGTTCACTTGATGAGAAATAATGTTCGCTAATTGACAAAATTCTCTCGAAGCTAGCGCTGAAGACTATTCCACTCTTGAAATCGCGGCTCTTGTATTTCTGCACAACTCACAATCTGAAGGCAGCCTTGCGCTTGTGGGGCACCAGCTCCGTGCCTCATTGGCTTGTTGGTGTGTTTTGAAACGGGGGCGGCCAACACGGCGTTAAATTGCGGCACAGCAAACATCCTCGACTCGCACAGGTTTGGGGCCATTTCTTCGGTCAAGTATTGGTAGCTAATTAACCTCCCTAGCACGCTGGCAGTTGTAGACCACTTTACCGGGTCACCTTCACACCACCTCTCTTGCAGTGCAAGGCGTCCTTGATGCCTCTCCTCGCCATATCAGGTCACTAATTATGATTTAGCGTTTCTGTACTATGCACATCATTCCCCTTTCGTCTCTTTTCGGGAGCTCGTTTGTCGTACGGCGCAGCTTGTCTTCCTTCTCTCATATATTTCTCACGTTCCTTACACACTCTCTTCAATTGATAGCCAGGACCGGACGCCTTCATACGCAAGATCATATTCTTCGTGAAACAGAGACAGAGAGTGTGTGTCAGAGCCTTTCAAACCCTCGGAAGTTGCCAATCGTCAGAAATCATCTCAGACGAAGATCATGCCTGTACCACAAAGCAGAGTCCGAAGGACTCACTCGGAGAGCAGCTTCTCACACCCAAGCTCACGGTCCGAACGAAGCTCACACTCACCCGTCCCGGCATCCCCAGATTCCCTCCCAATGTCTCCATCCTCAGTCCTCAGCGGCAGCACCGCATACACCACCAGCAGTCGCTACCAGCCCCTCACACCCCACGGCATGCCCAAGTCCCCGAAACTCAACACAAAGGGCCTGAGTCCTACCAGCCACCGCTTCGACCCCGAGCCGCGATCCCCAGCTACGACGGCGTACACACAGCCGTCCTTTGTGTCGGAATTGCACATCTCCCCCGTCTCCCCTGAGCGCACCATCCTGCCTCGTCTCACGTATATGCCCAAACGCTCCGGTGCCCCCCGGAGTCGGAGCGAGTCCCGCTCCCCGCATCGAGCGAGGCACGAGACCGCGTCCTGTGCGACGTGTAATAGCTCGCTCTTCAAGCGTATCAGCGACAAGGTGCGTCGGATCAAGCTGCAGCGCGTGCCGAAGAAGAAGTCACCGAAGCCAGAGAGGCATTTCGAGGTTGAGCGCGTGCAGGATTTGCATTGGTCTGAACTATGAGTCTGTCTGGAGCTTCAACGCACGACGTATGCTACGAACTTTCTTTTGTTACTGAAGATTGAAACGAACTTATGAAGGATTTGCTCAACGGTATACGAGCTTGGGCGGCGGGTTCACTTGATTATCACAAACTTGCGGATACCCCATATCTCCTTTGTCGATGATACTGAATTGGTATTCGCGTCTCAGGTGTTGGGTGGTACAGTCTTTGCGTTTGAAGCGTGGCGTTATCATGATATTGGGAGGCCTTCTGTTATACTCTGATCACTTGCGTTACCCCAAAAACATCTCTTCAAGACCTACACATTTATCGATATCACAACTTGTCGAATCTACAAAATCGTACCTTTTCAGGTCGTCATTGTGTCATCAGTAGATTTCTCACCGCTTAATCTGCTCCCCAGCTTCCTACGTGGCGATGGCAAGGGCGTGTTCTGTTACTGCACCATACGAACTTGCGTCCTTTAGCCCACACTTCTTAAAGCCCAGACTCTGCGAAACTATCATCCTATTGATTCATCCTCTGCCAATTGATATTTCCGGCGCGCGTCGAAGCTGAAACCATTCTAGGCTGGAGTTCTAATAATTCGCATCGAATCCGCCTCGCCTGACCCCAGATCGGGGCTTGGATTTGAACCACGTTCTGTATACCGGCCAGCCGAGTCAGTCTAAGTAGCAGTGCCTCTGCGCCTCAAGTGAGTGCGCCACAGCGCCACACCAACGCGCACGATGATATCTGATCGAATGGCTGACAGGACCGTGAACTGTTTCCACACAATAGAAGTATTCGAAATCCCATCTCAACCACAGGCGGCACTATCTTCTCGAAAAAAAAAGCCAAACCCACTATCGCGGAGGAGATTCTATTTCGGTCTCACCGACAACAACAAGAGAAATCCTCGTTCGAGGCAGGTTGGGGGAGTGGGATGCATGTTTCCTGGTGTTGTCGTGTCGCGCGCGCTTAGACTGCCGAATGGCGGTGGGCTAGGCAGTAACCTCGGCTCTAAGGAGCGGCCCGGGATATCTCCCCGGCTAGGATGCTTGGCGCAACTGTGAAAATAACCGGGTAGCGAAACATTGGGTGCAAATAGACGCGTAGGGCTGAAAGACAGAGATTGACATGCGCGATTTATGTAATCTCTGCACCAATGTGCAGAACGTTGATTGGGATTTTGCATGGCACATACCGACCTATTCCCTATCACGAAAACCTGCCATCAACGCCCGCTTTCATTCTTTGACATGAGTACTCCTGCAGTTGATCAAATAGCCTCTTATGGTGCGCCACCGATAGATGTCTCCACCAACGCCAACTCCTTATATTGCAATATACTCACACAGATAGATCTTGCTTCCAACGGTATAAGCTTCAATCATAGTGCATAAACAGCTGACTGATGCTTTCACCATGGTGGTTCCTTCGAATGGCTTCGGCGAGCAGGTTGTCAACAGGTAGTATGATCAACTTGTTCGACTGTGTCATCATCTCGTTGATCGGAAATGAGTTCGTGATGATGACTCGCTCAATGCATGCGCACTGTTGAAATTGCTCCAGACACTCGGCTCCAAACACCCCGTGTGTTGCCATGCAGTATACTTTCGTTGCGCCTCCTCGTTTTACGACTGTCTCTGCTGCTGCAATCCATGACGCTGCTTTGTCGATGATATCGTCTACGATGAACACTGGTCTGTCTTTAACATTACCGACCAGGGTTACGTGGGTCTCTAGTTCCGGATTGTTGAGATTATCATCTTCGTCTTCAGACGAGTCTTGTGCGTCGTATGATCCGCCAAGAGGGTCACCCCTATTTGCATGCGCTGAAGATGCTGTAGATATGAATGACTGCGCCATGTGTTCTCCCCCGGCAGCACTCTCATCATCTGAAGGCGGCCCGCCGGTGGTCGTACCTGTGCCAGCGCGGTACCGTGAAGAGATGACGCTGCCGGACACAGCGGACATGGACGGCGACGGAATAATATCATCTACGACGTGTCCGTGAACTAGTCGCCCGTGAACGACGTGGCGTGCGCGCTGGCTTGTTAGCGAAGTTACACAACCAAATGGATGGACATAGTCACCTCATCTGTGTACTCTGGCTCCTTATCTGCGTCCTCGGCCTCATCATCTCCGTCCACTGAGGTACTTGCCGGTGAATCGTTCTCTTGCCCGTCCTGCCGGTGTGGTGACGGAGGGGCGTGATCTGTAGATTCCTGCTTGATAGTAGTATTTGTGAGGCTCTTCTCTAAAGATGAACCGTTGACCCGTCTCTGTGCGTGAGTAATTGTGTGAGGCCTCAACGCGCGCTTGTTCGCCAGTGCAGATGTTTCCACAACACTTTCCGGTATGGGCTCCAGAGGTGGTGTGGTGTGTGGGCTTGCTTGCGAACGCTGGTCACTGAGGTTGAGGCCTGGAGGCTCGCTCATCTTATCGACGCGCAAGCCGTCTAGTACCATGCTGTCGCCAATACCGAATGTTCCTTGCCTGTGGGGCTTCGCTTGCTCCGCGGTGATGATACCAAAGCTAAGCTTCAAAGCATCTGCTAACGAAGTCACACGTTTTGTCCCCCCAGGGTTCTTGCTGACAACTACTGCTTTTCTCCAGTCTGGTATATTGACCTTTATCCAACGCGCTAGTAACGGCTCTGCAATGAGGTTGTCGACCGGACATTTGAAGAAACCCTGCATCTGGCTGGCATGAAGGTCGATTGTGATAACATGATTTACACCGGCAACACCAAGGAGGTCTGCGACGAGCTTTGCTGTGATTGCGCCGCGATGAGACTTCTTCTTCGATTGCCGCGCGTATGGAAAGTAGGGCATAACAGCTGTAACCATTAGCGTCGCCCTATGTTATGCTTAGAGAAGTAGAAATCATACCTGTTATGCTCCTCGCCGAGCCGCCTTTGCAAGCTGAGATCATAATAAGGAGTTCGATAACCGCATCATTGATACTGTGACCAAGTCAGCCAGACCCTCGCTATTGTGAGCACACGTCATACTTGCTGCACCCGCTCTGTACAATGAAAACATCTTGGTCCCTAATCGAGGTCTCTAGATAATGATAAGACTACGTCGAGTACAATTGAACATGCGGCGTGACTCACGAATTTGCACACTGGTCTCGCCGTTGCTGAACTTTCCCAGCTGAGCGGATCCAGGCTTCTGCCCCAGACGATCGCAGATACCCTCCACGAGCCTCGGATGAGAAGTGCCGGAGAAGATTTGCACCTGACGCATCTTTGGACGGGTTGAACCGATAGACTCGGGGGAGCGTGGTTTGGAGGAGGGAGGAGTGAGATCTCACTCGGAACAATTTACAAAAGGTTGAGTTGCGCTCTAGACAGCTCCCGACTTTTTGCTGCAACCGGTCTTGTCGTTAGTGGGGGCTTGCAGCGCTGGAGTTAGCACGCCTAATCCTTGCGCAAGGACCAACAAGCAGGTGCGCCACATGTTACCTTTCACCCAGATAATTAACTGAGGGAACTTGTCAAGCCTTTAACGTGTCGAACATCTCCGTCACTTGAAGTAATACCGCTCGTCCTATGCGACTACAGCCCATAACACCCAGGAGACACGCCTATATACCCCCGCGTGATCGCAAACCCTACTTAGTAAAGTGGTAGCACTAAATCGAGTGGCTCGGCCGGTCATGGATTCTAAGTTCTCCCAAGTTTTCACATTTAATAAGCAAGACTTCCATCAGGTATCATGGCTGTAGAAGTAGTGCTGCAGTCTCCGCGCAATTCGAGTCAAGACTGTCATTATCACATAATCAGCTTCATCGGCATCATCGCTCTGCCAACTAGGATCCTGGCGCGCGATCGACAACTAGAGATGACATAGAAGCCCACAGAACAACAGGAACATCATCATTGGACCTAATATCTCCTAGAGCGTTTCGCCAAACGCTCTGAGACTTGATGCAATCCCATGAGCGTTATCCAATAAGTTTTAGTATATGCTACTGAATTTCGTGATCTAGTACTGGCACACCTTGACACTAAAGGAGCCACATCAAATGAACAACCTTCCCTATCGATGAACCTATAATGAATGCAATTCTGGTATTATAATGTCTAGTTGGGACCAGCAAGAGTAAATCTGCGATATATTTTGCGAATACAGCTTCAAGACTTGATTCGTTCTTGGCTGTACCAACATATCGTTTGTAAGGTCAAGAAGCATTCGAGACTTCAAATATGATAGATATACTTGCTCCCAGGCTTGCCACGGGGCCTGGAGGAAGTGGAGTGCATATAAGCCCATCTCTCCCTGTTAGAACAAATTTCTTTCATTGAGTGCATATCGCCCTATTGAGAAACGTAGACACAACTCCTGGTGGGACGAGCAACTGGAACAGCGAATAGCATTATAACGTGATGGTAAGGTTTGAGAGTGGTTCGGATCGATGACCTTAGATCAAAAAGTAACCACCCTGTACCGTTTTTGCATTGCAAACCGCTGGCGGGCTTAGACTATGAGTCTCACGGTAGGCCCATCACAGTCCCGGATCGATACTGGGTTGAAGTGCAACCACTCTTATCAAAAATAGAGCCAAAGCTCGACTCATAATGTCCTTATATATGAACATTATTTATTACCCCAGCATATAGCTCAACAACCGTCTGTTTACTCTCTTGTGACCGTGGAACGTTATCTCGATGCAGACAAGATCTAATGACGATTATAACGCGAGATGGTATCACAAATGGTAGTATTTTGGCCCTGATATGAATAAATCGAGAGTTCTATAAGCCTAGTCATTGTGAGACTTTGGGCACAAGTGACGGGCGGTATAACTAGTAGTGACAGAGCATACGAGAGGGGTTGGAAGAGCATTTCAGGGAGCACGGGGTCGAAAGGCCATGTCAGTCCAGCGATAAAAATTCGGAAAAGCTGATCCGACATGTTGGCACGCGATCTATTCTTACATGACCAAGCTTCGGCATTGAAAAGCCATGCAACTAAGGTACCAGCCACATCTAGTACCTCCGAAAGGATGCCTCATTGAGCCTAGCACCAAGGGACCAACCCCCGGACTTCCAAGGTTAATTTCAACCACCTCTCTCGATCATGCTTGCCACAACAATGATTATTCCAACCTTCTAGTCGCAAATACGAGATAGCTCTTATCAGGCAGATTTTCAATCATCGGCAAGCTCGTTTTGCGACTCAAAGGCTCTATCATGCAACCTGGAAGGTCGGGGTGTGCCCAATCAGGAAGGTTGTATTCAGATGTTGTGTTTCACACCGAGATTCTGTTCTGCACGTGGCACTTACCAAACGGCAACAGAAGCTACTTTTAGGCTTATAGCGATTGTATCTGCTATCACTACTATCTCTATATCTAGCAGTCAATCACGGCCGGCATGGAAAAGCGACACAGCGTACGTGGAAATGCGATGGAACCTAGCATCCATTCAAGGATATCCTACTTTGTCGTACCTCAAAACTCATGGACTCTCAACTTACTCCAATATATCTGACCTTATCATAACAGCCTTGATGTTCATGTTGCAGTCGTAGACTACATGCTAGAGACGGGCGCAACGTCACCGGCGCATCAAATGTGGAAGGGGCTTGCGGTCAGAGATAGCATATGGACACGCGACTCAATTATCACTGTAGGTTCAGCAGAGAGTTTCAAGGATAATTAAGCTCCTATGGAGTACAGACGTGTACCTGACAACGAAGCGAAGCCACATCCGCCCATGCGGAAAAAATCTCCAGCCACTTTGGTTTACCTGTGTTTTCCCTCCCCAAATCCAAGCCACATTCGAGGAAATCATTTTCCAGCCAGCTTTAGCATCAGGGATATCTTGAGATGAGATCTGACTGCGTACTCCTCGATCTAGTCTGGTCATCACCTGGCATGGCGAGCCCGGAGTAATATGTCCTGAAGGCTGGACCACCCCACGTTCAGTGTGGCTGCCATCAGTTGAACGTAAGATCGGCGTGGTCTCAGCTGTCTCAGTGCATGCTCCGATTAGAGCACCAAGAATATGCTACACTATGGTCGTACGTCAGCGTGGAGTTAACGGCGCATTGTTGTGTCTCGCCCGAACGTATGGAGAGAACACCACTCGGATCGTGACATTTGGGTGGGTAGTGGATGCCACCTCATAGGGTTATATCCAACTCCGAACAAAATGAGAAATAGCTATAAAGGAATTGCAGCCGGTAGGAAAATAGCTCACTTCGTCTTGCTTGCCAGGCACACTTCTTGAAAAGCTATTCATAGTAAGAGCCAGATAGTGTCTCAGTCCCTCACACCATGCATACCTTGTCAATCGCCACCTATATAGCTTTTCTAGCAAGTACTACTTACGCAGGATTCAGTTCTGACTCCAAGAGCAATGTAGCTGTATACTGGGGTGCGTATGTTGTCATATGTGTTTCCGAACTGTCGCTAAATCTAGTTCTTGAAGGACAAAACTCTTATGGACAAAGTAGTGGCGATCTGGCGCAACAAAGATTGTCATACTACTGTGAAAGTACGTTCGGACCATTGGAATTTCCTGAGATGAGTAGTTGATAGTTTGCAGACACAGATTTTGATGTAATCGTTATGTCCTTCCTGACTCGCATCAATGGTCAAGGTGGTCAACCGGAGCTCAACTTCGCCAACCAAGGTGATCTCTGCGAAGTCTTTTCTGGTACCAATCTCCTGGACTGTGCCGAGCTCGCGTAGGTGTCATATCTGTAGGACGCTTCTGAATGCTAATCTATGTATGTAGTGCCGACATACCGACATGCCAATCTCAGGGCAAGACAATCTTACTATCTATAGGTGGCGCCACTTATACCGAAGGTGGCTTCCAGTCTGAATCTGCTGCTATAGAGGGAGCTCAGATGGTCTGGGACATTTTCGGGCCCATGACCTCTACATCTGGGAACCGCCCGTTCGGGAATGCTTCAATTGATGGCTTCGACTTTGACTTTGAAGCTGGCGTTCAGAACATGGTTCCCTTCGCAAACAAGCTTCGTTCACTCATGGACACCGAAAGATCCAGGGAGTTCATTTTGACGGCGGCCCCGCAGTGTCCTTATCCCGACTCTGCGATGAACGCCATGCTTGATGGTGCAGTTAGCTTCGATGCATTATTGATCCAATTCTACAACAACTATTGTGGTTTGCAATCGTACCAGGATGGCGCTGCCGATCAATGTAAGTAGTGCGCGACTTCCAGCCCCTTGTCCAGGATACTTACACACTCTAGCCAGCTTCAACATGAAGCAATGGAACGATTGGGCGACGCAGACATCCAAAAACAAGGACGTGAAGATCCTGCTCGGTATGCCCGCCAATACAGGTGCGGCTGGCTCCGGTTATGTTACGATCGATAAGCTACGTCTGATTATTGGGTACTGCAAGCAGTTCTCCAACTTTGGCGGCGCCATGATGTGGGATATGACCCAAGCTTACGCCAACAAGGATTGGCTCCAGGATGTGAAGAGTGCCTTGACAAGCAACTATAGGAGGTTCTTTGCTTAGATCATGTGGTATCATCCATGTTTATATATTCTGTTCATCTCTGTTCATTTCTGTTCATACTGGCTCTTTTGTATATTTGAGCTTTTTGTTTAGTTTCGGGGAGGGTTCGGCCAGCCCTTCCGGTACATAGGCCACTCTGACGAAGAACATATGATTGATGTATTACTGGCAAGACATGTGTGTTACATGTCCATACTCATGCTTATTTACAATGTGATCTCTCGTATCCTTCCATCTACCCTGTTGTATGACGGACTATGATATCGCATATAAGTAGTTACGTAACTACGCAATTCGACTCATAACTTTCCGTCTTTTTGAATCTACAGGATTCCGAAGTAGATCGATATGGATTTACGAGGGAAACATCTGCATTCATCGTACCATCATGCAAGAACACGCAATCATCGCTTTTTCCAAGCTTACGACCCGGTTTATGGCTACGTTACCCAAGTAAGTGAGATCTCTAGCGTCAACTCCACTTTGACCTTGAGAGGACTTTTTCCACTTGATGAATCTTGAGATTTGTAAGACCTTCGGGCGAAACACTCTGACTACTTCAACACTTCTTGTGCAACAATAGCAGAATCCTCGAGGTCGTCCGTCGAGCAAGCATCGAACACGCCTTACTTTCAGATAGAGTTGGTTGGGCATCAGATGATGTAGCATCACAAAGTCTTTCGGACGTGCTCTCATGCGCGACGCAAGGCTGTGTTAACAGGGATACTGATCCTGCCAGGAAAAACGCACGAGGATATATGCACCGCCACGGTTGGAATTTCTCTCTATAACTAATTGTGAGGCCGGATTCAACACCTGTTTGTGCGGCATTAATATCTCAAAGATGTCGCATCTTCTCTCGCAGGCATGAACACCCCTGGCCGCCACCAATTTTCTCAGCTCGCATTCTCCCCGTTCATCGGCTGTGTAGCAACCCATGTTGACGTATAACCTGGTTTGTCTTCCTTCGTATCTTCAAGCCTCACTTTGCTGACCTGCTGCCTGGCTATCTAACGGAGGCCACGCGATGTCTCTTTATCTAGCTCAAAGCTTCGATGGCTGGCTTAGCAATCTCTACTTTTTGTCTAAAACTTCGTCGCGATGGAGACCACGCCAAATCCAGTCAGTGATTTTCTGAATAATTACCGATCGGGGTTCGTTGGAGGCCATGCCTGGGTCGACAGCTGCGTGAATGCGCTCCGAGTAGTGGCCCCTTCTGAACCAGACGCGGTCGCAGCAGTGCTGGTCAACTTCTATGGTGTTGCGAGTGGTGCAACAAATGGTTCGTTCTCGGACACATGGGGCATTTCCGCGGCTGGATGTCAGCGATACTGTAGCCGGGCAAGACTGGAGATGAAGTTCGACTACAGTGTGTTTTCGGCTGGTCTAACGAACTACTTTTTACCTTGGTTGTTTCTCTCGGCGCAGTTGCCATTCGATACTGGATCCCCCTTCAAGAACTTCATGAGTCTTTGCCTCGCGATAGGTAGTCCGATGCTGATCACTTTCTCTCTGTTCTCGACTGCTCTGAATGGAAACTGGATATACAATCGATTCCAGAGGGTGACACACAGCCCAGATGGCTTCTTCCATCTCCAGGAAGCTGCGAAAGGTGCGCGAGACTTTCTTCGTACATCCCAACAATCTCCCATCAGGATCAATACAGAAGCATTCATGCGTTTGTTTGCCAATGACGAGACTGTTTTGAGACTATGGTGGAGATCTCTGTATACTCGGCTGACGAGAACCCGACGCCCATTCACGTTCTCTCTTATGGCACAAGGACTTTTCGCCGTCATAGTTTGGGCGTTGACGATTGCCGGCAACTTTGTCACTGGACTTGGTGTTCCTTCGCAAGCGCTACTGCTGTCGTCCGGCACACTCTGGGTCTGGCTTATTCCAGTCATAGTCGGATGGGTGTTTGTGGGGTCTCAGTCTATGGAGGACGGCATCAGTAATGCGTTGCTCGAGTACGCCGATGGTGGTAGTCGACCCGAAAAACAAGTGGCACTTCAAGCTCGCTCAGGCTTCGCGCACTCGCTCGAGTCGGAGAAATTGCCTGACGTACTTTGGAGCAAGGTTCAGGGTGACGAGCAGCTCCCAGGCCCAACCTTTAACTACGCGCGAATCTTCACGACACCACGTCTCGCAGCATCAGTCGCCTCGGCATTCGAAAAGAAACTAGAAGAGCTCCGAGAAGACGGCGATCCCAACCGGACTGAGGACTTGCGGATGTCTCGACAACTAGCTGGACAAAGACGACCATCGCCACAAGAACTTCTAGGTTGTAGCCACGGGTCTCCCCCAAATATATTTTTAGACAATTATGAGATAACACGCTCCTCAAATGCAAATCGACGACAGACAAGTGCCGTTAGTGAAGGCGATATCGAGCACGGAGGAGCGAACGGTCTTAAGCTGGCATCTCTACCTACATCGCTTGAACTATCAAGAAGCCGTTCACGAGGCACCAGTCCCGGCAAAACGTCTCACGATTCGCAACACAAAAGACCACTGTCACCAAAATCAAGGCCGTCTGTACCTGTAGATATACCACAGGGTGAGGAGTATAGATCCGGTGCCGCGGCCCCAAAAGCAACGGTCGAATCGGGGACTCTGAATGTTCCTCTCGGCAATGTACACGTCCAGACACGCGCATCCTATGGATCGACCGTTAACGGGGAGTCAGAGCCTCGGGCTTACGCCGAGTGGCGAGACCTGGATTCATCGTGGAAACGGAACATCGTCGTGTCAAACGTCATTGCCTTCTTCCTGCAATGGGGCGTTACAGGAGCAGCTGTGGTCATCGCCTACAACACTCCAGCGTACGGAATCGGTTGCAGGCCGTCCAGCTATCTTCTCTACGCGATTCTTGCAACTGCTGCGCATATCCTTCTCTTCATTTCTGTATTCCTCTCTCACGAAGTGATGTTGAACTATCAAAACGGAAGTGCAACTATCACCTGTAAAAGCCCGCGCAACTATCGTGTATACATTGTCTCTGCCCTTGCGGTGATGACACGAATTACCGGAAAGGCGATTGCCATAGCGAACACCTTTTGGATCATTCTGAGTTCGTTGTTTGAATTGGTAGGTCTGTATAACAGTTGTTTCTGTGAAGCATCGATGCTTATACCAAAAGCAACATCGTGGGTCCTATTGTTCTCATCGCAGTCGGGGGAGCTTCGTCATAATGCCGGGCGGTACTGGGCCGGGGGCATTGTCATGAGTGCCCTGGTATGCATGATTACGTGCTGGATTGTGTACCTGTATCGCACAAGAGCTTAACGAGCAAAACACAACAACGCTCAAACATATTCATCCACGTTCCCAGCCACAGTGCTTCTTCATGTCAATGGACCATGTATAGTTACGGCCGAGCTCTTGTAAGCGAATGAGGCTAGTCGTTGTGGCATCGGAAAGACAAAAGACCGGAACTCTGGGTCTAATTATCGGATTCAATGATTAGTCAAGGATTATTCTGATCTGAAAAGGCTGGTGCCTCGAGCCGAACCTGGTCTGGGCTTCTCCAAGTTGGAACAAGCTTTAACAAGCTGTGTCTTTCTAACCAAACCCGGCCAAGAGCCCTTGCAATTACAAGAGACTCTTGCTCCCGTATGCAAGCACATCCATATTCAAGTCTCGCAACGATAACTGAATCTGATGCATGTTACTGGATACCCAGATCTCTCTGTTCATAGAAGTGGCTGCTTGAGCAGTGGGCCCTTAGAAAAGTTTGAGGTGGGCCTGGAAATGCCGAAGCGGAGCATGTCTTGGCATCAGATGCCACGCGTCCCTGCTGCTTCGGATGCTAGTTTCCCCTGCGAGGTTGCTGAACCCACCGTTAGATCAAGTCTCGCGTTGGATTGAGCGAGAGAAAAGATTGGCTGCTATCTACCAGTCCAATTGCCCATGGACATAAGGGCTGGCAAGTGTAAGCCACGCGTGGTAGCGTAGTAGGGTTACCGGATGTTTTACACTTCGGTGAGGCCCTCGAGCTTCTTCTTCACTCTCGTTTTCCTAGTTTGCTCATACAATATATTTCTTTACTTTGAAGCATCCTTCTTTCGGTCGCGATTTCGTCTATTTCTTTGTCTCGACAGTCGTCAAACTTTCCAATCCTCACAATGGCTCCAAGAAAGGTCCTTGCAGACACACAGCTGCGGGACGAGACTGTGGACCACTTTTCCATAAAATACAAGGCTATAGTCTTGACCCTTCGATCTCTTGCAGTTGCTCTTTCATTTGGCACGCTATCGCTATACATTGTAGCACTGTGCTTGTATCTGGTGCGAACGCATGGCGATATTGACGTCGAGGCAACCTTCAAGTACTTGTCCATTACTGGTGTAGGTTTCACCCCGAGTAGCAAACGCTCAGATGGTTGACTTGATGCAATCATAGTCGTCATTTTCGGCAGCATGGCATCTCTTCGCCATGTGCCTTCTTGGCTCTGGAGCGCTCAACCGGATCCCCCGATGGTTCTACCTTGGTCTCGAGATTGGGTCAGGTGTTTTGATGGGAATCCTGGGCTATCTGAGCTATGCACAAGATAGAATCGGGAGACCTCCTCAATTCACACCTGAGTATCAAGAAGAGGCCATAAAGAGTGGTGCCGTAGGTGTTCTGACAGCCGCATGGTAGGCTCGAAATCTATTCGTCGTTCAAACATGTGTCTGATGTATCATAGCGCCGCGCACCTCGGGTTCTTCATCTTTGGGCTGTGTAGTAAAGCGAGACCGGTCGATAGCGACACCGAAAGGAATCGGTCCTGCGACGCATGCACGTCGCTACATAAGATACCCTCGACCACCACGACAACGGAACCTAGACCAGTCAGTCCAGCGCATGTCTCAGCCGAACCACGCACGGAGAATGAGCCCACGACGACCACAGTTCCAACAAGCACTCGACCAATTACCATCCCCGATGAAGATGCACCTGCATACACGCCCGGCGACTATCAGCACGGCTTCGAGCTGCGGACTCTCAATCGCCAACACACCCCTCGCACGACTGCAGCATCATCTTCCACAGCCACAGACGCGCCCATCTTACTTCCTGCTCACCACACCTCACCCTTCGACCACTCACTCGCCACTCAATCAGGCATGTTGCGTCCAACACCAAGCATGGCCCCTGTCGCACCACAGCTCGCCTCTGCGTCCACAACAGAAAAAGCGCAACGGCCACAGTCGCGACTATTTGGTTCCGAGAGAAGTGATCTGGATTTCGCGAATGTGAGCCCAAGCTTGCCATCGAGCCCTACAGTGGAGCACTATTCGGATATGCAGAGATCGTCTGATGTGCCGTCAAGCAGCGGGAGTGTGAGTGCTGAGCCAGGGCAGGAGACGAGACAGAGGTCAATCGAGAAAAATCCAGACGGGCCTTCTTGAAAGTGATTCTTGTAATGAACACGAGAGTCGAACAAGCTATCAGATGCCTCGATGAGGCTGTAACCCCAATATCAAAGGGACGGTAGGCCGCGAAGAGAGCCAGAGAATCATCGACGCCAATCTTGGACAGGATCCTTCGCGGGGAGGTAAGGCGCGCAAGCACATACACTTTGCTTGCCGCCAAATTTGGACATCCATTTGAGACTTACATTCCATGTTCTACGCAAGACGCGAGATATGAGACTCTCAGCATGATTTTGATGCTATATGTACTCACATTGCTGTACGAAGCCTTGCCCTAAAGGTTTCGGATTAAGATCGGAGTTAAGGCATAACAATATACCCATTCATAGGACCTGCAATTTCATCACCATAGTAATTTTCCCATCGCTGTTGGGGTTTAGTATTCTAACAAAATTAACAAGTCCACCAGAATTGTCAATGCAGAATTTGGTTCTGACGTATAATTATCAAGGGCGAATGTTGCACGAAGCTTGCGAAGCTTTTTTCGGCGGTGATCCGGCCTTGTTTGAAAGACCCTGAATATGAGGCTGAAGATTGGGTGCTCACGTGTTGCGATAGCTGCCGATGAAAAGAACATGGATTATCCACGCTCGTCTTATGCAGGTGGCGTATCCCTGCTGAAGACGTCATTTGGAAAACTCGATTGCGCGAGACGAGATTCGATATAATCACACAAGTGCGTTTTTGCTATTGCCCGGTTGGAGTAAATGAGGTATCAGAGCACGTCGCAATAGCTGGTTTGTGGGATGTGGAAGTGAGAATCAGTTGATCGCGAAATATTTGTGGGCGCCAAGCTGGCTATAGGGAAATTTACTTGGTCAGACCGTCAGAGGCGCATATAGCACTTAAGCTATGTTGCTTAACCTATGACGCATGGTCGACGAACATCTGCTAACTGCTACAATATGAGGAAATACAGTATTCGCCGCAAAGAGAGAGGTGGAACTAGGGCGTTTGTGGCGCGAGAGAACTGGAAAAGGTCGAGTTGGCTAGAGGAAAACAGCGTGGCACGAGTGAATGTCGCGGAGGAGCAGTGCAATTCGATGTAAACGTTGCTCAGGGAACAATAATAGTCTGTGTGCTCGTCGCGAAAGCGGTGCAGACTGTGTTTCCGGGGTGCAGTGATATTCGCAATTTGCAGTGCATTCATGCATATATAGGGAGACCGTACACGGAAATTTCTCCGGATGCGCGAAACACTGGTGTATCTTCTTCGTAGCAATGGTGTCCTTTCTCACGAACGATTAGCCACACAAGTCGTGTCATCTCACCTATTGTTCACTCTCTGTCTGATCTTGGTGACGATGTGATAAGAATAGCCTATAGCGCTAGCTAGATATGGCTCGAGGCCTAGATCGCGCCTGGTGTTTCGCGACGGGTGCTGGATTTGCAGGTATGGTAAGGACTGACGACGCGCGTGTATAAGGAACCGATCGATGCGGCGCTTTCGTGAGAATGAATACAGGAGTAGCGGAGTTTGTATGGAAGATTTGAAGCGTCTTGCTAGGCGGAGAATAGCAGAGAGAGTGTGATGTGTAACGTGCTGGGTGTACTGGACTAATAAGGCCGCGTGGCATGTATGGTATCGAAGATGGACGAGGCTCAGGGGCAGAGTGGAGCCAGGGTATGCTGGGATGGCGGTGGGAACGCGCAACGCTATGACCTCAGTCGTGCGGCCACCTCTCAAGCTCGATTCGCGATGACGATTGATGGATGTACTGGATATAAACGAGTCGAGCAAGTCGAGATGAAGCTGAGCAGGATGGACGATAGGTAGGTAGGTATATCGAGGCAGCGAGTGATCAGCCGCTTCCGCTCCTCAGCCGGCTGCTCCAACTGTCCAACGCTGTCATTGTTTCAGTGGCAACGCGCCAAGTAACGCAGTTGTGGCTTCAGCATGAAATTGTTCGATTATAATTGGAGCAGATCGTGCATCGATGGTGGATCCTGAGCGGGTTCCTTGCAGGCCGGGGGGTTGAAGGATAAGGGTCGGTAAGGGTAAGGATGGTCGGCTTGGCTCCCAGGGCTGCTGGCGCCGCGGGCACTGGGAACTTCAAGGAAGTAAGCGACGAACATGGAACGGCGCAAGGCAGGGCACTGGAAGGAATCCACCAGTACAGTAATTATTTGCCCTGTAAGACAGCTCAAGCACCCAGGCTCCAGCTGCAAGGAAGAGGGGAGAGGGGGGGGGAGGGTCTGGTTCTCGCGTGTTATTTGGCGGGCAAGCAGCGCAATTGGAAGCCTTGATGAGCCTCTCCCGTCTGCGCGAAATCGCCATCGCAGATTCGGCCTTTGTGGGAGATCATCCCTTTGCGACTCTCCTCGCGCTCTCTCTCTCTCTTCTTGACTGTCCCTAGTTAGTTTCCTTCTACGTATCCTCTTGTTCTTTCCCACTCCACTCTCCCAAACAGCTCTGTGCATAGTCCTTTTGTCTGCACTCCCACGGCCGATCGCATTCTTCTTTGTACTACTCTTCATTTACTGCCTCTCTGGCCATCTTTCCGGAACGTGCATCGCGTAGCCCTCTCCTGATTCAACTCGACAGAGCTTTTTTCTTTCCCAGTGCGTGCTTTCATAGTGCAAACGATCGACGTTCACTTCCACAACAACGACCCGTCAAGCCTCCATACAGCTTCATCTCTTTTTTGCTGCTCCTTCGATACCTTTGTCGCCTCATCGCTTCCGACTACTCTTGTCTGCTTGTCAACAGGTCCTCGTATACTCTATGCTGTCTTCTTGCCGTCATTGAGGACCACACACCATCGCTCTGGTCTCTTAGGACCTCCATCCTTCCCTTCCTCGCCAACCTCTGGCAATTGTCTTGGACGCCATTACCGCTTTCACTCCACCTACCTAGTCTATAATCGACTTCTGTCTAGACTTCCAATATGTCCTACAATGACGAACTTGGCCCTCGTGGCAACGCACCACCACATATCCGACTGAACTCTGGTTCAAACGACGCCTTTGCCGACAGTGACGGCATAAGACCCTCAATGGCTCGAGCTCCATCATCGCGGTCTTTGATACCACAATCGCCTGGGATACGGCCGGGGACCGCTGGTTCTCTGTACCATCACGGTGCTGCCACGGAATCTTCAGAAATATCATCATCAGAACTGCTCCTACCTCCTAAGAAATTCGGAAAGTCAAGACGGTATCGGGATGAAGAGTCGCCTGTTTCTCCACATTCGGGAATGTCGTCGAGACGTTCAAGCTGGGACTCACAATCAGACTCTGTTCGGAGTCGGAACAGTCTGTATGGTGGGCCATTCGCGAGTCCCTTCGACGATTCCCGCACACCGTCGAGAGCTGGAAGCGAGGATGATTTGAACACTCAGACGGTCTCCGAAAAATACAACATTCTACCTTCAGCTGGTCTGTTACTCTTTCCAGAGGACGTTGAAAAGGATGACTACCTCCACAATCCTGATCCGAACGACAAGGACCGAGACACTTGCGGTGACATATTATCAAGGCGTGGCTTGATAAACTTAGGAGGCCTTGGCTTTATCATTATCGGAATCTTCTTCTTATTCATTGGCTATCCAGTGCTGTAAGTAACGACAATGGTAGTATGGACTTGGCGCTGACAAGACTGACCAGGACTTACGTTCACGACGTAATACAACCCGAAGACGACGGATGCACGAACAATCCATTGTGTATAGACGTGGGCCACTCTATCGACCACATGCAAAACATTCGATTCAAACTCATAGACGAGGATACACCCGACCATGCCAAGACCAGAAAAGACCGCAATGGCAAAAAGCAAGTTCTCGTGGTGCGTATCGTCACATGCAATTGCTGCTCTGTATTTGCTGATCAGATTAGTTTTCGGATGAATTCAATGTTGATGGTCGCACGTTCTACGAAGGTGATGACTCGTATTTCCAGGCTATGGATATCTGGTACGGTGTAACTCAGGATCTTGAGGCGAGTATCAACTTTGGCATTTGTAAAAACATCCTCTAATATACGTCTCAATAGTGGTACGACCCTGATGCGGCTACAACTAGAGACGGCACACTCGAGCTTCGCTTCGATGCATTTCAGAATCATGGTCTCAACTATCGCTCTGGCATGCTACAATCGTGGAATCAAATGTGTTTTACCGGCGGTTACATCGAAGCCAGTATCTCACTTCCTGGGCGCGGAGATACAATGGGTTTCTGGCCTGGTTTCTGGACAATGGGAAATCTTGGTAGACCTGGTTACGCTGCAAGCACAGACGGCATGTGGCCTTACTCGTATGATGATATCTGCGATGCTGGCATCACCGCAAATCAAAGCCAAACGGACGGTACCAGCTACTTGCCTGGCATGAGATTGCCGGCATGTACCTGCGACGGAGAAGATCACCCAAACCCAGGTGTGTCCCGAAGCGCGCCAGAGATCGATGCCCTCGAAGCAAGTGTTGGCTATCTCGACCCTCCGTCCAATGCGGCCATTGGTGAAGTATCTCAGTCCTGTCAGATTGCGCCTTTTGATCTATTCTGGCAACCAGACCTAGGTAAGCTTTCTACATTAGGTTCGTATCCTTGACTAACATAGACAGAATATGTCGAAGTCTATGACCACAGCATTACCAAGATCAATTCTTACCAAGGTGGTGTGTTCCAGCAGGCCATATCCGGATTGACCCATCTGAACAACAACTGGTATGATGGCAAACAGTATCAGACTTACGCATTCGAGTACGAACCTGGTCGAGATGGTTATGTTACTTGGTTCGTCGGCAAGGACGAGACCTGGACGCTGTACGCGGATGCCCTGAGGCCGAACGGCAACATTGGGCAGCGTGTCATTCCTCAGGAGCCAATGGCCATGATCATGAACTTTGGCATGTCAAACGGTTTTGCTGCGCTCAACATGACCGGGTTAGGATCATTGATGCCAGCTACTATGCGCTTTGACTACGTACGAATTTACCAAGACGAAGACGCCGTATCAGTCACGTGCGATCCTCCCGGATTTCCCACTACAGCGTACATCAACAAGCACAAAGAAGCCTACTATAACCCCAATATTACCCTCTGGAAGCAGACGGATTTCGATTGGCCAAAAAACGAGTTCGTCGACGGATGCAAGGCCGCCAAAACCAAGGAGTGAAACGGACAAGAGTCTAGTTTAGGCCTTGTATAACATGTCTACCTCAACCAGCGAATGTGTAAAAGTTGTTTCATCTATTTGATCCTTCCTACGACGTCAGGAGGTCACGAGCGAGTGCATCATACCCCTTTCCAGCCCTTGGCATGCTGGGCATCCCAACCCACGATTAATCACTTACGCATCATACGGAGTTGGCGCGCACCTATCGATTTTCTTAACGCTACTAGATATTCAGTCGGTGTACATGAATTGGCTAGTTCTACGTGTACTTGATATACATGCATTGCATTCTCTACGAAATTAAATGCTTCACTCAAGACCGGCACACATACCAGAGAAGGAGCATTGCAGATTCGAGCCCATGCGAGCAAACAGTTGTTCAGCAAGGATCGACGAAAAGATGCATTCGTCAGACTTAATATTAAATTCTGCAAAGATTGAATCAGCATGTCATTTGTGCAGTGTACAACCTCCACGCTTCGCCACGAGCCATTTGCCGCAGCTGCTTGGTAGAATGCAGTGGGCACGATGTCTTCGCTGTAGAAGCTACGTCTTGAGTCCACATGAACTCGATTTCGGGATGTGATCTTTGTTGTGCCGTTGCTGCGACGGAGAGCTTCTGTGATTTAGATGTGAAGAACGAAGAAGCCCAGTCGGCATGCTAGAAGGTAACATCACGAAGTAGTGTAGGCGGTAAATGTAAATTCAAAAGAGATCCAAAAGACATAGCGTTTCATAGCAGTTCTCCCCTCCCTTTCCTCTCCCCCTCTTTTCCTCGGGGCATCTGGCTCAGCGTAACATCGCGGTAGTAATGCAAGACAACTCAACTGCTAAGAATTCAAGGCTTAATCAAGTGAATTAAAGCCTCCCTGACTCTTTGCCTTCTTTATTCCCCTACGCAATTCACCTTACATTGAAATGAGTTTCTTTATTTGATACGTCATCTAGGTGAAGCACATTTCACATTCGGCTCACTTCACAAAGTCTATTTCTCGAAACTAAGGTTTTTATCCATCCTGTTCGAGGATCTACTAGCGTACAATGTCAACAGACCCTGCTGACCGCTCGTCCAGCCGATATTATCCCCCCAAGTCCTCTTCCTCTACACCTGAGTTTTACAAATATAGCCAGAAAGTGACTGCCACCACAGTCAAAATGAGCTTAACGACCGAAACTAAATCCGAGAAGCCAAAGTCCGATGCGAAAGAGCTACTGGAAGTCATCGAACTTGACGAGGACTGGAATTTGACCGTTGTGATTGGAGCTGTCCAGCAACGTTTTCGAGTTTGCCGCCAGGCGCTGATGGTAAGCCCAGTCTGGCGACGCATGTTTGGTCCACCATTCGGAGAACCGGACATGTCTGAGATCAGCATGCCAGAGGATGACGCGAATGCGATGGGCATCGTGCTCAATATGGCCCATCACAAGTACGAAGCTGTGCCTAAACGCCTAGACACTACTACATTCTATAACGTCGCTCTGCTCGTCAGCAAGTACAGCTTGGAGACTCTCGTGCTTCCATTCTGGAAGCCATGGTACGATGAACTTATTGGAATGCACGACCCGTTCTCGCCGACTCCACATCCATATCTGGTCTTCATCGCGTGGGCTTTCGGAGACGTGGAACTGTTCACAGCGACTACTCTATCCTTGATAATCCACGCATCTCCAGAGAACCCAGATAATCCCACGGACTGTAGCCTTGAAGCTATGGCCTTGTGCAGAATGCCTCCAGGTGTCCTAGGTGAGTGTCTCCGGACCAAAACATTTCCCAGCAAACTCACACCTCATGTGTCCCATAGATCGTATCATCGACACCAGAACGTCCAAACTTGCAGACATGCTCCAGTTGATCCAGGACCATATGGAACTGGCCTTGCAAGACCATTGCCTGTTAGACGACCGTGCATGCGACTCATGCATGCTAGGATCCTTCATCAAATCGCTCGACGAGGCAGGACTCTGGCCAATCCCCGACAATCCTTCCGACTGCAGACTGAGCCTGAACGAGATGAACAGGCGGCTGGAAAAAATCATGATCGAGCCTATGCCGTCCATCGAGACTACAAAATACCAGCAAGGCTCGGTTCACGCGGCTTGCGCAGCGACGTGCCAGTTTGATCGCGAGGGGCTTAGGGATGTGTATCGGTCGATTGCCGCGCCTATAGATAAGGCTCTTCGCCGCCACATGGATGTGCAGCGCACGAAGTTGAATGGGCTGACGAAGCGCAAAAGAGAGGATTGGGGTGTCTAGGTCGTGGCTGCATTGTTTGTATCACCCAATTTACTTTATCCTATCCCGGGGCGCACCAACTGACATTTTTGCATCCTTACAGCATATTCAGGTTCATTCCATCGGCACAACTCTGAGGTTAGCTATTGACAGAATGGCGCCTTCTTGCCGCTCTTCAAAATGCTTGATAATGTCACGATCGTTCATCCAATGTTGTATTGCCACCCTCTTCGTCGTTCAAATTCCTCGGCTATAGGAAGGCGTTCTAATCACTGCTACCGCTGAAGTACCAGACCGAAATTGGAGAATGGCTGTAATACGGAGATGTTCTGACATTGTGGTTACTCTACATAGAGGAGGGACCAATGCGGTGCTGTTATGTTCATAATTTGACATGAAGCATGAAAATGAAGAAGCGTAACAACACTGTGCCATGCATGCAAACGTGACGAGGAACTCATCTCTGTCCTCCTTGAGATCGTCACTCGACTAAGTTTATCTCCCAAGAGAAAGAGCTCTTTTCTATGTTGTTTCCAGTTCACACAAGTAAAGAAACGCTAATGGTTAATTAACATAGACTGATCGTTCACCAACATGGGTAATTAGCCTCTTCAAGAGTCCAAGTCCTATGCCGCCTTCTGCGTTGCCTGCCACTCTTCATGCAGCTTCTTCTGCTTCTCCCATTCTTTGACCAGCTTCTTGCGCTTATTCTTAGGGATCGCATTCCGCTCTGCATCCAGTGTCGGAATACCACGTTCATCCCATTCCAGATACTCTTCCGAGTTTTGGAACATTTGCAAGGGGTCAAGTTTAGCCCGTTCACGCAGCTCCTTTTCCTTCTCTGCTTCCCTGGCCTGTCGGTCTAGCTTCGCCTTGGCTTTGGCGGCGAGAGCTGTGTCGCTTTCCGCGCGTGCCTCCTCAAGCATTTTGTCCAGGGGCCGTACCAAAGCTGATTGAAGATTAGTGCGGTCCTCGAGATAGATGCCGAGATTCCAAAGATGAACATCGCGAAGTTGGTCGCAGAGGGCGAGGAATTCCTTTGCTGATGCTTGCTGAGTCGCAAGTTTCATTACGTCGGTGTGGAAATGCTGTAGCACCTCCTTATATGGTTCAGAGGACTCCACCGCTGGCTCTGGCGTCTCGATCGAGATATCTTCAACGAGCTTCGCTATGGCAGAATGATCCACCGAGCCGGAAGTAATCAAAAGCCGGACCTCGTCACGCAGCCGAGATGCAGGGTAAATGTAGGGTTTTGCTGGTGCCGGAATATCTAATCCTGACCACCCTATGCGTTCCGAATTGCTCAGATCCCCCTCAGGATCGAGACCAAATATGGTAACAATCCGCGTTATCCATCGCGCTAGCAGAATGACTGTTTTGTTTGAGAGTTGCTCCGCTGAGTTTGTCTGGGTGATGAGATCAGAGAGTATTTTCATAACTGCCGGGGTGTTGAAAGAGTCGCAAAGAGCTGCGTCAACGTTGGATTTCGCCTTGTCCAGGGCGTCTATCAACTCCTGGTCTGTAGTTTCAAGGCCTTGTTCTCTTATGGCATCCGCCATGGAATGCCTCAACACGTGCAAGCTGTTCAAGAAAAAGTTGTTGAGCTTGCCCTCCCAGCCAATTACTGCCTTCGTGAGCTCGTCTGTCACCTCAATCCCATCCTGCCAAGGCATCAAAAGAAAGCATATTCGAAGAGAGCGGGCACTCCACTGTTTCTCCGAGAGAACAGATCTGATCGTCGTAAAGTTCTTAAGGCTCTTGCTCATCTTCAAGCCTCGAATCCTGTATCTGTCAGGGTCATCCGCACGACTAGGCAGCATTTGGAACGTACCTCAATTGTCCCATATGTATGAAATAATTCACCCACTGCGCCGGACTGCCTGGGGTCGACCAGTAAGCTTCCGATTGAGCCAGTTCGTTGTCATGATGGGGAAAGCAGAGATCTACGCCTCCAGAATGAATATCAATAGTCTTCCCAATGACTTCGGAGGCCATCGCAGAGCACTCAATATGCCATCCTGGCCGCCCATTTCCCCATGGACTTGGCCATGCCGGTTCACCTGGCTTGCTAGCTTTCCACAATGCGAAATGATTCTCGTTCCGTTTCATCGACTTTCCTTTGAACAGCGAGCCCTCACCGTCCGCTTGGAGAGAGCAATCGTTCTTACTCCAAGGCTCTAGCTTAGAATAGTGATGTCCAGCCTTCTCAAATGAGTCGATATCGAAATAGACGGAACCGTCGAGGGTGGCGTAGCCGAAACCATTAGCGATGATTTGTTGAACGAAGTCAATAATCTCAGGGACATATTCCGTTACACGGGTGATGACATCCGGATATTGGACATTAAGCGCAGTCATGTCTTCGAAAAAGCGGCGTTCGAATTTCCGCGACAGGTTCATGTAGATCTGGTAATTATCTGATGGCAGCGATGGCCCATGTAGCGCATCAAGATACGGTAGCAAGACATCTTTCGTCTTCATGAAGAATTCAGATACGTTTTCCGGAGCCCCCAGAGCCTCGACGGCAGACCGTGCTGTGTCGATGTATGCTCTCAATAGTAAGTCGTCGACAGTGAGCGCTTGACCCCGAGCAGAGTCTAGCTTGTCCTCATATGCCTTCGACACTGCCTCGGAGAATCTCTCCGGGCTCGTATCAGGGGGCAGATATGGGAGATTTTTTCCAATATATGTCCGGTACGCGGCCTCAGTAGCCTCCAGAACTGCAGGGCTTATAGCAGCGTTGTCTCGAGATGCATGCTCTTCCTTGAACCGCGCAAAGAGGTACTGCTGACGGGCGGACACAATGATCTTATCGTCGATATCAGTCGTATTCATGACGAACTTGACTTGGAAGCCGAAATAGTCCTTCATTATGCGGCGGATAATGTCGGTTGAGACGTAGTTTTTTGCATGTCCTAGATGGGCATCTTCATACACTGTGGGTCCACACGCATACCACGTCACGCTCTTCCCTGTTGGATCGACTGGAATGAAAACATCCTTCTTTCGAGTCAAGGTGTTGTATATTTTCAAGTTGGGCAGTTTCGTCTGAGATTCTGCTTGGGTAGGGGGAGCCCATGGAGGTTGTCTGCGATCGGTGGAAGCCATGCTGCGTATGCCGAGATTTTAATTCTGGGTAAAGACTTTGCAATCTAGACAGAAGTTTGGAGGGGGCCAGAATAATATTGTGAGTGTTATGAGTCCGATCCAGCTCCAGGGTATGACTTTTAAAACTCCCAGACAAACATGACTCACTCGAGCGGACTCATTCTGCCTATGACCAGCGCTCTGTGTAACACTGCTCGCAGAAGGGGTCGAGGATCCAAAAACCTCCCATGCGTAAACTTCCACTCCCTTGGGAATGATCGCAAGTGGTATAGTAGACCCTTTCATAAAGGAACCAGCAGTGTGCGGCCTATCGGTGGAGAGTTAGAGGGTTGTTAGTGTTGTTATGTTCTCGGTGGTCCAAATGATGAAGACTCTCGAAGCAGCAGCCTGTCTGGAAATGGCGACACTGAGTTCAATGTTGCAAAATGGATCGCGAAAGTCCGAGAGTCTTTAAATACATGAATGAACAGGCTAAACTTATGACATACCACTTTTTAGTCTAGATATATTCATGTAATGTGTTGAGCGCAGGAATAACATCTCTCTCCTGAAAAATGAGATGAAGCAGGACTTGAATGTCTACTGCACATTCACTAGTGATTATCGTCAGTAACATATGCTTGACCACAGCACAATTCACCCATAACATTCAACTCATGCCTCAGGCATGATACTCCACTCATGCACGTTCAGCCGCACGTTCAGCCGAAGCCGGACCAGCAATCACCCCGCCGGCTCAAGATGATACTGCGTATATATAGTCACGACTATCCATTATTGTACGGACCGGTGATTCTGCTGTGGGCAATTCGGCCCCGGAGGATCAACATCCTTTCCTTTAGCCGCCTTCTCGACCACACGCGTTGCATGCAACTGTTGGTATCTCGGACCCTTTTATCATAGCCTGGCTAGGTACCCGGACGATCACGAGAGAAGGAAATGCATATAAGTAAAGGCGATGGAAGGTCGAGGAGGAGCTGCAGAACATCATCGATACCATACACGTTCAGCTTCAATCTGTCATAGCTCCTCCATACATAGCAATACGTGAGTCTAGGTCTTGAATCGATTTCAAACCCATATACTGACTGTGACAGTACATCATATTCACGCAGCATCGCACCCTAAACACCTCAAACATACCAGTTCCTACAGTCTTCAAAATGACCACCCAATCCTCCCAAGCTATCGCCTTCTTCGGCGCAACAGGCGGTACAACCGCTGCCGCCCTCGCCCTCACCCTGAAAGCAGGCTACCATTGCACAGCTCGTCAGTCCCCTGTCCGCTCTTGTCCTATCCTTTCCATACTGACAAACACACAGTCGCCCGCACCCCGGCAAAGCTCACCAGCCTCCTCACAACAACCTACGCCCTGCCCGACTCCCTCCTCACCAGCAACCTCACAATCACTCCAGGCTCCATCGCCGACGCTGACGCGATCCGCACCGTCCTTGCGCCTGCCACGCACGGCCCGGTATCTCAGATCATCTTCGGCATCGGCGGGAGCCCGAAGCTCCAGTACTCGCTGACCGCGCCGGTGACGTTGGACAACGTGCATATCTGCGAGACGGGCACGCAAGCAATCCTCGACGTACTCAAAAGTATGCTAGCCGAAGGCGTGGTGAAGAGAGAGCAGAGACCACGCATGATGGTGATTAGTACCACGGGGGTCAGCCCACGCGAGGACGTGCCCTGGAGTATGCGCTGGATGTACCACTATACTCTCTCTGTACCGCATGCGGATAAGAAGAAGATGGAAGAGGCCGTGATAAAGGGGTGTGAGGGTGCGGAAGCATCGTTGGGTGGATTTACGGTTGTGCGGCCAACTCTCTTGACGGATGGTGTGGAGAAGGGGGTCGGGAGTGTACGGGTTGGGTGGGAATATGCTGGGGGACAGTTGACCGCTGACGGAAAGGAGGAGGCGCCGGGGCCAGCTGTTGGATACTCTGTGAGCCGAAGGGATGTCGGCGCGTGGATTGCGGAAGAGGTCGTCAAGGGGAAAGGAAAGTGGGATGGGAGGTGTGTGAGTTTGACATACTAGAGCATAACGGATGAGATGTGTTAGGACATGCTCTGTGGGGTTTTTATGATACCAGCTTCTTTTAGATTTATGTACGAGCAATCAATCTCTTGTCGATTTGTATGTGTTTCTTGGTCGATGTCATAACAACTTTGGAAATGAAGGGTCACAGGATAATCAATTTCTACGTAGTTAAAATTGCTGTTGTCACTTTCGAACTGTAATCTTCAAATACTCGATCATCTTAGTAATGGTATGTTCTTACTCGTGCATACACAGTGTCTGATGCCCTGGATACTTCTGTGCGTTAAGATGTTCATGCTTGATCACGTTGTACTTCACAGCGAGTACTTTTTGGTAAAATATGACTCTTCTGCGTTACGAGCCAGTTGATATTATTGCACCGGGAGCGGTAATTCACGTGTCACGATGATAATGTCTTATTCCCCATTATATTAATGAAATGAAACGTCAAAGACACACTTCTTTTGCTTCCTTTGAGGATTTGCTGAGAATACGGATGCATGATTTCGTGTAGCCAAGGTACTAAGACGCCCAAGAAAAGCCTATCCATAGTATGATAGATACATAACTGCCCGTCGGATCATGGTCCGTCCCGAAACACACATTCCAAGCCCGATTGTGACTCATAGAGAGGGTATCCACCGCGCCTGAGCCGGCGCCCGTTAAAGTCCACCCATGACTCCCAGAAGACCCATCATCATGAGAACTTGCCGATTCTGGTCTCCAGCTTGCCCGGCCGCGCCTCCTGTCTCAGTCGGCGCTACCGCTGTCGTGCTCGGACTGGAGGTGCCGGACGTCGTTGTAGTCGGACTACTCACTGATCCTCCAGGTGATGTCACCGGGGCACTACTTGAAGGGCTTGACACTGGCTCGTCCGAGAGAGAAATAGGTAAAATTGATAGGATATCGGATCTAGTCGAGGCCTCAGACAAGAAGCTCTCGAATTCGGACCGAAGAGAGGAGAGCTCGGGTGGCAGAGTGGAAAAGAAGACCGGCCCTGGTCCAACGGGTAACCCAGAGGGAGTGGGAATGGATTGCTGGATAGTTGTATCAGATCTCAGGGTTCATCCTTTCCAAGTGTGGACCGAATGGTATATATTGATCAACACTAGTGAGGCTGTGCGGACTTACTGTTCGGGCCAATACTACGAAAGCAAGAGTGGCAAGAATCCTCAGACTGAAGACAGTTCGGGGATACATCTTGTTCGGTTGGTTCATTGTGGTGATATGTACGATTTATTGGTACGAATATAGAAATGCTTCCAGGTTCCACGTAGTGAAGACTAAAGCTTAGTACAGAACGGGCTGTGAACGCGTGTTTACGCTTCCCTCTATCAGGCAACAGTGATTCAACGGATGAGAGTCGTCAGGTGCACAGTTGCCAAGCTCAAATGTTCCCACAATGCAATACGATTTCGTACAGAAAGTCGTACTTACCTATAGAAAAACAAAGTGTTAGTAAGTCCAACAGTTTCAAGGGAGTGGTGGGGCACAATGGTGTAGTAGTAGTGTTGTCGATATATTGAATCCGACATTCTATTGGCTCAAATTCACCTTGGCAATTGTAAATATGTAGCGTCCGTCAAAAAGCTTCGGGCGCTCGGCAAAATTGCCAGAGTTTAGACCGATTTCTGCCAACACGTGCCACCTTTTGACTAAAATTGGAAGATGTACAACATCAAAGAGACCGTCAGATGCGCGTCTGCCTTGTTGGATCTTCGGAGGCTGTGGCTTTACGATCCGCAAGGCACTCCTCACTCTAATATAGAAAGAGAGTATTATTATAGGCCAAGTGGGTGACCTTCCGCTGTTATGGATTCCTACCGTCTTGCTTAGCCTGCACCAAGTGTATATGATATGTTTACACCAGTCTTCCCCCAAAATCTTTATTGTTGTAACAGCGAGCCCCTTTCCGCTCGAAGAGACACCTTCAGAGCCTCTTGTCGTCCTCTTGTCTCTGCAGAATGAGTACTGTGTGAAATGCTTGATTATTCCCTTGCCCCGTTCGAGCCATAATTCTAAGTCTATACTCGGCATCGTATAAAACACCTTTGCCCCGAATAGTGTCAACTACCTTGTATGCCTCATTGAGTTCTGGTGGCGCGTATTGGCCCTCTGTTATATTAAACCAGGATCAATATACTCACCAAAGGGTATAGTTTATCCACTAATGTGTTCAAAGACAATCGTGTTGATCTGAGAACAACGATGCCCTGCGCCAGTGTTCGTTCTCCTGATGCATTCGCATGTGGCGTAATTGGGAATGGATTTGGAGCCGATACACGCGCGATGATCTTTTGGATCAAATATAAGCTGATATATAAGCTATGGCACCTTTTCTGCAAGGGGAAAGGGCAGAGAGTCCCGCATTCCAAGTTATCACGTGCTCTCTTCCGCTGGCGTGCCGTATACCACCATCCGTCTTGGATAATTGTACTGCATCAGATTTACCGGATGTGTCGCTTTTTGGGTGGTGATCGAATGGAGCGAAGACTCCAGGGTCTAACGAATTGCGTTCTGGATGTTAGGGGTGCAGCTAAACGCGTGGGGGAATTGGTGGGACTGATCGCACAGTGGCCACGATTAGCTCAAGACTAGCAAATTATGTCGTCTGGGTAATCATCACGATCCATGAATGCATGGCAAGGGGGATTGAACATGCTTACATACCCTCTCGAATATCTCACAGGGAGCAGCTCTATTCATGCAAGCTACAAATGTCACCACAATAAGAGTTCGTACTCTTTGGCATGTTGCCAGAAAAGTCCATGTATTGTCGAAGTGAGTCACCCTCAGAGCATCGTGTAATGGATCTTAGCTGTATTGGATTAGGCCTCCCCAAATATCTTTCCGCCCGACGTACCACAGCAGGGTTATCTACGTCATCCTGAGAAACGTGACAAGACGTGGTGCAGTTCCAAATGACGCCAACCTACGAGGGTTGAGTGATACGTTTCCCTATCACTTGCTTGCTGTCTCTTGTGTGCTGTCGTAGCCATGACCAGGGATCTTCGCCAGAAGCGCCTTCTGTCTCTCCCTCTTCATATCTTGCTGATCTCCGTAGCGAGTATTGGTGTCTTCCTTCAGCACGCCAGAGATTTTCGTCTTATCCACGCTCTGTGACTCGTTCGGTGTCACCGGGCTGTAAGACTGGGCATTGGAAGCATCGAAACCTTCAGGCACGGTACGACTGGCAGCGAGAGCGGCAATGTAGTTGGAACTACCGCTTCGAGGAGGAGCAAGCGGCCGGCGGGTACTTCTAGGAGCGGCCAACATAGGACTATCGGTATCTTCTGGAGGAGCCGTAGATGGGGCAGCGGAGTCCGTCTGCTTCAATGCGTTAGAGGTGAACGCGAATTCAGCTTCCGCTCTAGTGTTGGGTGTAAGCATCGAAGGCGTTGGTATGCCTGAATCTGAGCTAAGATACGGATCTGGCGAGAGATGGACCGAATCGGTTTGACCAGAACGGACGGGAAGAGACTCTTTGGCTGAATCTGAATTGTCTCCCATGGTGTTCAAATTGGTTCGTTCGAGCGACAACCTGGTATGTGTGTGAGAGATCAATTGGCTTTGTATTTTTAAGAGTTTTGTGAAGCCTAGGAAATGAAAATTGGGAGAAAGGAAATGTGAAGGTGTGAGGAATTCGTAATAGAGCATGAAGCTCAGGGAAGGGAAGTGGAATGCGAACTAAGTATCCAGGAGGTATGACGTTGTTTCATGGCGCTGCCCAGGTGAGCCGTGGGGCTACGGCTAAGGCAACCAGGGCAGATAATGCGTCATGCTTGTTGATCTCCCTTGACTCAATCTCACACAATTTATCAGGAACCACATACCAATGTTAATATATAATCTTCGCAAACCTTCTCTTGGAGAATATCACTGTAGAGTCAATAATACCACGAAATCTGGCCTGAATTTTTCTGCACTCAATACTATCGGGCTTGCAAGGTTGATCTGCCCGGGGAGATGTAAAGAGTTATACAGATTATAGTGAATGACTTGAGGTCAGTTTACCGCAGATTGCAGCGGAAAATGGTAAGATGAAAACAAATTGTGCGCATAGTCCCCTCAACTGCCCGTACCATACTCAACATGTTCGCCTATCTCGTCAAACCATGTTGTAATGATTACGGTGCGTAAATCCTCTCGGCGACATGTGTAGCCTCGGAACAAGTTTGATGGAGCCTGACGGAGGGCCGCTAAGGTATCGTCCTTCGGCTTCCAGCCTGTTGAAACCCATCAATATACCGATGATGCTGAGCTTCCATGGAATCAAGGGCTGGTAGCTTCTTGCTGTTCCGAGTGTCTGTGGAGATTGCCTCGTTAGACATGATTGGCGTTTCGTGTGGAAGTCGTCAGACGGGATTGATGGGTGAATAGTGAAGCGCTTAGCATAATCAAGTCCTGTAGAGAATACCCCCGCCAGGCGGGCATTTTAAGTCAGCTGGCTATACTTTCTGCCTCGACTATTACGTGATGGGCCTTGTTGATTTGAAACGTTTAAAGGAAATGTGGTAAGAGAGATAGACGAGGACTGAGTAGGAAATTTGGGTCGGGTAGCGAGTGATTCATTGGAAGACGATGAATCAGCACATTTGCTGGTCTTTTGCGATTGTTGAATAACAGGGAAAGCAGACAAATCTGAAAGCACTGATACGTCGCTTATCGACTTCGAGGCAGGAGATGATCGAGATTTGTCATACCAGTCAACATCACTGAGCTGTAATTTGCGGGCTCGCTGTGTGCTACGTCCAGTTCCCGCCTTGTCGATTCGCGGCTGTGCGTACGGGTTGTGTTGCTTTTCGATAACTGGTAACTTCTCAGCTTTTGTTCTTTCCGTGTGGTTCGGATTAGGTCGAAGGTGATAATGAAAATGTGATTCACCGTCATTTTCGTTCTCATCACGTAGATCGTAATTCAGAACGAGGTTTTTAATACGCTGTTGTTCCTCCTTTTCGACTTGCTGGTGCGTTCGCATGGCAACAGCAAAACCAGAGTCCGATGGGAGGTCGATCGATCGTGTCTGGAGTGTGTCAGTAATGATTTCTAATTGACGCGTGTTAGATACCTGTTGCCGATTTCCTCGACGACTGAGAAGGGAGAACTTCATAGTTCCAGGCCCTGATGGAACTTCAGGAGCCTGAATAGGTTCTTCCTCTGATGTGGCAGCTGCAGCCTCGCGCCCGCGACGCATGGGGAGCGGAACATCGAAAACAGGCTTGCGGTCGAACTTGCGTGAGTCCATGCTCTCGGACATGAGCTTCGCTAGTTCACGATCGAAATCAGCGTCGGCTTCAGGATCACGCTCATTTTCCTGGCGGGTGACCACAATTTGCTCGTCCTCTTCCTCTTCTTCTGATGAATCCTCATTGTGCTGAGTCTCCTCGTCGAGTGAGATCTATAGTCACTTAGCTTCAACAAGACCAATGGATTGTTTTGAGCTACCTCTCCATCTTCTCCCGAAGACTTCTCCTCGTCACCGTCCGGGAGGGTAAGGTCCTCGTCTTCTTCGTCCGATGATGATGAATCTGGCTCGACCTCATCGACATCAGCGTGTCGATCCAAGCCAGCACTCTGGAAATTTTGCTTGACCGCTTCAGAGAATGTATTATAAGCTTCTTCCAACGTGGCTGTAATTTTCCACTGGGGTCTCAATAGAGCAAATGCGTCTTGCACCAAGAACTCAATGTCCATCGGCAGTATCTCCTTTGTTTGGATGTAATACTACGTGTCATTAGTCCCCAAGCGAACGCGTAAAATAAATTTCACGTACCTGAAAGTAGGTGAGGTAGAAATCCAACTTCTTCCTAGCCTGGCCCTTGTCGTAATACACACCACAAGTCTCGAGCAGGCTGCAGACAAGCCGCACACGAAAGAAGTTGTCAGGCAAATCGAGGGCATTGACTTGACCTGGTTTCGGTGTGCCATTTTCTATTATTGGGTCAGCCAAAGTACAGCAGATAATGTTGTCCAGATTTGAACAGGACGAGTTTCCTACCGTATCCATAGGCTACGATCTTGTACAAAGTGTCAAAAATAGTTGGAGAGTCGACCATTCTGTAGATATAAAGTTCGCCCAGATACTTGACTTCAGCCAACCGACGCTGGTTGAACCTAAAATCGTTGACTTCAAGCCCCAGGACGATCTGCTCAAGTAAATCATCAATAACAGTGATAACGAAGTTCGCATGGTATCGATTCAATGACCCGAGAATAACGGCCAATAGGTGTATGTTGCCGTATTTGATTCGATGCGGTTTGGTGAATATTTTTTCGAGGCTGCGGACGACATCCGGTTCCTCCCAATGAAGTTTCCGGATCTGTCTTACTATCTTATCAAGACTTCTCCTTGAAAGATCCGTGTACATGAGTTTACGGAGAAACAAGTCCAGCGGTGTTCTCTCCTTTTGCTCAATTGCAGCTCGTTCGGGTGGATTGACGTGATATATCGCATTGTCAAGGTTCATACGTTCCTGATGCCCAATATGTTGCGCAGCTTTTTTCCTTTGTAAAGTATCCAGGAATGATACCATGCGCGGGGAGGTTTCTGGGTTTCGGAAAAGATATCGGCCACAGTTCTCGAGTAGATGGCTAATGATGTCAATGTTCATGCGAGAGAATTCATCTAGACTGACTTTGAGACAATGAAATATGACATGTTCCGGAACTACGCCAAATTTTGTGAGCTCTGCGAGGTAACGGACGTTTTGAATGCGGACTTGGCCAAGCGAGTCTTTCGATTTCCTCCGCTGTAGGCTGCGAAACTCATCATCTAGGTACGTTATCAAACTTGACGGGATGTCCGGAAGGTATTTTCCCAGCGTCGCAACAAGTCGGGCGTAGAGTGGCATTAGGTCAGTGCGACCTCTTGGAAGATCTTGAACAGCTTTTATGAGCCTGTTGCGTGAGGCTTTCGAATTCAGGAAACAGAAGTCTGTAGCTGTCTGATCGACCATGTCCTTCGTGGTAAATTCAGGTAAGCGCGCAAGAATTGAGTCGACTTGGGCGCCCATTGATTTATTAACGATTGTCGTGGACTGATCGTCGATATCTGCGGCTTTCTCAGAACTTGGCTCTGCGTCTGGCTTAGATTCACCGGGAACTGAGATCCCATCAGCCTTTCTTCCAACTTGCTCCTCATCAGACTTCTTCTTCTTGCCATCTTCAAGGAGAATTCCGGGTACGCGATCCTTCAGGTCGATCAAATTCTCGTAAAATCGACGCTCTTCTTCATCCTCCCAAATTCCAGGGCCATCACTCTGGCCTCGTAGGTACTCTCCGGTCTTGACGAGTCCGATTGCATTATCGCCAATCGCAGTCGCACTGTCTTTCTCTTGCAGATCGGGCATCTCTACACCTAGGGCATCGGCCATGACCTGTGCATTCGCAACCAATTTCTCCTGTGTTTTGATCTGCTTCTCATGAGTTGCTTGTCTATCTTCAAACACTTCGCCGGACTTGACGTAAGCCTCCGCGTTGCGACGACCTTGGGCCATTAAAGTCTTCTGATTTCTAAGTATATGCGACTTTACATCGTCCAGATATCGAGACAAGATGTTTTTGAAACGTTGGCGTAGTTCTGGTGAGGTCATAGGAGAGTCATCTGCTACTGGATCCATGTTCTCATTGAACATGGGCTCTTCCCCTTTAGCGGAGGACGATGTGGTACCATCCTCAGCGACTGATTTTCGACCTTCAGACGACGCAAGTTGCACCCCAAGAACATCCCAAGCGAAAGCCTTAACGAAGATTACCACTAATGGAAGATTGACATGCTCACGATCATGACCTAGCATCTCCTTGAGTGCCTCGAGAGGGAAAGGCTCTGCATCGGCGTCACCACGCGCATTCGAGCCTGCCACTTTGGTCTTCGAGGTAATGTCCACTGGTTTGGCGCCGTCTTTGCTTTTAGTACCAACTTCATCGGGGCGAGCGGTATCTTCAAGACTCCTCAAAACCCCTACAAGCCACAGTTCTGTAGCAACACGCAGTAGAACCCTCTGCCTGGCGATCCGCTCCCTTTCTTCTCGCTCTCTAACATCTTGAGCCAGTGATTTCAGTATTGACTTGTCCGGTGTGCTTAAGCCTCTTCCAATTAGCCAACCGATCTTTTCAGTAAACTCCGCTGGGCCGAAGCGTTGATGCAGAGCACTGACTATTTCGACGCCCGTAGATATCTCCGCTGGGGTTTTAAGCTTGCATAGACCCTCAAAGGTCGCAGATATGATCTCTGAGAGGTATTTGTGAAGAGATAGACTGCGTATCTCTTGTAGGAATGTATCCTTCGAGGACGCCGTTATAGCGGTTCGCAAGCGTTTGATGAAAGCGGTGTTCTTTTTCATGGACGAATCGAGCGAGTTCTGAACGGTGAAGAGCTCTACGAAAAGTATCAGTATCTTAGATGGCTCAGCTTGACGACATTGAACCAACCAGTTTCGCCAGACCAAGCTCGCGCATTGAGACCCCTTAGCTCGCCTGCTTGTATTTCAGCACAACACTACCTGCTACAAATTCATATATGACATACGCTTTCTCTGTCGCTCCATGACGCCGTACACCTTCCCGTGGGAAATGGTAGGAGTCGCACTGGCGGGGATGTGGGTGCAGCAAAGCTAAGGATGAAGTACATGGGAGATTGAAGAAGCGAACAAGTGCGGTGGTCCCTGGTCTATCATTGGGGTTTGCGTGGGCTAAGACTCAGCAATGGATCGATGGCTTACGATTCGAAAGGGCACTTGAGAGTTCGTGGCTATAAATTGATCTGGTGCCAGTATCTGGTAAAGTTGCAGTGGGCGCGCTTGACCTCCGCCAGGACCCGCACCGCGTCCATTCTTGAAACCCGAACACTCAATATTAGTGCCTAAGGCATCAATAAGCCGAATGACCCCACCACACCATCTCTCCATCCATCACGATCAATGTTAATCAGTATCTGTAGTTGCCTTTGGCGCATCGTGGAACCACCTGGTATTAGTAAACATTAACAATGAATTTGATGACTACAGACCACAGCAGACGATGAAATAGTGGCGAGGCTGAGTTTCTCTCCGATTCCGTGTGGTCCTCATGTCCTATAAGCACGCACCTTCATGAAAGACCTTCACTTCTTCGTCTCATATGTTGTACATATTCGAACACAGTTGTTCATCCATCAAGCTTGGTATATTTAGTCCTTTCACTCGTACCGTTACTATAATGAAAAAAATGTATACCTACAGAAGGCTATACAAGTACCGCCATTTTCTTTACCTGTCAGTAGGTAGGCTTTCCAACTTTCTTCCTATACTGGATTTACTTCCTTCACAGGAAGTATCTAGATAGGTACGCCAGTACAGGTCTCCCAGAGACTGCATAAAGTCGTTCCTTCTGTACCCGGTACCTGTCTCGCGGAGACATTGCGTTATGGCAAGAATCCGTAATGTGCGTTACTCTTACCTGCCTGTTCCTGATAGATGTTCTCTCGTCGATCTCGGTTTTGGATCTCAGTACCTAGGTAGTATTAAGGTCGTTGCGCAAGTCACATCTATGTCGGCTCGGGTTGTAATCGCCGATACTATATTCCCGGGAAAAGGAACCACCCAGCAGCTTCGAAGGCACCGCGAACGTTCACGAATATCTGTTCTTTCTCCCGGCACTCCTTCAAGGGTCAGATCAATGAATACACGACGTAATTGCGAGATGTGGTGGACAAGAGTAAAACGAGATGCTAGCGAGGATGACATATCGACGATTGCAAATCCGTGGGCGACAGCAGATGTAGGCGACTGATACCTGTGTTTATTTCAGGGAGTCATTGAACAAGTCTCAGATCATATACACTGCCATCATGGGGTCGCTTATGCTGGCCGCGTTCCTGGAGTGGTTTCTGTGGATAGCTGCCTTCCTCTACTGCCTTATCAAAGCATACCGGAAAGCCGAGAGTAAAAGCATTCGAATCCTTGCCGTCATTATCATGGTTTTGTTCACAGCCGTCAGGTATGAGCCTTTCCATAGAAACCAGAGCACAGACTGATGAATAGGCGAAGGGCGATATTCCTTCCAATCATGATCGTTACCTTACCTCTACCTCCTCGACTCGTAAGATACTTCCCTCAAGTAATGGTCCATTTCCTCCAGTGGTTTGCTTTCTGGAGTTTCGCTGGTCTACTTACAATACCCTGGCTCTTTTGCGTCTATCAATTAGTCACGCACTCCTTTGGCAGGACTAAAAGGATCAAACATGTACTGGACGAAGCCTCGGCCCCTAAAGTGGTTATTGTCATGCCGTGCTACAAAGAAAAACCAGACATACTACTCAGGACCGTAGATTCGCTTGTCGATTGTGAATATCCTCCATCGTGTCTACACGTGTTTCTTTCGTTCGATGGTGACCAAGAAGACGAGCTTTACCTCAGGACAATCGAGAAACTCGGGGTTCCGCTGGCCCTCGACTCGTACCCGAAAAGCATTGATGTCGCTTACAGAGGTACGAGGATCACTGTCTCACGATTTCCACATGGAGGAAAGCGCCATTGTCAAAAACGGACATTCAAACTTATTGATAAGATCTATACTGAGTACCTGAAGCGCAATGACAACCTCTTTGTACTCTTCATTGACTCTGATTGTATACTGGACAAAGTTTGCATCCAAAATTTCATGTACGAGATGGAGCTGAAGCCAGGAAGCAAGAGGAATATGCTCGCGCAAACCGGCGTCATTACATCAACCACAGAGAAGAACAGTTTGATTACACTCCTGCAGGACATGGAATACATTCATGGCCAGCTTTTCGAGCGCTCCGTGGAGTCTGGCTGCGGGGCAGTCACTTGTCTGCCAGGAGCACTGACTATCCTCAGATTCTCCGCATTCAGGAAGATGGCAAAATACTACTTCGCTGACAAAGCTGAACAATGTCAAGATCTATTTGACTATGGCAAGTGTCACCTTGGAGAGGATCGTTGGCTCACGCACCTCTTCATGATAGGCGCCAAGGAGAGATACCAGATTCAGATGAATACTGGTGCTTTCTGCAAGACCGAAGCAGTACAGGAGTATAATAGCTTACTCAAGCAGCGTCGCCGGTGGTTCTTAGGCTTTATCACGAATGAGGTCTGTATGCTTACCGATATTCGACTCTGGAAACGCTACCCCCTCTTATGCTTGATGCGCTTCGCGCAAAATACCATACGTACGACCGCTCTTCTGTTTTTTATCATGGTTATCTCGCTCATGACGACTTCAAGAAAGATTGAAGATCTTCCTGTTGGTTTCATTGGTGTATCACTGGGCTTGAACTGGGCACTCATGCTCTATTTTGGTGCGAAGCTTGGTCGATACAAGATTATGCTTTACCCCTTGATGTTTGTTGTAAACCCGTTCTTCAACTGGGTTTATATGGTCTATGGTATCTTCACTGCCGGTCAGCGCACTTGGGGCGGTCCTAGGGCCGATGCTGGGGCTGCAGACATCAATACATCACCCCAAGCGGCCATCGAGTATGCCGAGGCCATGGGGGACGATCTCAACGTTGTTCCAGAGACATTCAAGTCGGCTGCAGAAGCTCGCACGCACCATTACACGCATGTGCCGTTCCTCCCATCCGACAACATCGAAGGTCGTTTTGCACCAGCCGAGCAGCTACCGGATGGTTGGTACTGGCAAGGAAACGATTCTGGACTTCATGTGCTTAAAGGAACGACTCGACAGGTTGTAGGAATGGCATTGCATCTGCGAAACTCATATGAGTCCAGTGGCACGACAGACTCAGCGACTAATTCAGTGTATCTACCTCGTAGGGTCGAAAGCATCATGGATCTAGATGATACTCTCAAGTACCACATGGGCCAGGCTGTACAGCGCCCTGCAGGAGGTACCACTTTTACCAGTGAGCGCTCAGGTGTATTTGATTCGAAGGCATATACCACCCGGTTCCCATTCCAGTCATCATCGTCGGACTCATCTTACGCCGACACCTCTCTATATAACAGCAACTCTGACAGGGTCTATCCTGAATATAGTGCGGACAATTTGCAGCCAAGAGATGGAGTAAGAATAAAAGAAATACATGGAGAAACGACGGAAAGTTCATACGTGCAATTATGGAATCCTGAAAATGGAATATTTTCTCCTAGCATCAATTACTCCACCGGGGATGCAGAATATACAACTCTGTCACAACCTCCAGTTGGGTTTATAAACAGGCGATGCCAATCGCCCTTATCACACCCAATTTTCACCAGGACTGCCACACAACCTTCGTCAGCCGCTGAACATTCGTCAGAGCCGGAGCGATATCCTGAGTCTGATACTTGTGGCATAAGTCGACCTCTGGTCGATGAGCCATGTTCGAACCGACGATACACGGAGACACTGAGCATGCCATCACCATCACACCAACCAAGCGGTCGAAGTACCGAGAGAAAGCAGAGAAAACAGCTGAACAAACCTCGATCTGATAGCAGGGCATGATTCTCCTCTCCGCTTCAGTTCTCTTGTTCTAGTTGATACACCATCATGCCGCTTTTCTTCTTTTCAACACATACTTACTATTCATGACTTCAAGGGTACCAGATCGCTATTTCTTGACAGGCATGCTGATTTGACACTTTCTTTAGGACGAGGTGTCTTCTCTACTATCTACATACCTGTCATTTACCCCTTCGGATCATGGCCGACAACAGTCCACGAATTGATTTAATTTGGCACAGACCCCATCCACACGCATTTCAAAATCCGGAATCCCAAGACTGTGACTAATCGCGAACCTTAGTCGTTACAATGATCAGACAGAGGAGGAAGGTAGAGTACATGTTATCTTAATGGATAACGATATATCGATGTTCACTAGTTCCTCTCATGACGTGAGATACAACAGGGCATATACGTGACGGCTCGAGGGCATGGCCAAATATCAATCGCCCAATACTGCCTTATATGATCTAAAGAACGCTAGCGTTCTCCATTGACTGCAAACTGGAATCAATGAGTATCATCATCCTACAAAGTATCGAATTAATCGTCTCCCAGCTGATAGCTTTCCAACATAGTTATATGGTTACCCTGAACTCTAGGACTTTCAGCTCGGGCCCTCCACTAATGGCACAACCTTTAATATTGACTAGCGCCGCAGAATTAGAGCCCTAGTTCGAACTTCGATGGGACCACTGTCCGAAATTTTGAAGGCGTCATTAGCAAGCTTAATTGAACTACTGGTGGGTATTGGACTGGAACAGCTGCAAGGATGGCTGACGGCTGTTGGTGGGTTATGCTACAAACAAACTATGATTGAGAAGGTCACTTTGATATTCGTCAGGGGGAGGTGCTCTTAGAGGTAATCCACCAGGAACGAGCTTTTGGAGAGGTCTTCAGAGTAGAGGAGCTACTTAACTAGTACAACTTTTTCTACCTGGATTGGTCAATCAAAGTAAATCTCCTTTCTATCAAGTATACCCACAGCGTATCAATGGTTATGAAGTAGCATGCCTTATGTACGCAGAAGACTGTAGCAGCATTACTTCGTTCACTGTTCTCAATGAAGTCGTGAAACTCTTGTGATCGCTACATTCGTATATGCCAATCTCAGTCTGTGAGGCGTACGAAATGCAGTATATCAGGCTGCGCAGGCGTAAAACAGATTGGTAGCCGCCCTTGTTAGGGTGTTCGACACTCCTTGTGCGAAAAATCTGCACTATCATGAGAAAATCAGTAAGATGATTTTATAAGCGGTACCAAATTCTATGTTTCTCAACAGTGTAGAGAAGCTACAAGATACTGGGGTTCTGTGCCAAACCCACTTAGTACAAGCACCACCAGATGAAATGATACAAGTATGAAGAAGAGAGCATCGTGCGTCAGGAGTGTATCGAGTTAAAAACTTGTGTGGAAATTGTTACTCAAAGGAGATTGGCAACCTGCCAACATCTCGTTGGCTCTGCGCCTTCATCTTGAAAGGGAGAGACAAAGTCTTCAAATTTCAGTCCCCTGCACATACCGGTCCCCAACAACGCCGTGCTAAGCCCAGAGGAAGTAACATCGCCACGGCCGTCCTATCTCAACCATCTCAGCACAAAATAACAAAACACAAAGAAGATGACCACCCCAGCGTAGAATATCCACTTGTCCTGCTTTGCTCTCCTCTCCACCATTCGTATCGTGTCATTACTGATACCCAGCGTGTTTGCAACCCCGTACAGCCTCTTCTGCGTTCCCTTCAACATCTCCCTCTGGGTCCCTAGATCTCCCAAAACTGCTCTTCCTCGATCTAGAAACTCATCTAGCTGAGCATTTGTCTGCGACATGAATGAGCTCTCACGCAGCGCATGGCCTTCTCGTGTTGCATGGTAAGGGTTCGCTTCTGGTGGTGGTGCATTAGCCGGCCTCCATGGTGAGTGCTGCGCATTAGCATTGTTTGAATATGGGTTTTCGGGCGTTGCGGTATTGTGTGGTCGACGGCCAAAGAGCTCTGTGCGTTCAAGTGTCGTTTGCTAGATCGTACATCAATGTGCTATTCTTTGAAGGGTGATTGATAGATATACTTTTGCCTCATTGTCTTGCTTCAGCCGGTTAAATTGATCACGGTAATCCGACAGTTCGCTCCTGAATGTCTTGACGCGCTCAAATGCCTTATCTTGTTTCGCAGCAACGATCTCTTGCTTTGCGAGTCTGGAATAGTCGTCGACGGTACGGGAGAAGGAGGTAAGGGAGGCGCTGATTTGACCTTGTGTTAAAGGCTATCAGTCGTGTGTGCGATGGGCACGGATGTAGACATACCGAGGAGGGCTGGCGAAGCAGCGGGAGCATCGGCAAAGACCTCGAGGTCCTTTCGTATGGATGCGGACTGCCGCAGTGCGGAATTGAAGAGGGTGTTCTACGTCATTCGTTTGAGATTGGTAGATTTCTGTGAAAGAGTCGAGAGCACTCACCATTGTCTTAGTCTAGAGCTATGTACAGGACAAGAACCACTCATTAATGAGCAAGGCGCTGCTGAGAGTTTAGATATATGGATATGGACTTCAAGTAGTTGTAAACACTGAGGCAACTCTCGCCAGATGTCATGAAGAAATTCTGCCGGGCAGGTGTTGACCGCCGACTAGATAGGTTAAACGGATCCGGATGTGACAGCGGCTGCGCGCCTTGGTCTCACAACAACGCAAGCCATGGGTATCAGCGGCTTGACCTCTAATTGAAATAACATGTCAATTTTAGAAGACTTTGCTCAAGGACAGGCATGACACAAAATCAGAGGGAAGAGTTCCTTACTCTCGGGTCCTCGTAGTCTATACAATATATACCTGCGCCGCAGCTTACCCACTACTGTTTTGAGTCTGGAGATGGAAACGGCAAATGTTGGGAGACTCCTTAGTATCATACCCGTTATACATTGCATATCACCGAATTTCCAGATGATAGCCAGATAGTGACGAGTTACTATCCTGCCAAGCTTCCCCGCGATTTTGAATTGAGAACCCTTGTAAGACTTTTTATCAGCTCGATGCTGACCTTCCGGAAAGAGTAAAGATTACTGCACTTGGCAAAATGGACGAGGCACTACATCTCATATAGACAAGGAGGAAAAGCCGGGAACATGGAGAATCTTATATTTGGGGGACCAATAAAAGTATATATAGGATGTAAGGAACCGCAACTGATGCGATATGTCTCGGCTGCCAGACCTTGGCTTCCTTAACCATGAAGGGAGTGTCCTTGTTGTGCTCTTGTGTTATAGCACCGGCTCTTGCACAGATTTTTGATACTTTGCAGGTTGTCCGAGACCTACCTGATGCAGTTGCAGTGAACGCTGGTAACTATGTCTCGTGCGCCAATGCTGCATGGCCACCATCTGATGTCGGGTTTGAACTTATCCCACAAGCCCCGGATGACGATTTGAAGGCTGCTTTGGCAGAAATTGATACAAGTCGGATTGAAGCGATCATCAGCAAGCTCGTTTCCTTCGGGACTCGGCATACTTTGTCTACACAGAACTCAACCACGCATGGCATTGGCGCCGCCCGGGACTGGATAGCGGCAGAAATGAGGAAGTATGCTGAAGCTTCCGAGGGACAAATGACCGTAACTGTACCATCGTACATCCAGTCAGTCGCAAATCGGATATCTTTCCCTGTGAAGATATCAAATATTGTGGCTACTTTAAAGGGTTCCACAGACCCAGATCGGGTTTATATAGTCTCAGGACATTATGATAGTCGGGTGACTGACATCATGGACTATACATCTGATGCACCCGGTGCTAATGACGACGCGTCTGGCGTTGCTGGTAGGTGTATCAACCATTTCTGTGCACATGACTCACATGGTGCAGTATCGTTGGAGCTTGCTCGAATCATGGCAACCAGGAGACCGAAAGCAAGTATAGCGTTCGTAGCAGTCGCTGGCGAGGAGCAAGGGTTATACGGAGCTGCCAACCTTGCACAGAGATATCGTAATGCCAGCGTGAACATCGAGGGTATGATCACAAACGACATCATCGGGAGCTCGAGGGGCGAGCACAACATTAGCGACCCATATACCATACGTCTGTTCGCTCAGGGGCCACCTCTCACAGAATCAACTGCTCTTGCTGCATCGAGGCTCAGTATCGGCGGTGAGAATGACTCCCCAGCTCGCCAACTGGCTAGGTTCATGGCCGAAGTCGCATCGAATAATGCTACGGGCATGAACATCGCAGTCATATATCGCCTGGATCGATTCCTCAGGGGTGGTGACCACTCTGCATTTCTGCAGCAGGGTTATGCCGGTATAAGGTAACCAGGGACTATCGTCTTGAGCACTCAGACCATTATTTACTAATTGAATGATTAAGATATAGCGAGCCCAACGAGAATTTCGACCATCAACATCAAGACGTTCGTGTCGAGAACGGAATTCAGTATGGAGACCTGGCAGAATTCGTCGATTATGAGTATGTGACACGAGTCGCGAAGGTTAATTTGGTCGGGCTTTGGAGCATCGCAAATGCCCCAGGCAAAGTCAAAAATCTAACAGTCACAACAACGACCCTGGGAAATGACAGTGAGCTCAAATGGCTTGCTTCTGATAGTGAGGATCTTGAGGGATACGAGCTAGTGTGGAGAGCGACGACGGCGCCAATGTGGTCACACAGTGTCCTTATTGGGAACGTGAGCAGCGTGACTGTGCCTCTGAGCAAGGACAATGTGATTCTTGGTATTAGATCGGTCGGAAAGAACGGATACAAGAGTCCTGCGGTGTATCCTGGACCGAGCCCGTTTCCTGAGTGAAGACGGCCTGTTTAAAACGCTGTTGACTCAGAGATCGGATATCTCGATGCAAGATTTAGTACAGGCTAGACTAGCCGTCCTAAAAGATAGAACGTATATGTTTCGTATATTCCTGGCTCGTGGCGTCTTCGTCTTTGTCATCCTACTTCGGACTTGACTGACCTCGGACTTAAAGCGCCAATCGGAGAAAGCCACTTCAGAGTCATCAACGCCGATGGAGGACGCGAGAATGTATGTAGCAATCATTCTTCGAAGAAGTGCTGAGTAGGATCTGATGGTATCTCGTATGAGAGATTGATGAAAATAATGAGTGGTACAGTGACAGAACACATGTCGAGATGATTGGAAGGGCAAAAGTCAAAGACAAGCCCTTTGACCCTAAGGGGCCGTGCTTTCTGGTCTCCACTTATTTTTAGATAATGCATCCACCTGGCCACTCTGATGATTCTGATTGATGTTGTTATGCTGTGGTTAACCTCGCGGATGCGACGTCTGACACAATCTTCTCTTTCTACATCTAGACTATCCGTTTTCGCACCACGCAGCCTTCCATTGTCGTGCTCTCGGGGGGATGCGGCTGGTCAAGCTTGGCAATCAACACCATTCATCCATCTGAGGTTCCTCCCCTGCACAGACATGGATGTACGTCAGAACAAAGCCCCAAGACGCGCTGTCAAAAGTGCCAAAGGGCGTCAAATATCTTCCATATCGTGCGCCAGTTCATGTCGATGGATCAGCACCTGGTGCAGGATTGGCGGTGTCGTCTCTCGCCATTTCACCTTGAAGTCATCGACATACCCAATAAAGGACACCGAAACACATCACATACAGGGATTGTCTCCGTAAATTCAAGGTAAAGCTTGCGCATACACTCATATTACTAACGAGTAATAAGACCTTGATGGATTCTGGGGCGCTTTGATGACTCCTATAATAGCGCGATCTACTCCCCGCGAAGCACCAAGCCTCAGACAATGGCAGAACTCCGAGTGGTACTCGGACTTGCTTACATTACCAACTTCGGCTAGTCCTTGCGCCCAGTCAACGACTGATGCGTCTCTAGTTCTTCAGTCATCAATTCTGCGTACGGTGTAACAAAGCCAATGTGGTTCTCATGCGCTGACTGCTACGTAAGGCTGGTCCGAGCCTCCTTTCGGACCTAGTTCTCGGCTGTATTACATTTTATGTGTGGAGTGTATGTATATATACGGGCATAATGTTCCCCCTTTGGAGCACAACAACCAATCTTTGTTGATAACTTCTGAATTACAACACCTGCACTACGACTTAACAATCGATCGGCATACCTGTTCTTGTCAATTTGGACTCAACCTGTCCTGTCTGTTCTTAGGTTTCATTCATCGGCATAGCGAAACACAAAAAAACAATGTCCTACCGAACAAGTTCAGAAAATACCTCGACCGCTTCTATTTCAACTAAGAGCTCGATATCTTCCATTCAATTTCTCAAAGAGATGTTCTCCTCCAAAAAAAATCCAGAAGACGAATCGATCTCACACTCGAGCTCCAAAACACGCGCTAAAGAGATGAGGGCAACCGCTCTTGCACACTACGCCACCATGCGTTGATGAAACAGACGCTCTAACATTATTCATTTTACCCTCACTCTTCAAGTAAACCACTTGGAATTCGAGCAACGGATTCAACACAAATTTATTCAGCCCCTAATCATCTTTTCGAACGGAGGACACAGCATGGTCTACACTATCTATATTTCAGGGGTGATCGCCGGAGTTTGTGGACATGCATGAGTGCTAGGGCTTTTGCGAGGTGGATTATATTCTTACTTGACGCACGCGATCCTAGTTCTATCTCGTTCTATGAATCTACTGTCTTTCGATTTCACACGTCATTATTGTCAATGTATGTACATCATTCCATATAATATGAACTAGGTAAACCAATGGGCCAGACGCTTTCGATTGGTAGGCTAATACTTAATAAGGTAATGTGAAGTCTAGCCATGTTGATGCAAGAAACATAGGGACAAAGATTCACGATACGTATCACACGAACCAATCCACTATTGCCGTTCTTCGAACGGCAAGTCCCACGCGGCGTGTTCTTCACCGTAACTCTATTGTCGATGCGTATCTTCAGCGTTGTCGAGGCAATGGTGACCGACCCGGCAAACGATGGTGCTGATTCACAACACAAGCTTCTATTGTTCTGCCTAGCGTGTCCGTCTTTCCACCCGGCACTCTCGAAGATTCTCTGACTTGTGTATATATATTCTTACGACGTGTCACACCTATAATTTCCCTACTAACTTCCTTCTCACTTCTTCAATCTCGATTTCCTGATACTATACCGACACTGTTGATCCTTTAGCCTACCGAGCCCATACGAGGTGACATTGTTTCCTCTGACCACCCTATTTCGTACTGCTCACAACGTCTAGAACTGCCATACAGTCAGAATTTGACAAGTTTTCCGCGATGTCCAGCTTTCACAACCGCAACGTTAGGTACGAGACACTCTGAATATAGCTGCTTATATTCCTACTCACTTTTGTCTCCTCCAGACTCAATGGCCAGACCGAGACCGCTGATGGCGATTTTGTGATGTATGACCACGAGGAAGTGCCATCACATTCACGCAAGCGTAAAGCTACCGCCGACGTCTACGATCGCGGAAGCTCCACCGACGAAGACGCTGCCCCGTCTCCAACCCGTCGCTCCAATGCCGAGTTTCGCAGAACCCTACCTAAACCAGACTCTAACCGCCGCTCTGCGGGTACACTGTTCCTCGAAAATGAAGACTTAGAACTCGACGAAGGCCTCGAAGATGATGAAAACTCCCAAGACGGAGACTTTACCACCGCTGGGACCAGTGATCACTCTTCCTCACCGATGCCCAATTCGCCCCAGAACCGTTCCATAAATCTTGCTGTCCGTGAACCCTACCTCGAGGCCCCGGTTCATCTCTCCCGTGCCCATCACTTAAAGCGTAACCCGCCCAAAGTCACACCAAAAATACACTACTCAAAGCGTTCCATGCCCGAACACGACCCTGAGAACCACGAAATCCTGCGCCTTCGCACCATCGAGAAACTTCAGTGGAGTGAAATTGCCCGCCTACTCAATGCTGACCGCGCAGCCGCCGGCATTCCAGGCCTCCTCACCGACGCTGCTGTCTACGGGCGTTTCGTTCGCAATGGACCACGTATTGCGGCCCTGGAGGGCAAAGAGCTGGATCCCAAGGATTATATGCATATCCGTCACAAGAAGTTAACAAGGCAGGAGCCGGAGAAATTTGCACAGTGGACGCCAGCACACGACGAGGCGCTGGTGCACAGCTTGTTTCAGGCCGAAGACGAATTGTGGAAGAGGGTTGCGGAATTGTTAGAGGATAAGACAGGCATGCCATTTGATGCGCAGGACTGCTTTAAGCGATATCAATTGATCTAGGGTGAGATGCCTATGGTCGTCCATGACATTTCGAGTTGATAATGGCGGTAAGGATCGTCATCACTTACGCAAAATATCGCTCGGCGGGATCATGGTCATGAAATTGGACGACGAGTGTCTCATGATCTAGCGTCACCTGGATATCGGATGTTCACGTGTAGTGTTAGGCTGGAAATGAGACTACGATGCATGCACATGGCTTACTTAATGGCGTTACTCTACATGGTTCTTTACTCTAAAAGATACTAAGTCTATATTTTAAGTCTTAGGCTCTCTTAGCTCCTTTGTTGGTAATGGCTTTTTGCAGTATATGATTTTGGTGGTTCCATGGTCCTGCCTAAGATATCACACACACTAGGACTCTGTTGTATCTAACAGATTATCTTCTAGGCTAAGCAGTGATAGATATAATAATGATAGTACCTGCTTATCACTAATTTTTCACATGACTGTGAGACACTCTGCGGGAAGATGTTGAAAATGGTGGAGGTCACGCCCATATGTATCCTCGTAATTTTCGCTTCGAATTGCGATCGAGAATACTGCAAGCGAACTTGCCAGCTGTATTAGAATTACAGATTCGATAACGTATATGTGATCTATTACTGTAGATAGCGGTAGAATGACTTCGCATGACAGTGATGACTCGATAAGCAAGTATTTTAGCGCCATATTCGTACTACCGAAGTGGAAGAACTAATTTAGGGTTTGCGTGTATACTAGCGAAAATATAAACATTCGGATGACGCAGCAACGTGTCCACACGATATGCGATTATTCCGAGTCCATGTAATAGATAGTATTTGCAGTGCCTCGTAGCATAGTAGTATGCCTTTCAAGGAGTTTGCAAGCTGTATTCTTACGCGAGCGAAGCGCGAGCGAAGCGATCAACGACAATGTCTTTATGTTTTTTCTTCCCGGCCCTCTCAATACCTGCCAAGACCTCTTGGTCGTGATCGAAGGAAGGGTTCGTCATATCTTTATGTGTCAGCCTATCAGACCTGAAACTGTCACTAAGTGCCATACTCATTAAAGTATAATGACTCATCATCGTCGGAGTCGTAGTCATAATCGTCCTCATCGTCGGAGTCAATGTCGACATAGTTGCTGTACATTGGCCTCCGCATCAGCCCCATCCGTCCGCGACGGCACATGTCGTCGTCATCGAAGCCCATGAATTGGTTTTGCCCTCGTCCAGTGCCTCCAAATAATCTTCCACGTCCACCTCGAAGTCCACCTCGAAGTCCACCTCCAAGTCCACCGCCGAGCCCACTTCCAACTCCATCGTACCGGCCTAATGCGGCTTGCATTCTTCGATATGCAATCATGGGGTTCTCAGCGTATGGATTCCGTCCCATATTCACCGGGTACCGTTCGAGATCGGCTGGCTGGCTCCCCATGTGCCTTTGGATGATGGCTCGCTGATTCAGCCGACGGGCGGCAGCGTAACGACTTCCCTCCTGTTCCCGAAGGTGGCTGCCGCGATGGCGAGGCATGCAACCCCGATTGCCAAATGCATTACCGAACATTGACTCGGCTTGTGTGTGATGGCTAGATTACCGTTTGGAATGGACTCTGTGCTAACAGTAAAGAGTTCGTGTTGAAGCTCATCTGTGTGTAGGTGAAAAGCTCAGATATGTTGAAGTGAGATATTGAGGTGCAAAGAGCAGACATATGGAGGCAAGGGCATGTTGAGCATATGGATGTAGTATGCGCTGGGCGCAGTAATGAGTATACGTCGAGGACAAACATTCTTACATGTCTGTGTCGCCAGACCTGCTGTAAGTATTTGCACGTTAGCAGAAGTCGTGTACAGCTATATATATGATAGGCCAGTTGTATGTCGACCAATGTAGGACAGCGAACTTGATCCTTGATGTTTGTCGCATTTGTGTGAAGGTATGCGATGTCGCCAGTGGCGAATGCTTGTCAACCCTGGCAACGAAACCTGGTCTTCCCTCTCAGTCTCGCGTGGGCTTTCATAAGTTTGGATCAGGAAGGATCTGGCTAGTTTCTCAAACTGTCAGAGTTCTGTTGTTGGCGAGACGAGCTTGGCATGTCGTGTTTGGAATGAAGCAAACGCAAACTTGGGCAAGACTAGAACTCTTGACAAGTAAAAAGGGGTATGAAGCTGACGCGGATAGGATCGCAAAGTGACCAAAGAACAGAGCAAGACTCGTGCATGATGAACATGTTGTGTTGCGACAACACGGGTGTCCAGAGTCATTCACGACTAATTCACGAGGTCCAGGGCGGCGATTTATATCGGATGAATGAGCTGGAGGTTCCAACTTAGACATTTGCTTAGTAAGAGTAGTCTAGCGCGCGGCGGTGGCAGGAGCTTTCTCGAGAGGCGAGGAGCCATCGCTGAAATCCTGCCGCTCACCACAATTCATTGGGTACCGCTATCATTTTTCTTTCGACAAAACTTCCACGCCTTACTCGACATCGCGACGAAATCACCTTTGCATCGATCCATCATAGCATTCTCGTCCCAAACTTCACGAGTACGTCGCCTGAGTTATTCGTGATGCGTGAGCTCTAGCTTAACTTGACATAGTCACGCATTCCACTCCGCCGCTCTCATCGTACCGCGCCTCGCTTTCAATAAGTGTCACATCGTAGTCGTCGCGTCCATATCCTTTCACTCCCTTCAGGACATCTTTACACGTATCGCATACTATGGCGCCCTCGACTTTCGCCTCGGCAGCTGCAGGGAACAACGCGAATTCTTCGCGCACAGACTCAGACTGGTGAGCCGGCCACCCCAATAAAAAAATACACATGAAAATCAATATCAAGGCAAACAATGCATCTTGAGCGAGAGGCTGTAGATGCAATTGATTTAAGCTTGGTTGATTGCCATGGCCCGTCATTTCTTGTGCTTCGACACCAGCATTGACCTTGAGGTCCACTATGTTGGGAATAAGCATGTTCTAATCTACGTATAGGGCCCGACGTGCCAATGGTGCAACGCAAACATTTCGCCGCTCGTCTCATGCTACTTCATTCTCGACGTCGTCAGCGTCACGCGATCAAGCTGGAAATCCTGCCCCCTCGAATCCTGGTGTATACGTCCCGCCACATGTGCATTCGAATCGGAACAGTGGAGGCTACTCGAATGATACTCGTTACGGCAAGGATCACCTACTTGAAATTTTTCGCGCACAGAAAGAAGGAGACCATCTCAGTAATGGACTTTCCACTCTGTTTGTGCCAGGTTGGCAACCGAGTATTGCGAACGGAGCCTCTACCGCTAGCTGGGGTCGGCGAGAGGAGCACGACCGTCAGAACCAACCTGGAGCAGACATCTGCTGGGATCGTGATGGCACGGTAAACCCTATGGGCTTGTCAGAGCCCACTGACGAGGAAAGAGAGGTATGCTTTGTTTCTTTCATCCTAGTCCATTTAATTGACGGTTAACCAGATATTCAATTCCTCTGTCAATTCGCCCCTCAAACCTCCAACACAGACTGCTACTAAAGATGGCAACTCGAAGGACAATCTCAACTTGCGCAAAACTTCGATTTCTCATCAAGCCCTCAATAGCCCGGGTGCGTTTGGTCTATCCTCACCAACAGGATCGCGCTCTACTAGACGCCGAGACACCAGTGATGCGTATCCATTCCCGAATCCTGTCACGTCTCCTAGCACCTCTAGATTTCCCCGCGAAGAGACCTCCAGCGCAGTAACGCCACCACCCTCGCTTATTCGCAGACGAACAGACCTTAAGGATCCTCCATCATCTGAGGATAAGGATAAGGAGAAGTCGAGGGACGCTGATGCACCCAACCCATTCGGAAGTCTCAAGCGCACGACGACCGCGCCATTTGCGGGTGCAATTGGGTCACCAACATCCCCCTGGTCCGCCGGTCCCCAGAGCGCTGGCTTCGGTGTTTTCGGAAATTTCGCAATCGGAACGGGCGGTCAGGTCGGACCTACCAATGACAAAAGGCTAGGCTTTGGTAGCTTGAAGGGCGAGAGTAGATTCAAAGGTCTCATGGCAAAGGACAGCGCAGAGGACATCAGTAGATCGATGAAGGAGAAAGGCTCATCAGGTACGCTAGCGAGGGCACCGGAAACGGAGAGCTCACGCGATATCACCTCCTGGTTGGATTCCAGATCTAAGCGTACACCTGCAGACACCGAAGAGGACCTAGTAGAAGATGATCTGCTTTCAGGAAGCGCTGCTCTAGGCGGCCAGGATGCCAGTCCCCCGCGCCGCCAAACCACAGGATTCGGAACACCCAGCAAGCCTGATACACGAGATGATGGATTTTCTGCCTTTGGAATGACTTCTGATAATACAGGGGTCCCAACATCCTTCGTCAATCGTGAGAACTATCAGCAGCAGACACCTCAATCGCGTCTGCGCGGCGCACAACAAGAGCCTTTAAGCAGTCCGACAACCACCAATCCTTACCATAGTCCAGAAAATGACAGGACGGGCGGAGATCACCACGACGCCGAAGGCTCCGACGATCATAATACGCATCTGCCTGGTCTGGGCGGATTTGATTCTAGATCAGGCCAGTCGGGTCTTCTTGATCATTCTGGCGTCCTACGTGGTGGTGGTGCGCCATATCAACAACATGATACAGCAGCAAGCGATCGGAGTCAGACGTCTAGTGTTGGGGCCAATCGAGGCATACCAGATTTGGGCAGTACCAGCCTTGCAGGACTCGGAGGTGGTCTTCCCGGCCTTGGAGGGCCCGGGCTACCCTCGTGGCCTATAGGCACAGCTGGAGTTCCGTCTGGGAGAGACAGATTGGCCTTTGGGGCATTTGGAGACCCAATGTTCGGATCTGGAGGTGACCTCCATTCTCCTAGCATCGCTGGACTAGGCCCAAGTAATGGCTTTGGTCCAGGCAGTGGCACTATCGGACGTAGCAGCAAGATGGGTTCTCTGTTCCCGGCTGCGATGCAAGAACAGATGCGAACTGGAGACCACAACCGGCACGGCGACGACGTTCAGTATGAGGCTGGTGAGCGAGCTCCCATTGGCCAGAGTGCTTACGCTAGGAATGCTTTTGGTGCCCCTGGATCGGGTCATCCTGCACGTGATTCTGAGAGTCCTTTCCGCGGCGGACGGAGCAATATGGAGGAATTCGATAACAATCATCGCAATTCTCGTGACAGTGGATCTTTATCTGATACTGCTAACACTCCATTTGGCATTTCATCTGCACAGCAGAACCCTCAACTAGCCACTCAAGGCAGTGCAAGCCAGCTACGAAATGCGCAGTCTCAAAATCAAGGCGTGAGTAGCTCAGCATCAAATCAGCCCCCCGCTGCGCAGCAAAGGACTATGGTCATGCCCGACAGAATGAGATGGATCTACAGAGATCCCCAAGGTGCCACTCAAGGACCGTGGTCTGGTCTCGAAATGCACGACTGGTACAAGGCTGGATTCTTCTCTCCTGAGCTCCTGGTCAAGAAAGCTGAGGATCCCGAATATGAGCCCCTGGCGCAGCTCATTCGCCGAATTGGAAACTCTCGTGAGCCTTTCTTGGTCCCCCAGATTGGTATACCTCACGGCCCTGCGCCGGCACAATCCAGTACCAACCAGTGGCCGGGCACTGGTACTGCCCCGGGTACTCAACCTCCTTTCGCGAACAGCTTCCCTAGCTTTGGCACGACCCTGACAGCAGAACAGCAGAACGCACTTGAGCGCAGGAAGCAAGAGGAACAATGGCTCATGGCCCGTCAGAAAGAGCACCTCGCCCAACAACAGGTCATCGGCAAATCATCAATTCCAGGACTCAACCAGCATGGAATACTTACTCAACAATTACATCATCATTCCAGTGCTCACAGTCTCCATAGTCAGCCTAGTTTTGGTAGTATCACATCACCAGGCGGTTATCAACCCTCGCCTACCCAAGGCGCTGTGCCTGGATCACAAGGCGTTCCGGGATTCTTTGACAATTCATTCAGAACCCCATCTCAAATGCCGTCTATTGGCGTTTCTGGTGCACAGATGGACATGCTGGGTAACATCAGAGAGGAGCAATTACCAGGCATGATGGATCGCCTGAACTTACGTACGAATCAGCCTGGGTTTGGTGGTGTACCAGCGCCCTATGGAAATCAGCAACAACCCGACTCTAATAATCATGAGCAGGTCGCCGCCATGCTTAATGACCGCTCGAGGTTACAGCGCGAACAAGCCGAACACGATGCGAAGCACCAAAACCTAAGTCAGCACGATCAGGACGCAATTGCTCAAGCATCTGCTGAGCGCCTGCGTCAGTTTTATGACCTTCAGTCGCAGTCGGAAGCAGACCAGGGTGCACCTGCTTCTGAGGCAGCTGGTAGCGTCATTGGCAAGACTTCGGGGTCCTCCGCAGATAGCGAGTCCGAGGAGGAAGGTTTATACCGGGAAGATGAGGAGGCGCCCGCTACAGATGATGCATACAAATCCAAGACTGAGCCACTATCTTTGACCGAGCAAGTTCAGAAGACTGCATCGGCCAAGCAAACACCAGTACAGCAATCACCGTGGGCAAAAATTGATACCTCAATGCCACATCCGTTTCCGCCACCAGTCTCACAGTCACCGCTGCCTGCTCCATCTGCTCAGCGAAAACAAAATTTAGCCGATGCCCTGACTGCCGAGACTCGATCGCAGACGGCGACACCCTCTGTAGAGACTCCCAGCGCATCTATCGCACCTTGGGCGAAAGAGCCTGCAGAGGCTCCCAAGGGTCCGTCGTTGAGGGAGATTCAGGAAGCAGAGGCCAAGCAAGCAGCGCAAAAAGAGGAATTGGCGGCGAATACGCGTCGGATTCAACAGGAGAGGGAACTACAAGCCCTGACGAATGCTCCAGCTCCAGCTCCAGGGCTTCCATCTAGTTCTACGTGGGCAAGTGGTGCATCACCACTAACACCAAGCTCGGCGACAGCTGCTTCCCCTTGGGCAAAGACGGTGCCGACCAAGACACCAGCTCAAATTGCAGCAGCAGCCAAGAAGACACTTGCGCAAATACAAAAAGAGGAGGAGGCTCGTAAGTTGCGCACCGCTACAACTCTCCCCAACACGGTGTCTGCATCGGCTGCTCCACTCGCCTCTGGCAAACGCTATGCCGACCTTGCCAGCAAGCAAGCTGGCATGCCTCCCAATGTGGGCGGTAGCGTGTGGACTACGGTTGGCGCTAGCGGAAAAACGAAGACTCCCGTCACGTCTACTCCGAGCGGGCCTGCTTCCGTGCTGAGAACGGCTTCTGCTTCCATCGTGCCGGGAACTAGCCCGAAGCCGAAGCCTGCAAGCAGCACGGCAAATGCTGGAAGAAGCATGACTACTGGAGGACCTATTGCTAGCACTGCGCATGCTTTAGAAGAGGTCAGGAAGTGGGCAATCGCAGAGCTCAAGAAGGATCTTGAAGCTGTCCCGGGTAAGTCTGATCTCAAAACTTGTACATGGAGAAACAATCACTAAACGACACCTCAGCTGGCGAACTCGTGGCCACTCTTCCATTCCTCCCGATGGAGGTGGATTTTATCACAGAGACAGTGCACTCAGTTAGCAAGACGATCGATTCTCGTCACTTTGCCGAGGAGTATCTCAAGCGGTACAAGCTTGCGCAGAAGGGCATCATTGAGTCTTCTTCACCTTCCAACGAAAGTAAAAGTGCAGAATCAGGTAAAGGTGGATGGAGTGAGGTCGCGAAGAAGGGTGGAAGTGCTGCACCTGCGAAGGAAGAGCCAGCAGTCAATTTCAAGGTTGTGGCGTCCAAGAAAAAGGGCACAAAGCGTTGAAGTAGCTAGAAGCAGCTGTACGGATCAAGAGGGCGTGTTTTGGAAAATGAAGGAATATCCGACGCCGGCACTACAAGATGTACTCTGACGGGAACACTGGTAACTGTACAGATAGCAGAATCACTAGAGTGAGTATATGGCAAGGTTCGTCTGTGTGCGACCCATGCTCTGGCCACGACATGATTGCAAAGGCATTCCAGACACATGAATGACTTGCAGCACATGAGTCAGCAAGTACTAACTAGTACGTTCAACTAACAAGTCATGGGATCGATGTAGACAACATAGACAACGGGACAAAGATGCAGCATGACTTATCATTGGACGAAAGTTCCCCCAGCGGCTGTGCACGATAAGGGACGGGATCAATCTCATGCTGTGAAGGACTTGGCCAATGACTACTCATCCATGCAACAATGTTCATTCATCCCGAGTCACATCAACACATCTCTGTGCTTGGCAATACCCCGTGATGTATCGTCCATCCCTCGACCCACATTCGATGAGGTTGTATAGTAAAAGTGATTATTATTGTTATTATAATTTCAAGTGAGCAACTCGCTCTGGAGAAACAGGTGGATGGAATGACGGCTCGAGCCCTCAGCGCACCGAGGATCGAGCATTGAGACGAGTGCAGGTCACTGTGTCATAATATGATACTGGTATGGCGACGTGTTGTCGGGCTACGACCCATGCATGCATGGATATGCGGCTTGTGGATATACATCATCTAGCTCGGCATTCAATTCAACTATCAGTTATCAATTATTGTTTGTGACGCCGATGATAGACTTGCTGCGGATAATTAATTACCTGCCTGGCTGACAATTGGGTTTAGGGGTGGTGCAGGCAAGAGATTGACGGGCGGCGCCACCAAATCCAGGTGGGTAGCTCCCCCCTTTTGGCTAGCTGGCTAGCTATAGTACGCTGGGGGCACCCTGCACGCTACAGTGCGTCTTCCCACTAAACACAATCTGCAGCCAAAGCCATTTTTCTTCCCAATCAGCTAGGAGAATGCATGGGAGTTGCGAGTTGCATGCTCGACTGACTTCCACGCCAGATTCCCTTCTCGACGCGCACATCTGCTACAATCCTTCCCTCTCTAACCTCCTCCTTCGCCGCCTTTCCTTCTCCTAGGTGCATCTCGACCTTTTCTTTGTTTACGCCTCACATGTTCCGTTTCCTCGCTGCTTCATAGTCGCGCGTGAAATTGGTCGCTGCTGCGAAACCCCAGAACACGATATCAGAGTCGCTCGTTACGCTCATGATTCCATCCAGATCCACTCGCTTTCTTGGTGCCACCGACCTTGTACACAGCTTCTCCTCTTAATCTACCACCTTTCAAACACGTCAATTGTCTCTCTTTTGCCGAGGACTACCATACCCACTTTCACTGGTATCGATAAATAGTCTCAATGAGGAGACGCTCATCCGGTTCCGCGACAGAGGATGACGACCTTTCACAACTCTCTCCTTCATCCACCTCCAGTCATAGCGATAAGCCTAGGGAAAGATCCACAGATGCACGCAATACTCCACGGAAGAAGGGTAATGCGAAGGAGAGGAGGCGACGTAATGACGGAGTAGCGAGAACGGACATGACCAATTCGACCGAAGCTTGGGCCAAAATCCAAACGGCTTCGCCCGGCAAAGAGAAGGCTGCTCTCCACATATCTCAGAAGGAGCTGAAGCAAGAGAAGAAGATGGAGACCGTACATCGCAAATTCACCAGCTGGCGAAATCCCTGGTCATCTTCTTTCTGGACCATCGGCGCCACCCTTGCTGCTCTGGCACTTCTAGCCACTATCGGCTACTCCTTTACGACATGGCAATTAGATCCCAAGGGGTGCGCGATGTGCTATATGCGACCTTCATTTGTCAAATACACGGGTTTTGATACCGAACATACACCTTTCGCGAGCAAGTACTCGTTGTATTTATACCGTGAGGGTGTCATCGACGAGGATCCGAAAGTATATAATACATCGACCCCCTCAAAATGATCTGCACTGACCTCATCTAGCTCAAAGGTGTTCCGGTGCTTTTTATACCAGGGAATGCCGGTAGCTACAAGCAAGTACGACCACTCGCCGCCGAAGCTGCATACCATTGGCACGATGCCTTGCAATACGATGCTGGAGCTATAGGAGCTGGCAAGCGTCCTCTGGACTTCTTTTCGGTTGACTTCAATGAAGACATCACCGCTTTCCATGGTCAAACTCTCCTCGATCAAGCACAGTACTTAAACGATGCAATCTTATACATTCTCTCCTTGTACCACGATCCATCGCAGTCGAATCGAGACCGAGACTTACCAGACCCAAGCTCTGTCATCCTAGTTGGACACTCGATGGGAGGAATAGTGGCAAGGACTATGCTCATTATGCCAAACTACCAGCCAAATTCCGTCAATACCATACTCACCCTGGCCGCGCCGCACGCTCGACCTCCTGTCTCGTTTGATGGAGAAATTGTCCGGATATACTCAGATATCAACCACTACTGGCGGCATTCCTACTCGCAAAATTGGGCAAATGATAATCCTCTATGGCATGTGACCTTGATTTCAATTGCGGGAGGAGGTTTAGACACGATCGTACCCTCCGACTACGCCAGTGTGGCCTCACTGGTTCCCGATACTCATGGCTTTACGGTGTTTGCTTCAACGATACCGAACGTGTGGACTGGTATGGATCACTTGGCAATCACATGGTGCAACCAGCTGCGGAAAAGCATCGTTCGCGCATTGTATGACGTGGTAGATGTCAATCGCCCTGCACAGACTACGAGACGTGCGGAACGAATGACGACGTTCAAGAAATGGTTCTTGACGGGGCTAGAAGATGCCGCCGAGAAATCTCTGCAACACCAAGGTACGGACAATCGACTTTTCCCCGCTATGTACAAATACTGACTTAATTCGGTAGATACCAACATTCTTTTGACGATTGAAGATGAATCCACTCCGGTAGAGTCTCCGGGAGGTCGACTTACTTTACGAAATTTAGGTGATTCCAAGAGGCCTCAGGCTTATTTGATCCCTGTGCCACTCCAAGGTGCCTCAGATGCATACAGATTCACACTCCTATCGGATCAAAAACTCGATTTTGCTGGTGGTAACGGAAAGCTCGAAGTCTTGTTCTGTAGCGTATTCCCACAATTCTCCGGACAGGTCGCCTCGGGCTTTGACATTAATATAGACTTGTCCCACGGGACTGAAGGACCTAAAACACGTATGGCATGTAAGGACTCGGCCGCTGATACAATAATCCTTCCTGCCTCTACGGGAGATTCTGTGTTTCCTTTCGATGACCGAGCGCCGTTCTCATATCTCCAATACAGCGTCAACGAGCTTTCAGAGCATCAATTTGTTGCTATTTTAGACAAGTCTTATGAAGTCCATACTGGCTTCCTTCTAGCGGAGTTCAGTTCGGACCTAGACTCTGTCATCCGCTCCAACGACAGACTTGAGGATCTAGTAGCACATGGCCTAAATGTGGAGCTCCCTGCGAAGCGACCCCTCTCTGTCGATGTCAAGATCCCGGCACTTAAATCCAGCTTGCTAGCATATACCCTCAGAGTTACTGGAGGTACTTGTATGTCGACACCTCAACTCTTCGCGCCATTCGTTCGGCAATATGTCAGTGACGTTCATGAATCGAAATTCTTTACCAACGTCAAGGAGACCAATATCAACGTTCACGGTGTTGCTCCTTACATGCCACCAAACCTTGAGAAGGGCACGAAGCCTGGTGAAGGTCTTGCGCTCCAGATATGGACTGATCCGACCTGTGAAAATCCCATTGAGCTGCATCTGAACCTCGATATTCTCGGAAGTATGGGCAAACTATGGATGCGGTATCGTTTCGTCTTTGCGGCGTTCCCCCTCTTGGTGGTTGCCTTGATTCTCAGAAAGCAATTCAAGATATACGACCAGGAAGGGGTTTTCATGAGTTTCTCAGAAGCGCTCAATCAGTGTCTCAAGACCTCATTGCCTGTCCTCATACTTGCACTGACCTTCTTCTCGACCTCGCTGGCGAGAGCAAGTATGTTGTCGGCTGGGACTACATCACCTTATGATTGGTTTCTACGCCCCTTTGTCAACACCGGAGGTATGGTCTCTGCAATTGACTACTCCAAGAATGACTTTCTTCTCGGCTTCCAGGATGCTTTCTTCTGGTTTCTCGTACCTTTGTTTGGCTTGATCTCTACCGGCATTTGCGTTCTTCTGAACTTTACAGTGTTGACTCTGACTCACATCTTTGCTCTCATATACGGCAAGATTAGTTACGTACCACTTAGAAATGACAACTCAAGGTATGTACTGCATCTTGGTATAGACTACGCGCTGTTATTGATTATAAGTAGAAGAGGTCTTGGAGCTTTCGCATCCACCAGACGACGCGTGCTCTTTACTGGCATACTGCTTCTGCTAGTATCTACGGTAATACCCTATCATTTTGCATACGTTGTGCTTTGCATTGTACAAGTCGCAACATGCACCAGAGCATACCGGCTGGCCCAAGATACCGGTTCAGCCGCCAACTATAACTTCTATAATTACACGCACTCGATACTGGTCTTCATGCTTTGGATACTACCTATCAACATACCTGTCCTGGTTGTTTGGTTACGCAACCTAGCAATACAATGGGCGACGCCGTTCTCCTCACATCACAATATCCTACTTATCATGCCTATAATACTCCTGGTGGAGACCCTCACGACCGGTCGGATGATACCTCGAGTCACTACCAAAGTTCAATATCTTACCAACATGTTCCTATTTGGACTAGCTGTATACGCCGCGGTGTTTGGGATCACCCGCGGATACATTTTACATCATCTCGCCAATGCACTATGCGCCTGGCTTGTGGTCATACATGCCTCGGCAAATTCAATCTCCGCGTCCACTTTGACGACCCTCCTCGATCGCCGACCTATACAATACAGCCGGCCTAAGAAGCGGCCCTAGTCTCGCGTTCAACTCGAGGCGCTTTCCTTCGGTTTACATCGTCCTGCTTTAGCGCCTTCGTTTCTATCTGACAGTATTCGCAGAATACCCAGGAGTTTCTGTGCTTGTTTATTGATGCGAAAATGACCGTTGCCGTTTCCCAATCACACCGGGAGTCTTGATGATACATCGCGACTCTGTCTTCTGTAGATAGACCTGTTCAGAGGCTGTACAAGCCCCGTGTACAAATTTCCTTATATGATAAAGGGGCAGAGCCCCTGAGAAGAGGGAACCGTTTGACACGCTTTCACTCTCGGATACAGCACATGATGAATAGATAATATCTTAATCTGGTGGAGCGAGTAGATCAGTACTGTATGCAGAGAGATCTAGCTGAGTTAATTCACATGGAAGATGACGTCGAAAATCACCCCCCGTTCACTTAAATCTGAGGGTTGAATGTGATTGAACGTTTGTCAGAACAGATTTACCCATCCAAAAGCACAGGCCAAACTTCTATAAGGTTAGGCTAGCCATCGGCCCGCAAGTGGCGCTTGGCAAAAACCTATGGATGAATCTATGCCGATCGTCAAGTCGGTCTTCCGCAATCGTAACGTCATGAATGAATAAACGTCTGAGTCCATCCGTTCTGTGAAAATGGTCATTGGTGGTCATGCCGCGGCTTCATATAGAGGGACTCAGGTCATTTTAGCGTGTTTTGGAATCGTGTATGAATGAATGAATGCGAATTGTAATTTGTACGTATATACATGTAAACCAAGACATACAAAACGCGTCTTAACATCTCCAGGCCGGCCGGCTCATTTTCTTCGAAAACAGTACCACTACGGTTTCTGGTACATGCTCTGCCAGACATGAAGTCACCACGTATCCTGTCGATGATGGCTTTGCAGGTCGTAGCAGCTCTTGCTGTCTCCGTATCTGCTCGGGATAGTAGTAGCGGCTCTGTTGTGACATTCCAGCATCCCGCCGACACTGTTCTGCGGACTGACAATGGCACGTACGGGCCTGAGGTTGAGGAGTGTGTATATTGTTATGATTGCCTGCTGGGGGCCAGGGGCAAGGCAAAAAGGCTCGTTCTGACTGTGCGGCAGGTTCCATTACTACTATGATCAGTTCCCGATCGGCCTCGCTGTCTCGAGCAAGGGCCGGTTGTTCGCTTGTTACACTCGAGGTAGCTATAGCTATACTCTCGGCGAAGCAGTCAATAAGACGGCGGAGGTATGTGATATCTTTGTAGTTTATGTTGCGACGACGATCATGCATGAAGAAAGACACTGAATTGACCAGGCGCCATACCCATCCGCCGCCCTCAACCTCCCAGTCGCACAGCTCAATACGACATTCAACACCATCCCCTTCGGCAGCGCAAACTCCACCCATCTCATCTCCGTACAAGCCATCTACATCACGCCCTCGACGCCCAACCGCCCGGAAACGCTCTGGGCCCTCGACACAGGACGGCCCAGCATCGTCGCCGCGGACGGCAGCCCGACGATGCCCTACGCCCAGCCCGGCGGACCGAAACTCGTCGCCATCAGCCTCGCCAACGACTCCATCTACGCAACATACACATTCCCAGCATCCGTGCACTTCCCAGCCTCGTACATGAACGACCTGCGCTTCGACCTGCGGCCCACGACCACGGCGAGCGGCCAGGGCGTGGCATACATTGCCGATAGCAGCAACGAGGGCCGCAACGGCTTCATCGTCGTCGACCTGGGCTCGCGCGCCTGCTGGCGCCGTCTGACGAATCATCCGTCTGTGCTGCGCGTCTACGACAATGTGCCGAGCTACCAGGGCCGTGCCTTCTATGTGCGGCAGGCGGGCGGGATGCCGGTTGGGTACTTGCGCGAGGGACTAGACGGCATACAGATCTCGCCGTGCGGCAGGCGGCTATACTATTCGCCGCTGACGTCGCCCTACTTGTACTCTGTGCCGACGGCGAATTTGCTCGTGCCGCCGGAAGACGATCCGCTGGTGGAGTTGATGGCGGCGGGCAATGTGAGCACGCATGGGCAGCGCGGCGGGTTTGCAAATGGGTTTGAGGGCGATAGTCAGGGGTGGGTGTACCAGTTGATGCCGGAGCAGAATGCGATATACTATTTCGACCCTGCCGACCTGCAGGTCCACACGTTCGTGCGGGATCCGCGGATCATTTGGCCGGATAGTGCGGCGGTGGGCGAGGATGGATATTTTTATATGAACATCAATCAGTTGCCCTATCAGCCGATGTGGAACGACGGAGTCGATGGGCGTGTCAAACCTGGGGCGGTTCTGAGGGCGAAGATTCCCAATGGGGGGTCGAAGATCACCGGCTTAGGGTAGCGGGTGATGGATATTTTTCCAAGAAGCTATGGCCTAGATCCTGAAGAGTGCATCATGCCGAACGATGATGTAGACTCCTTGGAATGCTGATGTATCCAAAAAGTAGTCATGCCAACGGGTTTTCAGGTCACACTTTTTCCACTCGAGAAAACCTGACACAGTGCCTCCCCTTCTTCCGGGCTAAGGAACTCATCCAACAACTGGTGAGCCATGTCGGTAACTTCCTCCTCAATTCCCGCCTCGAGTACCAGAGTGTCGCTGAAGGCAAGCCTAGTCAGCGCAACAAGATGCTTGTGGGTCCCGCCCTGTACAGCATCCAGCTTCGACTTCATGTCAACAATCTGGGGGTAGCCCTTGATGATGTGATGCAAGAGCCTAACGCATAGATTCACTGCTTGTATGGTTTCCAAATGTGACGACTGGTTGAAATCATATAGAGAATCTATTGCGTCGCTCAAATACCGTACCATTCGTCCAATGGCCTGCCGATGGCGAGCCAGCGATTCTCCCCCGTGCGCAGTGACTGCGATAGCAGATAGTGTGGACAGCACTTCAATGCGAAGGTTTGCCAGCTCAAGTACTGCAACTGGACCAACTTGACCTTCCAAATCGGGTGTTTCAAATAATAGATAGGTAAGACGATCCAAGAGCAGAGTTTCCCGCCGCATCGTCTGCTCGGACGTATCACTCGGAGAACTGGCACCAAAACTGGCATCCAAAGCACTAGTAGAAACCAACTGGAGTGCCAGATTTATGTGAGAGATGGGCTGTGCTTTCATGAGCATGAGAAGGACAAAATCGTGTGGTACTAGCTGCCAAAACACGCGGATGGTTTCTGTAGAAGTCAGAATGCAGCTAATTGCCATTTGCTGTAGTAAGGAAAGGCATGTCCAAACGTCGAGATCAGGGCTAGGCGTGGTGTTCGCAGATACTTTATCTCTTTCCGCTGGATATTCTTCGAGGGCAGCAGATCTGCCCAGAGGTATGGCGACAATATCAATGGTAGCAAGAGCAATTGGAACCAGGTCTTTCACGAGACCCGCAAGAGTTTCTCGCGGTTCAAATGCAAGCATAAACTGCATCGCATGGATAAGGATGTTGATGGGGGCTACGTAGCGTTCACCGAGGCACGCGTCCCACAGGCCTAGTAATATCTTGAAGAAAGAACCGGGAAAGGACTTGGGATCGCCATCAGAAGGTAAGAGGGCCATCTTGTCGCATACGAGAGATGTCAGAGACTGTTCGGGGGCGGTGGGAAGTGATAGCTTCGATAGTGCCTCAAAAAACAAGTCACCCCCTTCGTTCGTCCGATAAGACATGATTCGTTGCAGGAACTCGAAGCGATGGTCTTCCTTTCGGAGATTGAGGACTCCTGTTGCCTCGACACCAGAGCCATTATTTGAGTCAACTGACTCTTGTGCTTTCAAAGTGCGATGCGATTCGCTGAGGATGAGAGGCAAGCCAGGGCTCTGTACTTCGAGAGCTGACCTTTTCCTTTTCGCGCCAACCTTAGGCGTAGATGGTTTTGATCTAGCCTGAAGTTTTGAGGGAGAAGTCATTACGATGTCTTCGTCATCGAAGCCGTCGCCGAAAGAGCGATTCATGTTCTTCTTCGGAGTTCCAGCGGGCGAGCCGTTGGAGGTCCTGGCTTTATTGTTCGTCACATCTTTGAGCGTTGTGCGTGTCGACTTAGTCCTCCCTATCTCTTGGGCCAGGTCATGTTCGAGAAAGCGATTATTTGTCTCCACTGTCTCTCGGTCTTTTCGCGCCTTCTCCAACTCAATATTTTGCTTTGTGAATGTCTCGCTATGCACCTTTTGCATCACCGAGAGTTTGCGCTCGAATTCCTTGGCTGACTGCTCATGTTTGCTTCGAACGATGGCAATCTCTCCTTTATGAGATTGAATGGTCGATCGCAAATGGTCTCTTTCTCGCTCGAGTTCTGCGATCCGTATTTGAAGTTCAGACATATCTCCCATCGCCGAACTCTGAGGATTCTCGTCTAGAGCCCGTGATGTCGCTGGTTGCACCGTGAGGCCGCCTCTGGCGGAGGTCGCTCTGCTAGACCGCACAGAGAGCCCATTGTGAATCCGTCGGTCTATTGGAGAGGCATAGGGTGGATTATAAGGTCTATGAAAAGCTAGCCCTTGTTGGTCAAGATCTATAACGTTTTCTTCTTCAAAGCCGTAATCATCAATAGTCGGTCTTGTAGCTCTTGGAGCAGTCGTTCCTACTACGGCCGAATTAGTGACTCGACAGGCACAAAGTCACACAGAGTACCTACAGGTTGCAAACGTGCCTGTGGGTCTTTGTGTAGAACGGATTGCGGTGTTCTCTAGTTCGACAAGGTCGTTCTCGGGTAAAGCATCCAGGTCGTCATCGTCAAAGTCGTATTCCTCCGCATCTTGTACAGCCATGCCATGCACGATTCAGGCATTTCAGCCAGAATGGGGAGTGGTCTGGAAGAGTGTGATGCTGAACCCTTATTCAATGTTGGGGCGTGTTTACTGGATATTACTGAACGCGGCCGAATGTTGGTGTTGAGATGGCGCGTGCTTTCACATGCGGCCAAAGCTTCCAGTTCCATGATAGGACGGATCGGCTGGGACTGCGCCGACATGACGACTGGCGACTGGCTCAAAGTCCCCAAAGACGTAAGTTTGCAGCAAGGAAGCGCACTACCTTCTTTCGCACACCATATTGCGCGCCTCCAGCTGCCTCTGTTGCCTGCTTCATTTCATTTCCTCCATAAGCTTCGCCTCGCTTCAACAACACCCCTTCGATGCCCTCTCAGACCATCAAATTTGGCGCCAATCTCAAGCGCGTCCTCTAAAAAGTTGCGAGATTCCCGCCAACCAAGTCTTCCCTACCGCAACACCCCTACCCATCAGTTCTTCTTCTTCATATCTCACGATGACGAAACCCAGGAAAGATGTCAAATTCCAGCACCGGGGAAGTGGCTCGCGCACGCGAAGACCAAGCAACAGCATGTCAGAGATCAGCGAGAATGAACCCAGCAGCCCCGCAAGGGCCGGAAACCACAACGGGTCGATAGCGAAGCAAGATGTATGCAATGTCACGTATACTCTTACAATACTAGAAGCTGACAGTCTGAAATCAAGGATCCGCCGCAATCCGACTACAACAAAAAGAAGCAGACCTTCATTACAAGAACGATATGGACCTTTGCAATGATAGGCGTTTTCTTTGGCGCTATCGTAGCCGGCCATGTCTATATGATCATGATCGTTACCGCTATACAGATCATATCTTTTAAAGAAGTCATTGCTATCGCCAGCGTACCTAGTCGTGCCAGGAGTCTTCGGTTCACCAAGACACTCAACTGGTACTTCCTGGCTATAACGATGTATTTCCTGTACGGCGAGAGTGTCATTTACTACTTCAAGCATATAATCCTCGTTGACAAAGTCCTCCTTCCATTTGCGGCCCATCATCGATTTATAAGCTTTATGCTTTATGTTACTGGTGAGTACTTGTATCCCGCTTCGAAGCATGGACGAGCTCATGTGTCCTAGGGTTTGTATTCTTCGTGAGCTCACTCCAGAAAAACAACTACAAATTTCAGTTTCAGCAGTTTGCCTGGACCCACATGGCTCTATACTTGATTGTTGTGCAAGCGCATTTTATCATGAACAACATCTTTGAAGGGCTATTCTGGTTTAACCTACCTGTTGCCCTGGTGATAACCAATGATATCTGGGCATATATCTGCGGAATCACTTTCGGGAGAACTCAGCTCATTGCGCTATCTCCTAAGAAGACTGTGGAAGGATTTGTTGGTGCATGGTTCTTCACGATCCTGTTTGGCTACCTGTTCACGAACTTCATGATTCGCTTTACATACTTCATTTGTCCGGTAAATGTACGTCGTCAACCCCACCTATAAACTGACAGTGCTAAAACATGACAGGATCTGGGAGCAAGTTTCTTTAATGGCTTAGACTGTATACCAAACCCGGTCTTCCTCCCACATACTTACCACATCCCATACATGCCTGCGAATTGGGCAATTCCGTCCTCGTTCACAGTCGAGCCAATTCAGTTCCATGTGCTCGTCTTGACTACTTTCGCATCACTCATCGCGCCCTTCGGTGGCTTCTTCGCATCTGGATTGAAGCGCACATTCAATATCAAGGATTTTGGTGATTCAATTCCGGGTCACGGCGGCATGACTGATCGGATGGACTGTCAATTCATCATGGGGTTTTTCACATTTATGTATTATTCCAGCTTCGTGGCAGTCTCAAAGGCGTCTGTTGGTGGTGTTCTCGAGACTGCCATCACAGGACTGAGCCCACAGGAGCAGATCGAAGTCGTCAAAGGTTTAAGTAAACATCTGATCAATCAAGGAGTCATTCCTGCCAAGGTGAGTTCTCTGGGAATGAGTCGCACACATAGTAAATCAGTATTGACTTTAGTACAGGTTCTAGAATATCTCAACGGCCAGATGGTTCGCCGATAATCCCGACTTTGCAGTCGCGGTATCCCAGCCCAGGCGCGAAAAATTAGCACGTGTTCTCCTGAGGACAATCGTAATTTTCACTTTCTGTGTATACCCTTTTTGCATTCTCTTCTTCGATGGCGCAACGAGCTCTCAAATCGTGGATATAATCATATCATGGAATGTTACGTAAGGCTCGGGCGGTTTCTCTCTTCATGCAAGACACCTAATATCAAAAAGACTTATAAGCAGGCTTGATCATAGAAGACTTCTCTCATGCAATGGCCCTCATACTAATAAAGCCTTGTAAAGAATCAACCTAGCTTTAGGTCATATAAACGTCATATCGATTTTATCTAATGATCACCCGTCTCGCAGGACTATATTGCAGCATTTGACCCGATTTGCTACAGTGCTGTTAAGAGTCGCTTACAATTTTAAGAGCTCGACAGTCTCAATGTATTATCCATGCATGTTCGAGATTAGGATTCTATCACCTTCATGGCCAGAGAATCTGATGTGGTATTGGTAGGCTGCGAATTGAGGTTGCACTTTGTCTGCATAGTTAATGTATAGAGTATCAGCTTCCAGTTACGCTTTTATGTTGGATGATCACTGCACTAAAGATACCGCGTTACACTCATGTCGGTATGAGCTCACAAAGGCTACAGACTTAGGCATATATTAGAGCGATACAAGACTGTATCCATTGCAGTTCAAAAAGCCATCAGGAAATTATCATGGCCAAGCATGATCTCGTTTACCTATTGTTTCCCAGGATTGGTCTACACGCCGGTATACAACACTTGGCGCATTGGAGCTGTGCTGCTGATCAGCCCAGCCAAGCGTGGCGATCTTTAATTTTCGCTAGTTTTTGGGGTCCTATCTCGGCATAGGGTCTACATCCCTTTTGATCATGGACCTGCAAGACATATATCTGGGGCTGTGCGCAGATAGTGCTGGGCTAGTCCAGGCGTTTACGTTTGTATATGAGCGCGTGCGGTGACTTTGTCACTATTGTTAGATCAGTGACCGGTTGAGCATCTCAGTCAGTCAGAAAAACCAGTCCAAATTCCCACCCGCTCGACGAGATGGCTCCAAGGCGAGAGAGCAGCTTTGGTCTCGGAGATTCGGATGGTAGTACGAGCAACCAATGTGTCGAGAATCACGCATTCGGTAGCAGTTATTCTGTTGGATGCGTCTCGATATTTGGAGTTACCCTTGCATTGGAGCTGCTGGTGTTTTGCTTGTGGATCTTCTACAGGAAACGGATTCCAGATTTGCTATGGTACTTGTTCGGAATATCTTTATTGTTTTCTATCTTGTAAGTCGCCCGCACTCGGCCTTGTGCCGGACCACTGACCAGTTACAGGAGCCATATAGGAGAGATCATCACGTATACTCTGCTCGCATGCGGAATATTCTATCATGAGGACAACTATGACCAGAACTATGGCGACGGGCTTGGGAATTACTACAAGACATATGTCGCCATCATCTGGCTCTCGAGACTCTCCTATGTCATTCTATTCGCCATCATCACAATACCACTTCTCTCTGTCGTCCGTCAGGTAGCTGGTACGAGCTCCAGGGCTTTCAGGTGGATGCATGCTTCGCTTCTACTTGCATACCTCCTCCTTACACTGACATATCTAGGAATGCAGAGTGCCGTCAACGGGAATCGCTTTGCTTGGGGAGGCAGACAGAGACAAGAGATTGGCGATGCATATTCGAAGATAGGGATAGCGACCAGATTCATCTTTTTCTTCATGAGTGTTAGTGTAGCCGCAGAGTTGATGATAACGCTTGTTCGCATCAAGAACCGCGGAAGTGCTCTTGGAGTAAGCGATTCTAATTCTAAACTGCTCAAAGCTCACTAATTTCCATTTGAAGACACTCCTGCTATTTTCCATGCTGTTTATTTTGTTCCTCTGGCTCAATACAGTATCGACGGTTGCATACGACATAAAATACGATATCATGAAATACTACATACAGTACGATCAAGACAGATATCTCGCAGATGTGCAGGCATTCGCAGGCATTGGGACCATCAGTGGTGTTTTCACCTTCATCTTTCTTCTTCTTCTCGCTGGAGCGACCACTGCGAGCGCTACACAAGATGCAGTACCTCACGCAGTGGGGAAGTCAGGCGACTCTAAGGACAACGAACAAGTTCTGGTGAGCGCATCAGGACAACAACACACCATGATAGACCATACATGAATGCGAAGAGAAAATAAACATGCGAATAAATGATACTATGGTCACTGATGTTTTCGGGAAGTTGTAGTTAATCTCGGATTCAGAATGAGATCGGGCGTCGCGGTTCATAAAACCCGAATGTACTGTTATCCGGATGCGGTGCGAGCATATCCTCAGGAAGACTTTCCGACCGTTAACACCTTCTTGGGGCACGACGTAAGCCTGCGAGCGTGTGCTTTCCGGGCCGTGGCTTGACGCGCTACCATTGGTGGGTTTTGCCGAAAAAGGCAAGTGTTGCTACATCTCCGTCAAAGTTCGTCGCCGTAGGCAAAGGCCGGGGACGAGCGCACAAATGCTCCTAGGAAAACGACGGATTAAACCTTCTCAAATCACTCTCCGGCCTCACTACCATTGGAATGGTTAGCGCTTAATTTTGATCCAATCAAGTGATTTATATTCATCAAGTCCAACAGGGGTTGCAAATGTCGTAAATCGCTCTCTTTTAGAGCCTAACTTATGATATATTTTACCATATTTGGATTGCCTCAAAAGATACACAGAGTAAGAGGTATACAATAATATCTTAATTTAAGATTTTAAGTAGAATAAAGCTACTATTCATGGTTGTGAGGGTAGGTGATCCACGACTTTTGCAACCCACTGTTGGTCCTGTTGGTCTCGAAATCATGAGTTGCACGAGACATACCAGCATGAATAGAGTCAACAGTTGGACTTTGCATTGGGCCATACGTACTATCGGATGCAGATCTTTCGATTTGACCACTTGCGAGATCGATTTGCTGAGTCAAGTGTTGCTCCTCGGGATCAGACCTTGTCCAAACCCCGACTTTTGACTGAAGAGACCAACGTCAACAACAACAAACACACGCTTCATGTATATAAAGTAGCAGGCGAATCCGCCAAATGGTATTACTCCTAAAGCATTAAAAGTTTCCTGAGACAGTTTTCGACAGAATACGATTAATACCTTGCCCCCCAAGAAATATCACACAATGCAATTGGTTCTTCTTCTCATATTGCTCGGCGCAGCTGCCCTTGTGTTCTTGTTTATCAACAGAACAATCCTATCGCCACTTAGAAAGATACCTGGTCCGATTCCTGCCAGACTTACATCCAAATGGTTGTGGCTCTTGGATTTGTCAGGCAAAGGCCCAGCTACATTACGTGACCTGCATAGTCGCCACGGTATGTGTTATACATAGATCTCTAGAAAGTATAGGAAAACTAAACCGTCGAAGGAAAAGTCATACGAATTGGCCCAAAAGAGGTCAGCATCAACGATATAGATGTTTATACACAGACGCTCTATAAGCAAGCAAGCCCATATATGAAGGTTCGCAAGTGTCATTATTACTTCACATATACACACTGACTTTATTGTAGGAGCCTGTTTTCTATGAGCCGTTTGGAGCGCCTGGCGCTGGCGATAATGTCTTCACAACAGCAGACCCTAAGCTTCATTCGTTGTTACGACGAACCATGGCGAATAGCTTCTCTCGGAAGAGCATCCTGGAGTTCGAACCTCAAATTTGGGACACCGCGAACAAGATGACAAGTGTTCTCCAACGCGAGTTCGCAAATCGACCTCGTAACGTGAATGTCTCGAGCATGCTTCGCTGTATGATGCTAGATGTCATCTCCGTCTTCGCATTTGGGAAAGACATGGGTGCTCTTGACAAAGAGGGGTTCGCGGAAGAAGTATTGACGGCTTTCAATAATTTCGATACGAGTAACTTCATGGTAGGTCAACATAATCGCGGTCAACTGAACTACACACTGATTGAAACTCTAGTTTCAAGGCTCGCCCCGGCTTAGGCAGATCTTGCTCCCAATACTGTCAAATATACCAATCGACAATTTTCAGGCAGTCACACGAATGCTTGCTGTAAGTTGAATGATATGGGTATGTGGCTCTGCTAACACCCCTACAGAAAGTCGACGAACAGCTTGCTAAAATCTCACTTACGGACAAATCTTCGAGTGCCTTGCTAAAGGGTACCATGGAGTCCCGCGAGAAGATGGGGTTGCCCGTGACTAAGCTTATCCTTCGACAGGAGGGTCTCGGTGCAATCTTTGCTGGGACAGACACGACGGCTATCAGTCTCACATATGGCACATGGGCGATCCTATCCAATGAAGCCATCCGATCCAAGCTCACGGAGGAATTGAGAACAGTTTGGGCCCACCGTGAAGAACACCCGTCTTTGAACACCCTGGAAGGACTGCCGTATCTTCAAGCTTGTGTCAAAGAATCACTCCGATATGCCACATCGGTTTCTGGACGTCTTCCGCGTGTTGTGGGTGAAGGGGGTCTTTCCGTCCAAAACTACAACTTACCACCCGGGACTGTTGTAAGTTCTTCAAATTATCTGATGCATTTTGATGAGGATGTGTTTCCACAACCCTTCGTATTCGACCCTTCTCGGTGGCATACAGGCGATGTTGCGGCTTTGAAACTTCGTAATCGGCATCTGGTTCCATTCAGCGAAGGGTCGCGGAGATGTGTTGGTATGAATTTAGCACAAGCGGAGATGTACATCACTCTAGCATCAATTTTCAGGTGGTTTAAAGCGGTCGAGGTGGTGGACAAAGAAATACGTGGACACCGGATCCTTACAACTGCAGTTCCAGATGGAGTGTGGGCCAAAGTAGCGAGCATCAAAGACGAAGTGGAACGGGAGAGTAGTTATTAATTAGATGACAAGGGATGAATGTACTATTACGCAAGAAAAAAATATAATGAAAATCCGACGGATACTACAAAGGACTGACAATGACTATGACTCTTTGTGTAGCTCTAATGCGCCGCGTTTGCTAAAATCGCGCCCTTGTCCATCACGGTGATCGCATCAACCACAATAATTAATACCTCACTCATTTGACAAGCGAAACAGCAACATAATTAGTCGTCGGCGTCGCTTGCCATCGGTTCAAAGTCCTGAAGACTCCACTAATTTCCGACAGCTGGTAGCAGTCTGTGTGACAGAAGAAAACTCTTCGCTTTCAGCCAAGCACCCGTCATAGGGCCGCTCTGACGGAATTTCTTGAATAATGAGAATCCAAAAAAAGGCATGCAGAAAATTTCTTCTTATTGGTGCAGCGCGAGCGAACGTTCGTGTGGCGTTTTGAGCGGTTTGATTGGCTGGCGCAGGCCCTCCTGGCGCTGGTTACGTTGCGTTTGGCGTGACCCTAGTGCCACTCGAGCTCCGCGCGGAGTAACGCTTTGTGCTGTGCGTGTGCGACGGGGTTGTTACTCTGGAGCTGGTGGATCGTAGGGCTGAGGGTAGATGTGATATATATAAGGGCCTGGGAAGAAGCACGACTGAACAAATTATCATCCCACACTATCCTGCAGCAAACTCATCAAACAAACTCTTCAAAACCAAGCCTCATAAATCTCATAGCCTCTTAAGCTCCTGAGCCTTCAATTAAACAACATGTTCCCCGAATATATCTCCATGTACGGCTCTGGCGTCGCCGAAGCGCTTAAGAAGCCTGCTCCTCGCTCCTCCAAGACTTCCACTCCTGTTGTCAGCTCACGAAACTCCGTCTCCTCTGGTCCGCCCCTGCTGTCCTTATGTCAATCTCGAACTCGCGCTAATGATTACTACAGAACGCCGATCAAACAGCATCGAGGAGGCTCGCAAAATCAAGAAGAGGTCTTTCTTCAGCTCTGCCACCGTCAACTACTTCACTACGCGGTGAACTGTGCTTCAAGTCCAGAAGAAACGAGGAAGACGCTCCAATGAGTGTAATCGATTTAAAAGTGTTTTGAGCATTATTCCCATGGGATGGCGTTGGATAAATGGATGAGTTCTGGCCGTGCTCAAATAGAGAATCATTAATGATAATGAGATTTTCTTGACCTTGGATGGGCAAAATGACCAATTACATAGGAGTATGTGCATCAGCGAGAAGCTTCAATTTCTTTCATGCCAGGCCAGTAATCTCCACTCCTCGTCTTATGAAGCTACGAGGGCGGATATTGACACACGTGTCACATTGTCGGTACGATCCAAGATCGATCTGGACAAGTAGACAAAGCCAGGGCCGGGTGATGGTACTCATAGTGTCGGCATCGCTGTATTCCAGTCAACACTCTCAAGCCAGGCCAAGAAAGCCTCGCTGTCCATTGGCAGGTTTGGATCGATTCCTGTCATGGCCAAATTTTGATCCTGCAGGTCCATTGCAACGTCATCAGTGTTGGGCCTTACATACGTATGTTGGTGCTCGTAGTCTAGAGCCTCATCAAGCATCGAGCCGAGTTTTTCACTAGCGTCCTTGCACAGAGAATAGTACTTGTGAGGTTCCGGGAGCCACTCTAGACATCCAATGAGCACGGATAAATTTCGTATCAAGGTAGACCGAGGTATAGATTTGTCGAGTGGAGTATTTGAGATTGTGCAGTTTCGGAGCTCTGTAGTGAGCACCCCAGCGACGGGAAGACCGAAGCTGAGTAACTTCAACCATAATTAGTCTCGCCAGCTTCCAAATTTGGGATAAACCTACAAGCCATGGAAAGTCACGAGAAAGGACATTGCCTTCTGAATTTACATAGTTTCTCTTCTTCGTGACCGTAGTGAGTTCAGATAGGATTTTCATCGCCAACTGAAGCAATTCTACATTACTGATGCCTACGTTCTTGGTCAAAATTCTTAGTATCATAAATTCGTTGTAGACGAAATTCAGATAGCACACAAGAAGAGTTAGGTTGGCATTTGACACGTCATTCGTCTCCCAGATGGTATCAGTATAATGAAGGTGCTTAGGAAGCTTAGCCCAGGCAAGTCGGGCGTTCTCTCGAATGTTGCTGAAGTATTTAGTCGAAGGATAGGACATTCATCCGGGATGACATACCCTAGCTTCTGTACAACCTCAGGCCCAGGCTCACTTCTCGACAACTCCAGTGTTTCTTCTTTAAAAATAGCGAGCTGGTAACGCATACGTAATATAGTAGTCGGACGAACTTTATGGTCCTGATTCGTTAGGAGGCTTCTAGTATCAAGATATGGGAATTACCATGTTCCATCCGTCAGCATCTAAGCGTGCCAGCGCAGCCTCAAGCATAGGGCCCTCGAGTAAATAATCGTCCGGACTGAGGTTCAAGGGCATTCTAATATCGCAATAGTGTCTTGGAATTCTTGGAGGTCTTCCGAGGAATGTTGCGAGGTCCTTGTCAGCCCTATAGAAGTAGCAATGGAGGCATTTTCGAATTTCCGAGATGAAAAACGGAACTTTCTCATCATCATGATTCTTGTGTATTCCTAACGCAAATACGTCCGACGTTGCGTCCCCGAATCGGCGCCATAAACCTGGGCCTATGATACTATCAGAAGTGACATCTTTTATTAAGATCTCTATACTGACTAGAGTCACCGTGAATGCTCGAGATTAGTTGGCAATTCGTGTGAAATAACCATAGCATTATCTCGTTTTCGGCTCCGATCTCGCGGCAGATTGACACACAGGTATTTGAGTGATCGAGCATGCTCTCGTCAAATTTCCAAGAGTCATCAATCGGAGTTGTAGGCGTTATGAGCTTCGCAAGTCCAGCTATTGAATAAAGTACGCCAATGAATTCCCATCGGAGATTGCATTTAGTATACTGAAGATGAAAATCAGCTGCTTTGAGGTTTTTCGAAATAACGAATGGAACCGCAGTATTCTCTGAGATCTCTGTGAAGACCTCAACAAGAGAACGCCCTGTGGCGTCCCATTCTTCGATGTGTTTTCGCATTTCAGGTAGAGCATTGAGAATCAAGGGTGCCGGTATAACAGTACCGATCGCCACGTCAAAGTACTTCCTTATCATTTTCTCAATTCTGCCAAAAGGCCATAAGGCCTCAAGGACGTTAAGCTTCGATTCACTTAATGTTCCATGTTTTGCTATGCCTCGCAGTGGCGCCTCCGTGGATGATGCGTTAGTATCATCCGAGACTGTAGTCCAGAGCCCTACTGCATGAGAATTGTTCACGCCTCTTCCTGGGACGCTGTGGTCTGTTAGCTCGGACGGACTAGGAGGTATTATTGTTCTTCCCAGGAAGATTCTGTAAGATGCCACTTCCGATCAGGGGCACGATAGGATAGAGCGAGAACAATACCTAGACTGAGACTGTTGCTCTGCTTGATTTAGCGACGGGCTCCTTCTCGTGTTCTTGGATCGACTCATCGGCGCAGGATGATAAAAGCACTGTCACATATGCACATTAGATCCATGACAAGATGCAATATTAGAGTAGCGTGACCATACTACACGTGCTCTACCTCGTCTTTCACATTTTTGACAAATTGGATGCGTGTGGTCACAGCTATCAATCCCGGTCAGACAATGAGACTCCTTGAATGTCGGGACAGACGTTGATATACCTTATCTTGCTTCTCCGACACGGCTCACATGAGCTTGGCATGCCATTGCGCCTGATCATGTTTTTGATGATCGTCACATTGGGGACAGTACAGAGCACACACGAATAAAAATCAACGCGGTCGTACTATGGCGGAGCTGCAATCGGAGTTGAAGTCGGACTGCCTTGGACGGATCGGACCGCGTGGTGCATTTGATGCATTATGTCAGCGTCCACGGGCTAAGGATCCGATTAGCACCTAGACTGTCCATTTACTTCCACGTGTGAGTGACGGCGGAATAATGTATTCCAGTATGTCCTATACAGATATCATCGAATTTACTATACAGACGCTCACTATGAGTATTGGTTCGCTTCAAGTGGTCCTAAAAACTTGTTGTGCGGTGGCTCTTTCGAAGCCCGGCCGGTGAAATATACCGTGGGATTGCAAGTCAACAGGACTAACAATGAAAGGGACGAGATAACGGGATAGACGCTTTTGTCTTCTATGTTGCATTGAAAGCGCAAAAGAGCCCGTGCCGTCAATTGACTTGACAGCAAGTCCGGTGACCAAACAGCGTCTACAAAAACCACTTCTGCGGTAGTGTTCAAGTGACTGTCTAGAGATACGCTCAAAAGTGGTATGGCTCTTGGTCGAATCCTACTCGTCATCCGCCTCTTCAACAGAAGCCTGCATCCTGCGCTGTTGGGCAGTTTGTCCGTCCACAGTAGATGCTCCCGTCGTAGACGCAGGTGCAGCTGGGGCTGCAGGTACTGCAGTAACTGGTACTGCAGGTGTGTCTGATTGTTTTGCTTTCTTGGATTTACCATCCGCTGCGGCTTCAGCTTTCTTTTGCTTCTTCAATTTCTTCGCTTCCTTCTTTGCCTTCTTGTCCTAGACTTATATTAGTACGATTGATACGTGGTGTTATTCATTGCCTACCTCAGCTGTCTCCTGCCATGCGCCCCATGGCCTGAAGGAGTCGAAGAACCCAACATCTTCGAATAGATTGGGAAATAGCCAAAACCCGGGAGGGACCGTGAATACGGTCACACAGAACAAGATGAGTCGAAAGATAGCCATAACGAAGAAGAGACCGATGAGGCCTAGCATGCCCATACTCAAGTACCACACGCCTGTCCGGAGAAAGAGCGGCCAGAGCGGAAATAGAACAATGGCGAAAACGACGACCAGGGCAAGAGCAGCGTAAAGTCTCATTTTCCAGGGGGAGCCTTCATACAACCAGATGTAATAATCATCGTCTGCGGTATTCTGCTGCTGCTCGATCCTGACATTCCATTGACCCTTGATTCGCTTCTTGCTCCCATGTGAGTGGCCTTCGTGGCCAGCATTCGGATCCTGTTTTGACACGCGAATCGCAAGCATAGATAGGGGCAGCAGCTTGAATGTATTTTCGGCTGATGGACGATCCTTGACTTCGGGTAGGATGATGTTCTTGGACCTAGCTTTTTGGTATGCGGGGGAAAGCAGTGCTCTGATAGCGCGCTTCACTAATTGAAACATGTTAGCTTCGTGGGAAATAAAGTTAAAAAGGCTGCATACCTCTGATCATATCCTTCCGTTTTTCCTGGAAAAGGACTGTCCGCGGCTTCAGATCTTGCGACTTGAGGAAGTCCGCGACAGCGAGAGCCTCTGGTTTTGGTGGACCTGGTTGTATGGGCTGCTGTTGTTGCTGTTGCTGTTGCTGTTGCATTTGTTGTTGCTGCATTGCTTGCGCCCGCATGCGAGCTAGAAGTTCTTCTACAGTGATACCCAGTCGTTGTGCCTCGGCGCGAAGCTGCTCCTGCATTTGTCGAATCTGCTCAGGTGAAGGTTGTGCTGGAGGACCTTGGGAGCGGGCTCCGCCTGGTCCACCCATAGGTACTCCCTGTGGTGGCGGTTGCGAAGCCATCGTTGTTGAGTCGAAATACCAACGACTAATGTTTCTTAAAGAAGTGAGGGTAATCCGACGTCACAAGATGCGAATACACAACTTGTGAGAACTGTGGGATAGTTGGGAGGCCGATGGAGGACCAAGGGTTATGGGTGCATCGGTGTGCAAGGCCCAGAGAGCGGAGAAGGCTACCGTCCACGATAGATGCCAGTAATGGTGATACGTGAGTCGCAAGTTTGATGCCACATTGCTAGAGCGAACTTCTTGGAAGGGTCGTAAGTGGTGCGCTTATCTTCATGAGGCTAGCGTCTCTTGGCGAACGAGCTCGCTTCGCCCACTCGTCAAATATGCGCGTTGCAAAACTCTACTTCTGTTCCTCAAGCACACCCAGGAGTCACCGCGATCTCCTCCACAATATTTTTGCTTCAACACAACATATCAATTGTGGTTGACTACCTTACGTATTGACCATGCGTAAGTATCGCCCTTTTGATATCCTTGGTCAAGGCTGACGCAACCTCCAACATAGCTCCCAAGATCGATCCCAATGAGATCAAGGTCATGTAAGAGACAGCAGCGTTCAAATTCTACGATGTTTGTCTGCTAACTCTCCTCCAGTCATCTCCGTGCCACCGGTGGTGAAGTCGGTGCCTCGTCGGCGCTAGCTCCCAAGATCGGTCCCCTCGGTCTTTCCCCAAAGAAAGTCGGAGAAGATATCGCGAAAGCAACTGGTGACTGGGTACGCAAATACAAACCCAGTATATGAAGATCATGCACTGACGACTACATAGAAAGGTCTTCGTGTTACCGTCAAGCTTACGATCCAAAATCGTCAAGCTCAGGTTTCCGTTGTTCCATCCGCTTCATCACTCGTAATCAAAGCCCTGAAGGAGCCCCCTCGTGATCGCAAGAAGGAGAAGAACATCAAGCACACCAAATCTATATCTCTGGATGAGATCATTGAGATTGCGCGGAAGATGCGATTCAAGTCAATGGCCAAGGACCTGAAGGGAACTGTAAAGGAGATTCTCGGTACAGCATTCTCAACGGGATGCCGTGTTGATGGCCGCTCACCAAAGGATGTCAGTGACGACATCGAGGCTGGTGAGATTGAGAGTAAGCATGAATGTTCCAAGTTTGCAAGCGCACACTCTAACACACATCCAGTTCCCGAAGAATAGATTATGTAAAATGATGAATGCCCATGATGGACTTGACCAACTCATCGCCATAATATGACTGATGATCACTTGAACCATGAAGAAATCGATTTACGAGACCGAATATCTGTTCATGCAGTAGGCGGCAAGTAGGATGATGTGAATCAAAACCCGTTGCCAACACTCTGGCCCTTACCCTCGCTCGATGGTATAGGCCTATTTTGGCGCAACGGAGAGCAAGCCTTCACAGGCAGACCAGCTACTCACCGAAGCGTTATATCCTCCTTGGAAATGAGCGCAACGGTCCTTTCTTTTCGGTCTACATTCCAAAGTGCCCTCTGATGATGTAACGTAAAGTTGATAGATGCTCGATAGACCTGAATACTCGATTTAAGTAACTGCTCTGTGTTCTTTGTGGTCACGGTCACGGCTGTTTTGACCACATGCCTTGCGACGCGGTCTGCACTTGAGGGACGACCAAGGTTTCGAACTTGGCAAGTGATGGAGAGATCTCTGATGCATGCATACTTAGTGCGTCGTTGGCAGGCGCCACAGCTGCAGGCGCGATCCTAGCACGACGAGGATAAGTGATGCACGCCCGGACTTTGACACCTCGCATGTAATCAGACATGTACATGTACATTTGAAGACTACTATCTATGTAATTACATGAGGCACTTTTTTGAGCGAAGAGAGCAGCGGCCACGCCTCAACAGCAACCGAACCAACGGAAGCACATGAATGTGCAGACGCAGTTCTCATCAACAGCAAATGCATGAAGGATCTTCTTGCGCAGCCTTAAATGGTGCCGTCGGGCGGGAACAGAGGCGCCGGGCTTACACCAAGCTGGAAAACGAACAGGGATTCAGTGAGCGGGCAGCCACATGCACCCATTTCGTGGCCTGTCACAGTCCATTTCTTGTGGCCCTGTTGTTGTGTCTGGCCTGGAGAACTGGCTCGGCTGGGGCTGAAGGGCGGACGGAGGTTGAAACGATGCAAGTGGTGAGGCAAAGAGGCTGCGTGCCAATGACAGACAATAAAATGCCAAACAAGCCCGGTTCCAGCTCGCATCATGATCGTGATCCAAACGACCGTGTGAGTCCAGCGGTATGTCTGTGCTTTGCTTTGCGTATGCGCAAGGAAAAGGGAGGGCAAGGCAAGGCAAGGCAAGGCAAGTCAAGGCAGGGCAGTAATTAACCTTGAAGTCTCTACACGGCCTTGCTACAGCATCATGAATGATGTGCACTAATTAGTTGGCACTTTGGACCAATTCTTTCCTCTTCCGGTCTGGTACAAGCGCGTATACTGGTATTCATCCATGCCTCCTTGCTTTGCTTTTATTGTCGCCTGTCTTCGGTGTGATCCCGCATCCATTACATTCTCCAAACGTATATATGTATGTATCTGTTGTATGCTTAATTAGCGATGCGACAGAACAAGCAAAAGCAGCAGATCTTTCCCACCCGCATACGCACCTGGCCGTCATCCTATCCACATCTTTTTCGCGAGGTGGTTTGTTAGTTCTCCCCCCTCCCCTGCCTAACTAATCCTTGGCCCAGTGGAGTGGACCAAGCAATCATCATCCTTAGCTCTTGCGGGCCCCCGTTCTCAGGCCCGCCGCTACGCAGACGACATCGTTTTCAGCCCATATTACTCGTGAGTCGTGCTATAATACGTATTTCATCAATAGTCCTTACAAACGATCGTCACTCTAACTCTCACTTCTCCACCTACATAGACCTGCTTCCACCGTGGAACCCTGTCTGCCCATTCGCACATCTTCTCCGCTACCGTGCAGCCAGCCGCGAAGTCGAACACCCGCACCCTTGTGACTGACGCCTGCAGGTTCAGACTGCCTCTCTTCTCGCTGCGCCCCGGTCACCTACGTACAACTTCAGTTTATGCCGCTCTTCGCGTTGGCAGGCCGATCGTTCTGATCCTTTTGTCGTTCCAGTACCGTTTGGTGTATTCCCGATGCCCTTGTGCGGCAACCATCGTCTTGTCAGCTCCGTAAACCTTCCGTAAGGAACTCTTCGAACTGTTCCGTCTAGTGTAGTCCCGCGTCTCTACGCCTCAGCTCATCCGCGTCCCCACGCCGAGAAACGCGCAACTCGCTGGACTATCGACTTCATACGCCATACAATCTCGATCACCTCTGGCCAGATTGCTCGAGCGTGTTTGTACCGCCGCTTACAGCCTCGCTCGGGCCTATCCTTATTCCTCAGACCTTTCCTTCGCGCTGTACCTGAATTCGATTCGCCGCATCTTCGCATCGCGCAGCTCTGAAAGGTCCATAAAGTGTCGTGTTTGATTCTCCCGGAGCTCTTTGCTATTCCTAGCAGGCTCTGGGACGCTTGGGCTGTAGAAAATATTCAGGATCCTTCGGAAATGTCATGCGCAGGCAAAAGGAGAAGACTTCGTCAAGGCATAGGCATCCGCCAGTCTCGGTGAAGGTGGTGCTTCGTAAAACACCAAAAAACGCTGAAACGACGGCGGGCACTCGGTGCTCTGGTGCCAAAGTTTCTAAAGAGAGGGACTAGGTCATCTCACCATGACTATGATTAGGCCGTATCCACGCCAACCTCAGTTCAATCAGCACCCGTATCCAACAGACCTACATTGTAACTCCCTCCCTCCTTCCCCTCTACAATCGACGCATCAAGATACCACGAGAGACGAGCAGTTCAGCCGGCGCTGGCAACGCTTACCCCAACAATACGCCCACCCATTACAGAGGACAAACTCGTACCCTCAGCCAGGAGGGGGAAATGACGCAAGGCATTCAGAAGTAGTACCTTCTGAGCACCTACTCAGACGCAAAACACCGAATGGGATCATCTCCGCTGCATATGATGGAACATCTGTTGAACAGATGGGTAGACCACACGCCATGAAGCATATTTTACTTCCCGTAACTTCGCATGATGGACGAAATAGCGGTCCCGCTTACAATAACTACACCCTCCATAAAGATCTGCCCGTAAAGGGCCATGGATCCACCCATTTGGACGAGTCTTCGCAATCGAATCACATAATTCAGACGAGGCCGAACACTTGGAATGCTGACATGACGCTCGCGCCGCATTTCACGAACAACAACTGGAACCGGATGCAGCTCAATCTCCCACAAATTGACTCCATGCTGAACCAAATGCCATCGCAACATGCCCAGATGCGGTACCAGCCATTGTATGGAGCTTTCCAGCCGTCTGTACAAAGTCCAGTAGGGCCTACTGCGTCGGGCGAACAGCTTCCTTATGGGCCATATTGGCCGAATGGCACGTTTATACCCTATCGGCCAGCAGCAATTCGCGATCCTCGCTTCTACTCTAATGCTACGCCACCCTGGACGGGTTATCCCAGTCACGGAGCACCACAGCAGAATGTTCATTTCAACCAACGTGTACAACATCACAATTCTGACAACTATCTCTCTCAGTCCGTGAACCTGGATCGGAACGTCTATCCTGGAGATCCCGCTTCGTCTTTCCATTTCAATACTGGGAATAGCCAGAATCATTTAGCATACCCGAACAACTTCCTCCCACCACAGCCCCAACAGTCGTCCCAAACATTTCATTTGCTGTCTCCGGGAAGCGCTCAAGATCAGTTCCAATACTCAGACTCCGGGCATTCAATACCACATGCGCGTAACTTTCCAGCCCAGGACGTATTGGCAGAATTTGGACCTCATTCAAGCAATGCAGACATGCGCGAGAAGGTCTTCACTTGGGCGCACTCTATCTACATCGATCTCCTGAAGTATCTACAGCAGACGAAACGGCATGCCTCGCATCAACGCACAAATAATCATAACTCGGCTCGTTCAAATTGGCATCCTAAACCACCGCGGCAGCCAGACGCCAATTTTGCCTCACTGCCAGTGACAAGGAAATCGCTCGATGGAAAAACTTCACAAAATTATATGGAGCGACATCGTGATGCGCAGATACAGGCCAAGTTGTCCGATAAATACCGCACCCTCCGCAGAAGTTCTGGGGCTACGGTTGCGCGAGCATCTCCGCCTAATTGGATTGATACATCGACGCCTCAGAAGGCGGCCTCAGCGATGGAGATCTTGAGCCGGGTATGTAACGAGAGTTCATGGCAATGGATAGATGGGATGCTACTAGTCGGATGCTTGGCGTATGCTTTATCCAACTATGAAAAGGCCACAGAATGGTACAGGTGTATATTGGAGCTAGACTCAAAGTAAGCTCAAACTACGTTTTTCTTCGAATGTGGATTGACTCGGATTTGCAGCAATGTCGAAGCAATGTCGAACCTCGCTGCGACGCTATTGGCTCTGGGCCGAAAACAAGAGGCCGAGGATCACTGGCTCAAAGCTATCAGATTACGACCAAGTTACTTCGAAGCGGTAGAGCATCTCATCGGACTGTTCTGCGGTGATCACCGTACAAACGAAGCCGTCAAATGTATCGAAAGTATTGAAAGAGCCCTTCGATACGCCCGAGCCGGAGATGCTCTCAAAGCAGCTGACGATGAAAGCAACGATGCTAGCTCACTGAGTGCCGCTTCAGAGGAGTCAGACCAACCAGTCTTTGATTACGATTTTGACAACGACCAAGGTCTCAGAGATGCTCAGAATTTGCCTGGCTCTGAGCTGCCTGGGTTTGGTTCCAGTGGATATGCAATAGCAGGTCGCGACAATGGGCGCATGTTGGCTCTTGTCCACGCCAAGGGCAATATGTTGTATGCCCTCGGAGACAACGTTGGCGCCGCTAAAGCGTTCGACAATGCTGTTATGATTGGAGCAGGGCGCAAGATTCAGGGGATTACAGGCCTAATCGTACGTATTTTGGACGTTGTGGGTAAAGGAGGCGTCGATGCCTCCTACCATGTGGGATCATCCACAGAGCCTATACTTCTTCCTCCTGACAAGGCCCTCGATACTGCAAGATTATGCTTCCCGTCGCAGGGTGACCTGCCTGGACTTAAACATGTCCCTGCGGAAGGTTTGGCGAGGAAGGCAGCAATATCGACAACCAGTAACTCATTACTATCTCTCGCTAAAATCTTCCAGGATGGCATGGCTGCTAATTCCTCCAAAGCGACGGCGTATCAGGCAAATTATGGGGTTCGAGAAATACTTGCATTGTATTACTTGTCTTTGTCTCTCCAACCTAGTCCCTCAACTGCGAACAACGTCGGAATTCTCCTCGCAAGCGTTCAGCAAACAGTGGCCCATAGACAACCCTCCAAGGCATGGCAGCAGAACATGCCTGAAATACCTGGCATAACGCCTGGATCAGGTATTGCTCTTGCACTGATGTATTACAATTACGGCCTTAAGCTCGATTCGAAACATGCACATCTATACACCAATTTGGGCAGTCTACTCAAGGACATAGGCCAGCTGGGTGCTGCTATACAGATGTATGAAATGGCTGTAGCTCACGATGGCACCTTTGATATCGCTCTTGCTAATCTTGCAAACGCTGTCAAGGACCAAGGCAGAATTGCTGATGCAATTACCTACTACAAGCGAGCTGTTCATTCAAGTCCGGACTTTGCTGAGGCAGTATGCGGGCTAGCGAATGCATTAAACTCAGTTTGCGGTTGGACTGGAAGAGGGGGGATAGCTGCGGCAAATGGAGCACGAGATAGATGGCACGTGAATGATAAAGGCATGCTGCTTGATGCCACTCAGCCAGGCGCTGTGAGTACTGGCTGGATCAAAAGAGTTGTAGATCTCGTCGAGAAACAGCTCGGTGAGGGAGAAAGCTGGGGAACGAATGTTATCGACGCACCATTCACCGAGGAAATAGTCGCACAATTGGCATATGACGGCACAGGGGCCTCTGATCTCAAGGACGCCGGTGCCATCCTTCGTGCGACATTGAAGTCATGGTGTCGACAAAAGTGGGAAGGGGCTCGGGTTGTCCGCTTAGTTGAACGCGCCATCAGAAGACTTGGCTGGAGGTGGTATCACGATATCCAGAATGAACGAGAGCAGCAGGGACCAAGTGCTTATAAACGGCCTCGCCTCCCTAGCGCCCTCACAATTCCTGCCGCGCCGACAGTTCTACCCTTCCATACATTCACTTGTCCTATGTCTGCGAAGCAGATTCGCCTGATATCTCAACGAAATGGCCTCCGTATCTCAACATCGACACTCAAGGCGCCGTGGCTCCCCTCAACAGTATATCCACCGCCCTCACCCCCTCATCCTTACATTAAAGTTGGCTACGTATCGTCAGACTTCAACAATCATCCTCTTGCACATCTAATGCAATCTGTGTTTGGCTTACATGATCGAAAGAAGGTGAAAGCATATTGTTATGCTACCACAGCAAGTGACAATTCGGTGCACAGGCATCAAATTGAAAAGGAAGCCCCAGTATTCCATGACGCCCATGATTGGACTGCTGAGAAGCTCGTAAAGCAGATCATATCTGATGGCATACATATCCTGGTTAACTTGAATGGCTATACCCGAGGTGCGCGTAATGAGGTGTTTGCTGCCCGCCCAGCGCCGGTACATATGTCTTTCATGGGATTTGCCGGAACCTTGGGAGCAGAATGGTGTGACTACCTACTCGCCGACGAGATGGCGGTACCCCTTGATACATTAAGACCATGGCGTCGCAATGTCACAATCCAGGATCAACTGGTGGATGAAAATAGTGGAGGTGACGAGGATGATTGGGTTTACGGCGAGAATATAGTCTTTTGTCGGGACACGTTCTTCTGCTGTGATCACCGCCAAAGTGCTCCGGACGCAAAAGAGCCACAGCTGAGTTGGGAAGATGAGCAGGTCCGGCGATGGACCATGCGCAAAGAAATCTTCCCACACCTCCCAGATGATACTATCATTCTGGGAAACTTCAATCAGCTGTACAAAGTATGTCTCGCGTCTATACTAAGGCTCTTCGTACTGCTAACCTTCCTGTCCAGATCGAGCCTACTACCTTCCGCACCTGGCTCCGCATCCTTGCGGCTCTTCCAAGAGCCATCCTATGGCTTCTTCGGTTTCCAGATCTTGGCGAGACTCATCTTCGCGCCACAGCGACTGCATGGGCTGGCCCAGAAGTCGCAGCCCGAATTCAGTTTACTGATGTGGCGCCAAAACATCAGCATATCTCGCGCGCTCGCGTCTGTGACCTCTTCCTCGATACACCAGAATGTAATGCGCACACAACAGCTGCAGATGTGCTTTGGAGCGGCACTCCCTTGATAACATTTCCGCGGTACAAGTACAAGATGTGCTCGCGTATGGCAGCAAGCATCCTCAAAGGTGCGCTTCCAAAGAATGATGATGGCAAGCGGGCGGCAAAGGATTTGATCATGTCAAGTGAGGAAGAATACGAGGAGAAAGCCAAAGAGCTTATTAGCCAGTGCCATTACGAGGGACACAGGCTGCGAGGCAGGCTTTCCGACCTCCGCAAAACTTTGTACGAGGCACGGTGGTCCAGTGCGTTGTTTGACACTAAGCGGTGGGTCCGCGACCTTGAGCAAGCTTATGAGATTGTATGGAAGAAGTGGGAGAGAGGCGAAGGGGGCGATGTTTGGCTCGACGAGAAGAGGGTGCAAGAATTAGCATGAGGGCACTATGGCGCTTGGCAGATCTGGAGACTACGTGCATCGAGCAAGGCGCAAAATCTATTTGGAACCCTTTAGTACCTATCACATTGGCGATTTAGCGGGATACTTTGGCATATGGGGAGCGAAGAGAAGAAGATTTAACAGGACCATAGATGGGGGACAAGACTTGTTACATGGCGTACGACTTCCGGGCACGAACTTTTCATGGTATATGTAAGATGGCCGCCTTCGCAGGCTTCTACTTGGGTACAATCAATATCAGGTATTTCCATATATATTCGACATCTAAAGCTGGCGAGCCAACCAGGAAATGATCAATTCCTTTGTCTTCTTCCTGATCTTCTCCCCCTTACTTCATAGATCTCATCTCTCCTTACATACGTGCCCTCCGCGACATAAAGCCTGATGTTGCGATCGACACGTCACCCGCCTATCGTTTATTGCTTCACGTATCTGGCTGGTCGGGTCTCAACAAACGATCTGTTGGTCGAGATCTTTCAGCCGCCTAGCCATAGTGGCGATAGTAGTGCTCGGACTGGGAGTCGCTATGCCGTTGGCGAGGCGCTCGATGGGTGATGGAGGAGCGGAGAGGTACCGAGTGAGCGTCGGAGATGTCTTGGAGACATTCTTGAGACTTTCCGCTGGTTAGACAGGGGTAAGAGATTTGGGAAAACGCGTGTGATGATGATGATGATGATGATGATGATAGTAAAGATGATACTACTAACGTCGAGGTCTTGATGGGTTCAGTCATGAGTGCAGGCGCGGGAGTGGATGATATTGACTGGATTCTGTGACGCTGGAGTAGGACGTGTCTGCTCTTTATTATTCCGAGGGCTTCGTGTGGTCTTGGCCGGTTGGAGATTCAAAAGTATAATAGTCGGTCTTCATGAAGTTGCCAGACACGTCTTCAGCCCCCTGAAAGCTGTTGGCAGCGTATATCGTAAGGGAAACGATAAGATATATATATCAGTCGGCGAAACTCCAAGATATGCGAGGGCATCCCATGACCAGAGCCAACTTTGACCGGTCGCAAGAGTTTGATCTGTACCATGTCGTGGAATTGGACTTCAATGATACGACTCCTATCCTGATTGGACCCTGGAGGATTTGACACGGTCAATATCCCTGAGTGCGTAGACCTGCTGTCTGGACAATGCAGTGCATAGCAGCACAGGTGTGAAAGATTGCAAAGATCATAAGGCCTGCTTGCCGGCAAGATCAACATGTCCTATATGGTAAATCTTTCGTCCAAAGCATGTTTTCTGTTCGCGCCGTTCATGCAGCGGCACGTGAAACATGGCATGGTCGTACATTTCGCAATCAGATGGGCGGTGTAGACGCCTGCCGCCCAAAGATCAGCTGTAACCATTGCCATATCCATAGCTGGGTAACGTCAAGGCTCATGTCTCGGCAGGTACAGATCATGTTGTAACGTCCCGTTGAGGGTAAGCGGGTGAGGTTGTGGCTAACTCGGACACACGTGCGATGGGATGACGAGCGACTGTGGTGTTGAATCATGCAAGGCATCGGTCATAGGGATGGTGGCGAGCGTTTCGCTTGAATAGACTCTATCTCATATATTGCTCTATGGTTAAGTCTCTAGTCGTACCGAGCTAGTCATCGCGTTTTGTGTAGGGAGCATACTCGTCGTACAAAGTCTTGAAAGCTGGATCGAAGTTGACCAAACGATCAAAAGCAGCTTTATCTTTGGGTCTAGTGAAAGAATGCAACATTGCGACCAAGGGCAAGTCGGCATGTGATCTAGTGGTCCCTTCGAAGAATGGGCCTTCCTTCTCTTTCAGAAGCGAAGCCAACGCCGTTAACGCAGGTCGAGCACTCTCCCATACAGCTTCAGGATCCTCGACCTCTGTCGTCAATTTACCTCCGTACTTGGCTTTCACGTACTCGACGCTTCCGGGAGAGATGAGTTCTCCAAATACGAGGGGCGCAAGGACTGGGAATAGGGGCCCGAACGTGGCGCTAGTCGCTGCTTGCACTTTGGCCAGGCGGTCGGTATCGATCTCGAGGGCTGGATACTTTGGTGTGGAGTACTCAGACTCCAGATAAGTGGCAATTGCAACGGAGTCCATGATTGTCTTTCCGTCGGGAGTGGTTATTGTTGGCACCGTAAACGCGGTGCCTGAGGCGTTTGGCTGCACGCCCTTTGCCTTTAAGGTTGGCTCGATGTCCTGGAACTCCAGCCATTTGGTTTCGTAGTCGATGCCCTTGTAGTTCAGAGCGATGCGGGTCTTCAAGGTGTTCAGAGACCAGCTTCTGTTGGGTTTTGGTGAGGCAAGATCGTAGAGGACAAACTGAGAAGCCATCTTGGACAGGCGAAGAATACAATGATGAGCTTGAGATTGAGATGAGAGACCATCCTAAATATATGATCAGGCAGTGCCAAGGCCGATCCTTTTCGTCCGGAGCCTTCGATTTTGTGACTACATCTGCACTTTGTGAAGTGGCGGTTTCATGTAGACCAACGGGGCCTAAGCTGGTCTAACTTGCAGAAATGCGCTGTCCTATACCTCGTGGTCTCTGAATATATCTCGTCAGCAGTGGAAGCTGACGATCACAGCTATGGAAGGGGTTCAGATCAAGTAACAATCGATGGATGGTAGATACCGCAACAGCATGTCGATGACCTGCAGAAAAAAGTGATACAAATGTGCCTTGTGGGAGAGGAATAGTAATAGGTGTTGAGGGATAGCCATCTTCAAAGGACCGATAGCCCGAGACAGGTTGTACACTTACCGGATGCGGTAAGACGAGGATCCCACAGATGCTCTATCTATGGACCTCTTTATGGGCTTGTATCCATCCACCATAGTACTGATAGATGTTAGAGATTCGCTCATGTGGGTGTTTATCATCAAATCCATGTATCCGTACTCGCAGCCCTATGTATATGCATAGTCTTCGTGTATGGGTACATCACAGCCTACTAGAGAACGGTCAATCAGGCATCAGCATCCACGCTTAGCTACTTTGAGTCGTAATCCTTGGTGCTCTCGGTAAGTTGTTGCCAACGCCGCTTCCGCTATCGGCTGCTCCGTGCCGGATGCGACGTCATCATCATAATACAGACCCGTGATAGCCGTTGTGGTCAGGGTGCCGCGGCGTGGTAGGTGGAGATCGTCGGGGCAATGACAACGGGACAGCTGTGCATTTTATATATCCCAGCGTTGGTCGGTCACGTCCCCATGCTGCTTAACTTTCACTACCTGAATATACTATAACCCCGACGATGGCAGCTGCCACTTCTCACGACGATGAGGAACCCAAGGAAGAATTACCACAGCTCCTTACATCTGCTTCAATATCATCTCACACATCTAGCATAAGAACGACTGCACGAACCTATTCCGGCTACGATATACATGAGGGGCCAGATGAAGGAACAATCAGCAAGCGCCGCACGAACAGCCTGAGTCGGCGGGAGACGTTGCAAAGAGCGGACACGACACTATCCAGGATACGTTCAAGAAAGCCAATTTCACCTTTCAATCACCCTCTCTCTCATCAGAAGACTACCGAAAATGTTGTTGTTACCTTCGACGGAGACGACGATCCATATAGACCTATGAATTGGCCTTTCAAGAAGAAGGTGATTACCACAGCGCTGTATGGCTTTACAACGATGGGCGCAACGTGGGCAAGCAGTGTGTATTCGCCAGCTATAACACAGATCTCGGACGAGTTCGATGTCGGTATCGAAGTGTCGACGTTGGGGCTATCGTTGCTACTTTTCGGATTCGGCCTTGGGCCATTGCTTTGGGCACCGCTATCAGAAGTATACGGGAGAAAAGCTGCAGTCTTGGTGCCTTATTTCATCGCGGCAGTCTTCTCCTTCGGCACCGCCACCGCGAAAGATATTCAGACCGTTCTCATTACCAGGTTCTTCGCTGGGTTCTTTGGTTCGGCACCGGTCACTAACACCGGAGGCGTGCTCGGGGATATCTATCCGCCAGAGAGCAGAGGTATCGCTATTGTGTTCTACGCCATGGCAGTTGTTGGCGGGCCAACGCTGGGACCAATCGTAGGCGGTGCGATTGTCCAAAGTTATCTGAGATGGCGCTGGACAGAGTACATCACCGGCATTATGATGATGTTCATCTTGGTTCTGGATATCATCTTTCTCGACGAAAGTTACGCTCCCGTGCTCCTTGTTTATAAAGCTCGACGTCTCCGCCACGATACATTGAATTGGTCGCTGCACGCAAAGCATGAAGAATGGGATGTGAGTGTTTCGGAATTGGCACAAAAGTATCTCGTCCGGCCATTCCAGCTACTTACAACTCCAATATGCTTCCTCGTAGCTCTGTATGCTTCGTTCGTGTATGGAATCCTTTATGCTAATCTGGGGGCTTTTCCTTACGTCTTTGAAGAGCTACGCGGCTGGAATCAGGTCGTCGGCGCGCTTCCATTCCTGGCGCTCCTGGTTGGGATTCTGTTTGGGGCTGTGGCGAATATATTGAATCAGAAGTACTACATCAAAAAGTTTATCGCCAATGGACGACGAGCCGTACCCGAAGCTCGACTGCCTCCCATGATGATGGGGTCCGTTGTCTTTGCGGCCGGACTGTTTATCTTCGCATGGACTGCGGATCCGAAATTTCATTGGATTGCTCCGGTCATTGGTGCGACGCTCGTCGGCATCGGATTCTTCACCATCTTTCAAGCTGCGCTGAACTATCTCATCGACACCTTCCAGCAGTACGCCGCAAGTGCGGTAGCTGCCAACACGTTCTTGAGGAGCGTTCTTGCTGGAGCCTTTCCATTATTCATCACGCCCATGCTGCACAACATAGGGGCAGGGTGGGGCATTAGTGTATTTGCATTCTTTGCCGTCGCGTTGATTCCGATTCCATATCTGTTTTTCGTATTCGGAAAGAGTATAAGAGCGCGAGGAACCTTTTCGAGGGCATCGTTGTAACGTCTAGCTACGGTTGCTTGTCTATAAGCGGTGAATTTTTAATTATCATGTGCCCCCATTCCAAACAAGCCAGTATACTCCCAAGGCTTGACCCCTTAGGAAAGCCTGCCTCAGGCACGTTCTACCCTGTTCGCTGTCTCTGCATGATCCCCCCTCAAATCTCAAACAGTCCCGGGCCGGCCCTTCATTGCATGCCGCCGCTGAAACCGCATCCATGCTGACACACTGGTCATTCTAATTCCAAGATTCTATATATAGTCCTTTTTTGCTTTTCCGGCTCCCACAACAACCAAGTCCCCTCAGAGCTGCAAGCACCCCCGGACCCCTATCCTCAACCAGGGTTGTAGTCTTGCTAGGGTGTCGACTAGGGTGGCTACCGGGGCGAGCGAGACATCGGACCGGGCCCACCTACCCCTGGACATTTCTACGATGAGGCGTGCGGGGGGCCCTGCTGCATCAGCTGATACGAACGCAATGTATGTGTGTGTGTGTGTGTGGGTGTGGGTGGAGCATGAGCGATGAGCAGGGGGGAGGTTAGCTAGCTTGCTGGCTGGGGGTTAGAACCGGGGGTGGCCTGACCTTCGACGGCATGGCGAAACCAAGCTTTAGGGCTCGACACGAGCGCACTCTGTGTTGGGGTTTGGATCTGAGGCTCGTGTGATATTTCAATTACCCGATTGAGCAATTGTGCACAGACAGACGTGAGTGTGGTTTTTTTTGGGGGGAGGTGGGGGAGAGTGGCGTGTGAAAGCCGGTTTGTTTTGCAATTGCCTATCCGGGGAATTGTCTCTGGGGTTTTTGGTGTTTGCCTGCGGCGAGGTTGACGGCGAGGATCGTATTGTTCACATCGTGGTGGGGTTGGGTATGGGATTGCTGAGTGTTGGCTGAGCATGCTCTGGACGACATCCTGCGTGGAGGTCTGGTGGTAGTACGCCATATATGGGACGGTTTCTAGACGCCGCATGAACGCCAGGTCGGCCAAGGTCTCTTTTCAACCATAGCGAGGCAATAATGGTAGTCCGGGAGGGGTTATGTAGCGCATTCTATCGGAATATAGATCTCGAGATAATAATAGACTCGATACTTCACATTCCTTATACAAAAATACTTGATGGCCAAATATGGTTAAACGTTGACTCGAGTAGTTTCAGGGCTAGCAATTGATTGAAATTGTTCTGAAGACTATCCACTCTTGTGGATATTCTAGATGCTAAGACTCTGCGTACTACATAAGTCAATAGTCCAGTATATAAAGGAGGAACTGTTCAACATCTCCCTCCTCCGTATCTTGAATCACTTCAACCTACAAACAGGTCACCTACTCTAATGCGGATAATGACGCGGGCACTTTAGTTGGATAGCATGTCCATTAGATACATGAAGTAAACCGAAACAATGGTCTATATGATAGACGAAGGGTGTTGTTGTTGTCATGACGATATCCTCCGCTCAATACCCAACTTGAAGTGCTTCGTCCTGCGTCCACCTAAGCACATCGCTGAGCGCTAGACTTCATTAAAGAGCCTATTTATGTTTCTCATCTTATCCATACCTTACTCCACACTCCTAAGCAAAGGAGGAAGCCATGAACAAACATACAAACCCACACCGACCGAGTAGTCAAATTCGACCATCTCGACTCTCGCATAGTGTTGTATATTACTATAAGTAGGCTAAACACTATATCAAAATGTAAAAAATTCAGGTTATGGTATAGTAGTATAGTAGTATATAGTATAGTAGTATATAGTATAGTAGTATATAGTATAGTAGTATGTAGTATAGTAGTATGTAGTAAATCATATACAAAATTACATCTTATCTTAGAGAAGCCTAACAGTCTAAACATACTAGTCTATAGATGAATATGACCGCAACTAAGTGACGAATAAGATATAAGAGAATATAAGAGAATATAAGAGATAACATAATAACGCAAGAAAGAGGAAATAAGGTTCGAATTAGACCTAAGACTACCATTAGAAGCTAGATAAAGACATTCCTACCATTCTTGTTCTGATCATCGTTATCCAACTCGCAGCCTTCTAGTAAATAGTAGTATGAACAGAACTACCTGATTCTCGAAATCGAATATCGCGGCATATTACACGACACCCTCCTCTCCCCCGTAGCACAGTAGCTAGAAGTCAAGATCGGGTATGCGTTCAGGCCAGGTCTGACTACATGACCGCATACGAGCACATAAATACATGGACAAACATGCCTCTTTGTGAGTCTTCTTAGATAAGATCAGTCATAAACGCTCTTTAGACGCCGAGTAGGCTTTAGGAGGTAGTTTGGAGTGGGCACCAGGTAGTGGTGTATATATCAGCCTCAACTTGACCGCAAAGGCACACGCAGTGATTGCACTCCGAGCTGAAATACAGGGTGCATAGGTCGTATGATACGCGATGCGACAGGGCGATGTCAATGGGAGCGATTACGACCACTGTAGGACCATCATACGGTACACAGGCAGCTATTGGCTAGTCTGCAGTCATCATACCGGATTGAGTGTTTCCTATAGACTCGAAATTGCGGAGAAGAAGTGGGGAGATTCAACGTCCATTTCTGGCGGATTTATGTATGGCTAACTGTGAGGTGTGGGTATGTATAGGCCTGTCTCTGTTCCAATTTTTTTCTTCTTCACCTTCCCGCCCTATATTACCAAGTCGAAGGGGGCTGATCCGCTCAAACACATTACTTCCTTGCTTTCCCTGGTTCCTTCACGTCAAGTACGTACTCCATGCCAAGGAAGATGTGCAGGGGTATATGATCCAGTGAGAGACCTGCTGACTCCATATGCGAATGCAAATGCCGACCTAACTAATATAACCAATATGATATCCAAAGACTGGCGCCGTGCGTACTGCTCTTTACAACATTACTCCTTCGGGACTGGCGAGTTACTACTGCCACTGCCCTGGCTCCCGCTCATGCGAAAAACCTTCTTCACGCTCTCGACACCCTTCCGCACGTGTGGATGTGCATTCAGAAAGGGCTCGTCGCTTCTCATTCTTCCGAGGCCGCCCAGCATCTGGCCTATACTGCTTTTCCGCCGGCCCGCGAGAGGGTCCGGTGGCGCCGGGCGGGGCGGCCATTCGCCGTGCTCCTTCCAGCCTTGCACGAGTGCCTTGGTCATGTCGGAGAGGTTTATGGGCACCGAGGGTGTCCTCGCGCTCAGCACGACTTTGTTATAGATATCTGGGTATACCTTCTCGCCTATGGAGATGCGGATGGCGTTCTGGGCAAGCAGGCGTGGCGCCACCGGGACAAGGATTTCCTGTGCGTGCGGATCTGAACATGTAGAGTGGGAATCGGCAAAGTAGTGCGAGGTGACTTCGGTGCCGGAGTCTGCGGGTGACTTTGAGCTCTCGGCCTGCGACGCTTTCCTCTCACCGCCATTGACGCGTGATTGCAGCTTTTTTGCCTTGGAGATGCGTGATCTCGCTGCTGCTGCGCCCGTCCATTGGTCTCGCCGCGCTTCAAAAACTGCCAGGCCCTCGTTCCAGCTCATCTCCTCCTCCAGGTCCTTTCGCCGCTTCCGCATCTTCTCTTCCTTGTTTGCCGCGACGACGAGCCCTACGCTGTCTGGGGAGTCGAATTTATATGCTTCGCCCGAACTCTTCTTCTGTAGGCTTGTCTCGGATTCAGACTCTGAAGGTGTGCCGTAGAAACGCTCGCGGAATTCCGATACGCCCTTGAGCTCGTCGTCGGAGCGCTTCGGCCTCGGTGGGTTCGGCCATACCCAGTCGTTCCGGACGTTGTCCTGATAGAAACGACGAGCCTGCCGGGCAGCGCTCTGGTTTGTGTCCATTGGGAAACGGCTGAGGAACGACTGTGAAAGAAATCGTATAGTATGGCCAGCGAAGTGAGCGAGTGGAGAGTGAAGAGTGGTGGGCGTGCACAATTGCAGCGTGTAGACGGCGTGCTTGGAAGCTGGTAGTGGTGACGGTGCACGGGCTAAAGTGTGGGGGGAGTATGGGCCAAGGTTCAAGGGAGGTCCGGAAGCCGGTGGTCTAGCCTTGTCTTGCAAAGACTGAGGCTGGGCCCTAGCTCCAACGCCGGTGAAGCTGTCGCGTGTCGCGTTCGTGCGGTGAATGTTGATGCCAGAGCATTATTTAGAGGTGGCAGAAGGGTGGTGTGAGAAAGTGTGTATATTAGTAATGCAGTTAAAACCTGAGCAAAAGTGTAACTAGCGGTCGTCGTCTTTCGGGCCTACGAGACGGTCACAACCCCATAATAAGCAATAATAAGCCACGATATAATTATGATGGTTCGAGGGCCGGATGATCCAGCAAGGCGTCTCAGGCAACAAGGCAGCTAGGCAGCCAGGCAGGTAATGGGCTGACACCAGATCAATTATCTTGCCGCCCGTCTAAAGTCTACGTATAGATACTCTCCGTAATATTGTTGACCTGCAAGCCCTTTTCCGCCATCTCTGCATTCTCCAGGAATGTCAGAGGCATCCACACCAGGTGGCCTCGGATCTTGTCCAGCTCGGTCCTGATCTGCTCGACGCTCTTGTCCTTGCCGAAGATATGGCCTTGTTTCTGCGCACCGGGAGGCAGGAACTTGGCATAGTCATCAAAGGACTTGATGGCGTCGTCCGGATCTGCGTGGAACAAGTCTCGGAACACTTCTGTATTTGTCGTGGCTTGACTAGTCCACATGTTCCACACATCGTCTGAGAGAGGGTCGGCGACAAAGTCCCAGTCTTCACCCTCCTCATAGCGGTTGGGTGAGTGCGTAGGTGGCTCGGCGTTTGGGTCGTCTTTGGCGTCAAGGGGAAGGTTGGGAAGCAGTCCAAGGTGCTCCATCCATAGTGTCCGGCGAAGTGTTGCAGCGTGGTGACCAGCCTGATACGACCGACCGTCCATTTTTGACTCCAAAACCTTCGTGTCGGTCATGACAATCGACAGTTCGGAGTCGTGGTAGCCGAGCTGTGACCGATCGTTGATGTTTGAGCTCCCGCAAACAGCAATCTTGTCATCGACGATGAGAAGCTTCGCGTGGATGTAGAGCTCCTCTTGCACGTAGTTGTCGATTTCTTGCTGAGAAGACTGCTCACTCCATCCCAGCTCGCTGACCTTCTTCTCTCCCTTAAGCGCACTCTTTGCGATACTGTCTTTGGACTCTGGTCCTTCCGCCTCCCCGCTAATACCGGCATGTTCACGCGCTGCTTCAAAGCGGCGTTTCTTATCGATCGTAGCCTCTTTAGCCGCATCGTTTGCATCGTCCGAGTCATAGCCGCCCTCACTTTCGCTCGATGAGTCTCCCGCTGCGCCTGAAACTCCAGTGCCCATGATCTCCTGCGCCTCGGCGCGCTGGACGTCTTGATACTTGACCCCGGACTTCTCCTCTTGTACCTTCATAGCTGGGGTAAAGTTCAGGCGATCATAGGAGCGGAGATTGAATACATAGACGTGTTCTGTAGTCATCAGTATTGATCTTTACGCTACCATATAGTAGCACTCACGAGTGGGATCAACGCCCTGCGCCTTGATTTGTTCCATGATACTGTTTTTGCCGCGATTGATAGACTTGTATTGATAGTCCATGATCGCGCGTGTTCCCATTGCAGCGTCATCTCTGAGGTCGCCAGCAAAACCAGGAATGGCAGGAATGACGATTATCACTCTAAACTTCCTGTTCTCCTTACCAGCACGTACACAAGCATCGACAATAGCCTTGCCAATTTGGTTGTGAATCGGAGTCTGATCCTCACCAGTCGCGGTGACTATTCATGTATCAATACCGTTCAGGGGACTTTTCTCGGAATCGACTCACTGAAGAATTGGTTCTCAATGTAAACATAGTGCTGTGCGTTACGAATGACTTCGCAGTAAGCATTCTGAATGCTGTGCTCGGGTGGGTCAAGACCGCTACTCCAGTCGGCACTACTCCGTACAATCTGAGCGTGGACAGTGCCCTGATCACTGCCAATGTTCTTGCTACTCAGTGGTGTCAGAGGGTGCTTGACGTATTCACCGACAGGGTATTTTGGTCGCTGAACCCCGACCAGATCCTCATCGTCACCCTGACGGCCTTCAAGCTCGAGCCAGTCGAATGGCTCGTCTCGCTTGTATTTGTCGCGCTTGCAAAAGTTCCAGCGTAGAACAAAATGCTCCGCAATGTCGTAAACACACGGCCCAACAAGTGCCATTGCAACGTCATGCCATGGCATACGTCCATACTCGGCCTTTGATAGTTCGTTCGTCTTCCAGTCCTCTACGGTCTGGAAATCCATGATGCGATTGTTGTTGAAATCTTGTCCTGGAAAGATTTCGTTCTGCACGCCGGCCGGGTGCACATCCGAAAGTGGATGGTCCTTTGAGTCCCATCTTCCGAAGCAAAGGTCAAGGCCACCAATGAACGCCAAATTATAGTCAATCACTATGAACTTCTCATGATGTGCCTAAGGTGCTGTCAGCTTCGCGAGTCACGGTTCGTCAGAGGAGAAATTCATGGCATACCCAGTAGAAAGTCATGTCTCCGGCATTCTCGAAGACGTTATGATCCGGATGGCGCATGATCTTGATATTACCATACCCTGGCGTGCCCTCTGGACATAATGCTCGTAGTGCGTGCTTCGTGTGCGCGCTGTTGCAAGTCAATGCTTGCTGCACCTCCTTGTACACGATCACGTAGATTTTGACGCCAGCCTCTGCTTTTCGCTTCAGCACCTGATCAAGCCTCCATTCTTGGTTAAAGTATGGCGGCCTCCGTAGAAACTGTTTCTGTCAGGTGGAGGGCCGACCAGATCCACGGAATTGAACTCACCAGCTCTGGGGAGAGCCACCAATCTGCGATATAAATAGTCTCTTTTGCCTCTTCTAGTGCGGTCGACACTGCCCAGTAGTAGTCGCGACCGTCCACGTACCACTTGACATTGTTACCGTCACGTTCGGGCGCAAAACTCCCAAAGCGATGCTCTGCTGCTATCCTTTTCCTCTTCTCGTCCGTGATCTTCTCATGCTCCTCGTCATGGCGATGGTTGGAGTTGATGAGGTTGGCAAACTTGCCGATCTTGTGCTTCAAGTGCGTAGCCTCCTCCTTGAAGCCGCCGATGTGCGTATCCTTGAGCTTCTCTCGCAGGTCTGAGAAGGGATGCTTCAGCGTGTCCTTGATCTTCTCTGATTTCGAGCCCGGGCCTGCAATATCGGTCTTACTCGTCATGTTTGATGCGGTGCTGAAGGTGATATACGTGAAAGTCTACAGGCAGCACGTCGACCGAGATGTTGTCCAATCACTGCAACCAACGAACGACAATGAACGACGCAAAAAGCAGTATACACGTGAATGCAGGCGAGTGAAGAGACTGTCGTCGGCAGGCGTGTCCTTGTTTCTCACACATGTACTAGGCCCTGTAGGGTGGGACCTGGATGTACGTCATGCCGGCTGGCGGGGCACCACTGCCTTGGCAGCTGTCGGAAACGTCTCCCGGGTGCTTGACGCTGATCCTCAATGGTCCAAGCCACAGCTTCGTTCATGTGGCACAGTGGCTGAGAGTGTACAATTGCTGTATCAAGCTCGGGCAGCCTGTCAGTCGAAACACGAACTCTGGCTGACAGCACATAAAAGAACATGCGAAGAGATCCCACTCGCAAACAAGTCTTCGTCAGAGCTCCACAACTCGTATTTATTCAATGCATAACCATCTTGAAGTAGGCCATGAATGATCTGTATGTTGCATTGGATACCAGAACGCTCACAGGATCTTGTACCATTGGATCCTATGAACATGTGCCCTTCGACCGCCGCAATAGTTGATCATAGGTATAGCACATAGTGTACATGATTACATTTACCACCGAGCCTGAAAACATATCTCAAAGTCTCAATCCAAGCACAATCCATATTGTTCTAGGACGCAAGAACGCCCATTCAGGCTGTTGATCATGGAGACCGGTCGGATTTCTGTTCATGGTCAATGAACGGTGCCACGCCAGCTCTATCCCTAAGACATATCGTCCGTCTGGAACCCGTGCTATGACCGCGCATTATCACCGAGAAGCAGGTACTGCTCAATGTGATGAGCCCTAGCCAATGCTCAGTTGATTCTTTCCGTTCGACCTAGTAGTGTTCGAATACATGAAACAACAGTACTGTTTCGAAAGAGGCCATGGAAGCGGACAGAGATGATGCGAAAGACAAGACACGAGAGCAGAATGCTCATGAAACGCAGAGACAGGCGGAGACAGGAAGCTAGTGTACCCAAATCCTAAAGCCGATCTGTACATCATCACATAATAGACTTGAACCTCCTCTCAAAACAATAGAGAGACTAGGATATGAGCGATTGAACATGATGAAATTAGCAAAATGGAACCGTTGGGGGAACTTGATTGCATGTTTAATTGGTAGGTAAATTGCTTCTTTACTTGTTTGCTGGTATATGAACAGTGAGATTTGAGGGTTTTGAGATTCCTTGACGGGGCATGTGAGTAGTATGTGAATTGAGTAACTTCCTGATGGTATACATGACCGTATAATAATACTGTAACAAAGTGACCAAGTAATACCCAACACATCACGCGAAACCGCAGATATCCAAAAACAGTAAAGATACAAAAGATCTGCCACTGGAAGGCAAAAGACAACGCCGTACTAGGCTCTATATATATCGCGAAACACATCCAGCCCTACTGAAACAGATCCCTAGCACATCGTATCGATCCCACAGAAAAGCATTCCACGGCCCCCGTCCGCGTCTCACGCCTATCTACAAATGAAACAAGCCACGCACCGCAAAAACATGCATTCACACAGGGCCACGACGTCGTCTCGCCGCCAGCCATACACTAACAATCCTAGATACGCAGATAACGATCACCAAACGACACTCAATCAACGACAGCAAACGGCAATCCTCACATTCCGATAAAGTCCCTTTTCCCGCCCCTCGTGGACAAGGACCAGTAGTATCCCTGCCCAGCCAATTCAGCGCGGGACGTTTTTGGTTTCCGTTTTATGCAAAAAACAAAAAAAACGACACTGTTTAGATACGAGCGGGCGAATGGGCGAGTGGACGGATGGGCGAACGCAGGGCGGCACACATATACTTACTTACTTACTTACACACGTACACACACATACGCACGCACGGGATCCAAGAGCGGCACCGGCCCGCCAATGGGAGTTTTGGATCTGACAGCTTGTCAGATTGCCTGTCTGGCTGTCGGTCATCAGGAGTGGCAAAGGGGCGTCGTCGAAGGGGTGCCAGAGGGGTGTGAGCATGAGAGTGTGGCACTTTCAGCTCGACAGGCTCTGCGGCGTCTGTCTGTCTGGCTGTCTGGTCTTGTCTTGTCTTGTCTATCTGTCTCATTACACACACACACATACGCATACATACATACATACATACATACATACACATCACCGGCGTCAACACCACCAATCCAGCAGTCCAGCCAGCCAGCCAGCCAGTAGAAGCAGAAGCAGAAGCAGAAGCAGAAGCAGAAGCAGAAGCAGAAGCAGAAGCAGAAGCAGAAGCAGCAACAACACATGCCGTAACACCCACCTCACCCACCACTATCATCCCCCATCACTCAAACACGGATAACTTATTCCTCGTCCACCATACCATACCATACCACACCACACCACACCATACTATCCAGGCAAAGATGATACCCTTTCCTTCCCCTGTCCTATATAACACACAATCACAAACACCCATCCACACCCCCCGCGCCCCTCTCCTACGCCATCTCTCCCCACCCCCCTGCGACTTGCGGGACAGGAAGACAGGGACAGGGGGTTCACGCAGGCGCAGGCGAAGCGTTGCTCAGAGGAGGCGAACGAAGGCTGTCTTGGCTGCGAGTGAGTGAGTGAGTGAGTGAATGATGGATTGTGGACGGCCAGTGTCAGGGCCAGTAGAGAGTAGGTACAAGGGGTGAGGAGAGGGACCATCCTCCCCCCTCCGTCTCACTCTCACTCTCACGCTCAAACAGTAGGCAGTTGTGCTTCACATTTGATACATGGCCAGACAGGCAGGGGGGGAGTCACGACATGGCTGGACGACAGAACACAACAGTCAACAGGACAGTAATGCTCGGCCGAATACGCAGTTGAATGGATATATCCTCTGTTGTGTCGCGGGGACGCAAGGGGTAGTAGGTATTACGGCGAGAAATTCTGCGGAGACAAGATGGCAGAGAGCGGGAAAAGAGTAGAGAATATGCGAAACCAGGGGAAGTATGTACAATATATCAGTGAAAGAAGGATATGCGAATCAGGGACCGGGCGTGTAATGTTAGTTTATGTGTGAAACGCAAGTAAGTACGAAAGAAAGAAAGAAAGAGAGAAAAAGAGAAGAGAAGGAGACGAAAAGAAAACCATCCACCCGGTGGCGGCAGAGGCGTCAGAAAGGGACCTCAGTTGACAGAACTCGAGGGTTACTCAAGCGTCCAGCTGTATTATGTATACTATACGAGGCGGCTATTATACGTAATATCTAAGCCGTCTTACTAAGTAATATAGAATAAGCTTAAAGCACGTGTATATCCGTAGCCTATAAGGTTTAAATTAGTCAAAAACACGTGTAATTAGTGTTGTGTGTTGTTTTGAAGCCTGTGAGGTCAAAATCAGTCAAAATCAGTCAAAAACACGTGTAATCAGTGTTGTTTTGAAGCCTGCAAGGTCAAAATCAGTCAAAATCAGT